TAAGGTCTAAAACTCCTAACGTATAACCTTCGTTAAGGTAATACGTATAAGGAATAGATTCCGAATAAGGAATCGCGTTAAATACGATATCGGTTATAGCTATAGGCCGGTTTCGATCTAACGGGAGTTATTTAATAGTATTAGCGGTATTACCGCTAGGCGTCGTTTTACGCCTATGTTAATACTTCTCGCTATATTAATTATTAGTTAATAATATAAAACTAGCCTATATATAGGTATACCTATTAACTCGACTTTAGTTCCGTTTCCTTAATCCTTTATATCTACGTAGTTCTATTAATATTAATTCCTAGTTCTCTTTAAAACTATCGGTTACTAATAGTTATTAGTTTATTAATTCTTATCTATATTATTAATATAAATATCTATATTATATCGTATATTATATCGTCGAATCGCTACGTTTAGGTATCCTAAAATACCTCTAGCATAATAAGTTATTAGTATTTATATATTTAATTTATATCGATTAATAGGTTTAAAGGAAAAAGAAAGCTATCGTAAGATCGGTTAAGGTATAATTATTATTAGCCTTTATCCGTCCTTAGTATTAATAAAAGAGCAGCGGGTCGTATAGGTTATCGTAATTTATGCTAAAGCGTTACGCGTTTAATCTATATAGTAAATAAATAACTATAAGGAGGCTGCCTTAATCGCTATAAGCTTTATCTACTCGCACGAGATATATTATGCTATTAGCGGTTCGGAAAAGCGGTTAATATTAAGGGCTAAGTACTATCCCTAGTTTTACGGATTCTTCCGTATAGTAGATAAATAACTATACGAAGGATGTCCTAATCGGTATAAACGCGGTTTAATCGTCGTATTATATCGTAGTATCGATAGCTTATTAACGTTATAAGTATTAAGGGCTAGGTAATATCCTAGCGGCTATAATATCGTAGTAAAGGTTCCTAGGCTTATACGTACCTCCTTATAGTAAATAAATAACCATAAGGCGGAATATTTTATTTAACGTAAAATACGGACTACCTCGCGGGTTAAATAGCGGCGCCGACGGCGATCGATATCCTTTAAATCCTAATAGCGTAATAAAAACTCCGTAAACTAAAGATTAAAGGGTTGAAAAAGTTATAAAATAATCGCTATTAAAGAGGAGTAAAGCGTACGCGATACTAAAGACCCGGATAGGTTTACTCGAAAGTATACTTTATCGAAGACTATAATACGTACGATAATCTAAGATAAATGAAATTAATATCGCTATACTAATCGAAAGGTAAGGAATTTAATATAGTTATCGTATCTTAGCTATGCCTCTTCGTCGTAAAGATATAATAATCGCTAGCCCGAAGGTATAAAAAGTAAGAAGAGAAAAGGAGTAAAACGTAAAAGTTACTTATTCGGCTATAGCGGTACGACGAAGTAACTTAAGCGCCTATAATTAAAATAAATATATTAATCGGAAAACGATAAATCTAATAGCGAAAACGAATCTTTAATTAAGGTAAAAATAATAAAGATAATAATCTAGCTAAGTAATGAACTAAATAATAAGCATAGCATGTCCCGTACTTACGGGAGCTATAGTTATTTTATATAGGTATAAGGCTTATCGTAGCGTATTACGTAATGCATCAAGAGGGCATGTCTTACCGCACCACTACAGTATATATCCCTAGTAAGAACTACCTAACTTACCTAAGCTAGCTAAGTATTACTATATATACCTATAGATCGCTTTATACTCTCTAGTAGCTTTCCTTCTTTTCTAGTTAGTTAATATATACCTTCTTACCCTTATTCCATTACTCTCTTTACGAATAACCCATTAACCTAAGCTTAGCTCTCGCTAGCTACGTAACAGATCGCTATACGTATTCCAGGGCATGTCGGTACAGAAGCCCAAATAACCGGGATCTCTCCACACCCGAGTTATGGGTATTTATCCCAGTCAAAGGATAGCCGCAGTTGTCGAGCGTGGGGTTGGGGTTGAAGTTGGGGGAGGGGAGAGGTTCTGCCTGGGATGAACTTGACTAGAAACCGCTTACCATAGCTTCCAAAAAGAATCTGTTCTCCCCGTAGTCTCAACTAGGCCAAGTCGTAGCAAGTTAAAATCCGAGTTGATTTCACTCTCGCTAGAACTTAAGGAGGCTACTCTGTTTTCTCCATCCACTGTATTCTATATGTCTATCGCCTCTCTCCTAATGTATCGAACGATATCTGTTTTAAAGTAGAACTACCTACACGCCGCTTATGAGGGATGGGGAAAGCCAACACATGGTTTCTGACTCTGCTTACTAGTTGTAGATCTCGATGCACACAAGCAGGGGCTCAGTCCCATAGGACGTAGTGAACTATTCTCACGGCAGTTAACAAGCTACTTCATTCACTCGACTGACAAGGGAGTTGCGTTATCAGACGACAAACTCCAATTCATATGTGGCTATGGAGTTGGAAGGACTGGTCCCTTCGTCAATATCACAGCGATCTAATCTGGTAATGGTACCCGGAGATATATACCTCCACGACGCGAGTCCACGCGACCCAATCACATGGGCTCCTAGAATCAGCCCCTTTCCTCATGGAGATGAAGTGAGCCCCCCCCGACCAGATCCCGGCCGTGTTCGTGTCTTAAGGATACTCGGCCCAGACTGCTAGCGACATCCCGGGGACCTAGACAGACGACACCTGGGTCGTAGGTGCCAGCGAGCAGGTTGGGCATCCGCAACTCCGCGGGACCAGAACTTCCTCGGTACAGCTGGGGAGCAGGGTAGTAGTGATGGCGCGGAGCGGCTCGAGGGTGGGCTCGCCAGGCTCACAGGTCCTAGTCGGCCGGATGCATACCGGTCGGGGGCAGAGCCCTATTATAGGCGTGACGGTACTGGTCACGGTCGTGATCGTTTGACACCGAATCTCGCTCGCGAATGTGGTAAGATCGGTGGCAGCCGCTGGAGAGGCAATGCTGCTAGGTGGGAATAGTCAGACGTTAACATCGAGCACGGGGGGTAAGATTTGTAAAGGGAAGAACTAACCCTTGAAGCATTGCCACGGCCACGACTGCAAGATTTCTCACCGAGTACATGGTGGCGGGCGTGAGAAGAAAATATACCTATAAGGAGACGTGCTGTCGAGACTTGTCCACACCCACTTAGAGGGCACTGAAGAGAGGATGGGGTTTCTGCTATACCTACCGTCTCGGCCAACCTAGGCCTTTTATAGCCATTTCGTATTTGCCCCATTCGAGACTGATAGCCGCTGATGTAGCCTGTGATCGGTTACGAGAGGGCTTCTCATAGTTGGGGTAACAGATAATACGGGAATAGGATCTGGGAGAACTCGTTGTGCCTACGACATTAGGATAGGATACGACCATAATCCACTTTGATTCCTTCCAAGAGGTGTTTAGAACCCTGTTAGCACCGTATTCGGCAATCACTCATTTTGTGATGGGAGGACGAGATTTATTGTTGTGAGACACCTGGCATGATGTGAGGATTCGCATTGCGTTCTACAAGACAAGTAAGACGACTATGCTGAATCTAGACTTAATAGTCTTCCGGGTTGGGGAAGCCGTCGGTAGCAGCGCAATACCGCCGATCACGCCGAGGGTGAAGACCACAACTAGTTGTGGCGTCAGCTCCGGAGCCGGGAGCGATATTAGTGAGACATTCATCTACGCACATCGCCTACCGACAAATAGAGTTGACGTCTAGACAGACGAGAAATCTAGGGCGGTGCTAAGGTTGCAACCCTCAGCCCTATGAGGCGTGGCTAATTTCAGCTGGAGGTTCCGGGGGGCTGTAAAAGGGGTATGCGGCGGCATAATGTTACGTGGCTTGCTAGAATAGACCAAGCAGGCTACGTAGTAGACAACGATAGCAGCTGACAGCTCGGCCCTGGTAGCCAAATATATGGACACGGCAATTCGACGGGGATAAGAAGATGCTCTGCTCAGGAGTAGTGTGTCTGTTCTTGTAGATAGGTAGTGTCGCGTTACACATGGCTGGCTGGGTGCTGAAAGTTGCTTTCGCCTCTATTACGCGCTTACGGGAGGACAAGATCCTTCGGAGATGCGGAGGCTTGCGGCTTGGTGGTGGGACAGAGAGCTGTGCAGGTTCGCAGGGGATAGGGGAAATGCCGAGGTCTGCCGAGCGCCATTCACCCGCTGCCGTTCAGGGAAGAAGGGGAGCAGTCCTCCCACGAAATGAATGCTGGTCGCAGGGAGTACTATGGTAAGTCCTCCAACAAGGCTGGATTGTCTGGGTAGCAGCAGATACTTCGAGAACGGAGAGAGCGTGTGTGCTTCGACGAGGTTATTACTAACGGAGTAAGAAGAGACGTGGTATCGAAGACGATTAATCCCACAGGAAACTGATATATGGATATCGACGTAGCAATGCCTATCACCTGGGTATACCTAGCAATACCTGAACAATTCCTTTTCTTCGTAACGAAAATGCAACATGCCCCGGGTACCTGCCTAGCAGGTCCTTTGAACCCATCCATCCAGTATTACCTAGTAAGCGGGGTTGTCGTCAGGATGTCAACAAAAACCCCTCCATTCCTAACCCTCTTTCGGGCATAGATAGCATTAGCAGGTCTTCACATGCCATTCGCCCATCCGCGTCACTTACACGACGAGCACGACGGCTAAGCACTACGTCTGCGGCTCTCCTACGTAACGCGTGCCCGAGCTTCCGCTTAATCCCGGGCGTATATGCGCCGTTCCGCCATCGGAAGCCGAGACATCTCAATATAACACGGGACAGTTAGGTAGGTAGGTAAACAGTCCAGGGTTAACCACTAGCAAGATCCTACCATTCGCCGCGCAACTAGGTACCTAGGTAATACTTACTCCTCCTACTCGCCTTTGCTGCGACTTGCTCGGTACGACCACTCACACCACTGCTGACTCGTACCGGAGCCCCGATACCACGCAGTGCCACACTGCCTGTGCCGACGACTCCCGTCCACCGCTACAGTCTCACCTGCCCATCTACCCGCAGCGAGCAGCCATGGCATCTCGGGGCGCCGCCATCGTGCAGGAGCTGCAGAAGTTCACGACGTAAGAGCCTCTCCCTCTTCCCTCCCCTCTCCTCCCTTTCGCTGACCTCCGCCGGGCAAACCCCGCAGGTGCGACGTCTCGGACGCGCTGTGCAAGCTGGGGCGGCGGCGCGGCGGCTTCCTGCCGGGGCTGACGATGTGGTCGCCGCAGCGCCAGGACGGGCCGACCCGCATCGTCGGCCCCGCCTACACCGTCAAGTACGTGCCGCTCGACGACCCGGCGCCGAAGCACCCGACGCACTACGTAAGCCGCCGCCGTTCCTCTTTCGTCTCCCTCCCTCCCTCTCTCTCTCTCTCTCTCTCTCTCTCCGTATGCGATACGCAACTGACCCTTTCCCCCCCCCCCCCCAAAAAAAATAGATCGACTCCGTCCCCGCCGGCGCCGTCGTCTTCATCTCCTGCCCCCCGCGCACCGCCAACGCCGTCTACGGCGGCCTCATGTCCGCCCGCGCCCGCGCCCGCGGCGCCGTCGGCTCTGTCGTCGACGGCCGCTTCCGCGACCTGCACGAGCAGCGCGAGCTTAACTACCCCGTAGGCAGCCCCCCTCCCCTCCTAATCCCCCGCGCCGATAGCCCGGCACACACACACACGCACATACAACCCTACCCTAACTGACGCGCCCCCCCCCCCCCCCCCCCAACCCTCAGATATTCGCCCGGGACGTGGGGACCGCGCCGCCGGGGCCCGTCCTCAAGGTGAGCGCGGTCGACGTGCCCGTGAAGCTGCAGCAAGGCGACGCCGACGCCGACGCCGACGACATCGAGGTCCGCCCCGGCGACTACCTGATCGGCGACGTCAACGGCGTCGTGGTGCTGCCCGCCGAGCTCGCCGAGCCCGCGCTGCCGCTCATGCGCCGCCAGGTCGAGGCCGACGACCGCATGGCCGCCGCCATCCGGGACGGCATGAGCTTCGTCGAGGCGAGCGCCAAGTTCCGAGGCTAGCTACCCAATCCTCCAGACAGAGAGAGAGAGAGAGAGAGAGAGAGAGGGCGGTTCTGGCCAAGTAAGGACCGTTATTCGCCTGCTGCTAGGTACCAGTGCCCGGCCTTCAAACGCGTTGGGGGAGCGAAAGGAGGAAAATGAACAAAATCCACGTGTGGGTATACATGCTCGCAGGTTAAACATCGTTGGTGCCGCATGAAGGGGGAGAGGGGTCAAATATGGGTTCGGGCGGGCGGCCAGGCGAGTGGGTAAAGCAAATTCTATATCATCAATAACTAGAGACCGCATGGCTAGCATACATCGTGATCGTGCCTTGGTGCAACTTCCCATCGATTTACGACATTCGGGAAGTCCTCACACCATCATGCAACCGACATGATCGGCTAGTCCATACGTCACTTGGGTATCTTCGCCTACCAAGGCCGCTCCTGAATCGTCTGGTCGTAATCTGGGATTGTATAGTAACGCGTCGGCTGAATATTTCTTCTCGAGCCGTAGCTCGTGTAGAAATAGTTCTTCGAACGGCCGACGACGGGGCAATCCCGATGCGACCCATCTATCTAGTGTCCGCTTCCGGGCAGAATCGCCAATCCCATCTTCCTCCTTTTTCAACAGTGTCTCCTCGGGCCGCAACTCGCCGGAATTCGGTACTGTTCCGGGCGTAACCGCAAGGATATCATAAGAGACATCAACGCAAACAGTGCCCTAGAGATATCCGCGGCGTATACGTTGTTTTTGTACAGAGCTCTAGAGTTTCGGTTAGCGAAGGCATGTAGAAGATTTCAAGGAAAGGCCCATGCTGTAAATGTGTAAAGGATGTTGTAAAGGATGTATGTTGGTGCCTAGGGATAAAAGTAAAGAGGCGCCGAAGGGTGAGAGGTAGGTATCTATATAACTTGTTGTCGATGATTACGATTGCAGCACCGTCGATTAGTGTATACGATTTACCTCAACCTTCGACGACGGCGACGGCGACGACGACAGCGAAGTCATTCGTTAGAGTCTCCCCCTCCGTGGGGTCACCTGACGTTACCCGTCTGGAAATATAAAATAATGTAGGTGATCTCCTCCACTCATAGTAGATGGGATATGCGAACCTTTTCAAGTTGACCCGAGGGGGTCGTGTCACTTACGCTCCACGTAAGTAGTACGTGTGTATTCTCGAGAACTCTCGATTACGAATCAGCCTCGGGCGTGCGGGTGAGTTGCCAATGTCAAGGAGGTCGTCTCGTCTCACTCTCACTCTGCCATCTTATCGAGTTGTCTTGTCACGGTCACCATCTTCTCGATCAATTCCGGAATCCTAAACGGTTTTACGAGGACGTCGTCACAGCCCGCAGCTTTGGCCTCCACGATCTGCTCTACGCGAGCATTGGCGCTGACTGCGATGATCGGTATCCGCGGGCCCTTAAGCCGGCCGGCCTTTTCTAGCTCTCTAATCTTGCGAGTGCAAGTGAGGCCATCCTGAACTGGCATCTCTATATCCATTAAGATGAGGCTGAGAGGAAACTTGCCATTGGCCCGGTTCGTGTGCTGAAGCCTCTCCAATGCCTCTACTCCGTGATTAGCTACGTCGACGATGCAGCCGCTGTTCTGCAAGTCACGACGGGTAATTTGCTGGTTGATGAGGTTGTCTTCGACTAGGAGCACACCTTCGATTCGAGGCCCGAGCAGCTTCTTAGTCGGCTTGGCCATGGTAAATGCTCCTCTACCGAATCCCTTTCCGACGGTACTGTTTGGTGATTTCAGAATATTGCCTACGGCTTCGGCGGCCGCGCGAGCTTCCTGCGATGCTTCCTCGCTCGATACCTCTGCCTCGATGTAAAACGCGAAGGTCGAGCCCTGGCCGGGACTGGATGCCACGCCGATAGCGCCATTCTGCATCTCGGTGAGTCTACGGCTGATGAACAGCCCCAGCCCCGAGCCCCCGTATTTCACATGAGTCTTCGAATTGGCTTGAACGAAACGTTGGAACAATGACGATTTTTCATCTTCGGTAAGCCCTTGCCCCGTGTCCTTCACTTCGAACATGAGGTAGACCCTGTTCTCCTCAGGAACCGGCGGGAAAGGCTGGTCCTCTTGCCATGCTAGATCCGTGGCTCGGGGTATGAACTGGACGGATGGGGCACGGCCCTCGGGGTGAGACTTCGACGCGCTCATGGTAATAGACACGTTCCTTGTCGGTCCGTTCTTCGTAAACTTCAAGGCATTTGTCAAGAGGTTGATGAGCACCTGCTTCAAACGTGAGGGATCTAGTTCGAGAAACTCGATATTGAGGTCGGTTAGGGACCGATCGACTACCATCGTCAAGTCGATGTCGACTCTGCGAGCCTCCACCTCAAACATTTTAAATGCTTCTCGGGCGATGTAGATTGGGTTCACCGTGATGGGCGTGATAGACAGGAGGTTCGAATCAAGCTTTGACATCGTCAGGATGTCGTCGACTATGCGCTTTTGATGCTGGGCGCAAGCGATTATAGTCTCCGCATTGTCTATGCTGTCTTTCAACAGCTGGGCGCCTTCCCGGTAGATACTGCCTGAGGGACTATGGATGCCGGAGGGACTCGAGTTGTTCGTGTGGCCAAGCCTGGCAGCTTTCGTATCGACCAACTCTTGCGCCTTGATCAGACACCCGATAACGGCGTCGGCGCATTGGACAATCGCGCTCAGCGGGTTCCGCATCTCGTGCGAGGTCATGTCGATGAAGTTTTCTTGTTGTCTCTTAGATTCGATGGCTTCGTCTTTACGCTGCCGCTCCTTTTCGAACTGCCACTTCTGCAGCGAGACATCGCTCAGACAGCCCGTAAAGGTTTCGATGGCGCCCTCCGAGTTGCTTACCGGCATAAAGGTTGCCAGGACCCAGCGAGGGGCGACGATCAGATCTCCGGCGGTGTCTGTCTCGGTCCACGACGTCTTTAGCCGAAGTTCTGCGGTCTGAGATTTGCCTTCTCTAACAAGTGTCACTAACGTCTTCTTCAGAGTAGGCATATCGTCATCGACGACGCAAACTTCGAAGGGCTTGACCGGCACGCGGGACAGATCCACCCTCTCTATGCCGCACATCTCGTAAAACACATTGTTCGCCCCAATCAAGCGGCCGTCGAGGGTCATATCGTACATGCCTACGGTTGCGAGCTCCGCCATCCTGTCGTGTTATGGGTTAGCTAGCGCTTCGTCTACTACCTCATGGAAAAGGCTCAAACTAGAAAACCCTGATTTCGTGAGTGTGAAGTGTCTGTCCTTGGGGAGGCCGGACGCTGCAAATCAGGCCCACGCAACGAGCTCGAAAACTGACGAGACAAATGAGCCTAGGGGTCAGTGCACTCACCGTTTGAGATTCTCCGCTTGCTGGGCCTTGCGGATGGCTTCTTCGGCGGCCTTTTTATGTAGTGTTACATCCGTCAGGCATGCAAGAACCTGATTGATGTTGCCGTCGGGACCCCGTTCGGCTTTAAGCGAACCTAAGATATGGCGCAGGCCTCCGTCATCCGCTTCCAAGTCCAACCCTACTTTCTCGAAACCAGGAGAGCTACCAATCGGGTGCAGGAGTGGGTAGTTGTCGTCCGGCGACCGTCGAACTCGGAACTCGATTGTGACGCTCAGTGTTTTCTCAAGTTCTTCGTATGCGCGCTTAATATTAGCTTTGTCTTCGTCGATAACACAAGACAGGAAACCCTCCGCGGTGAGGGGGTTCGCTTTAGTGGCCCCCGTGATACGGTGCCACGCGTCATTTGCCAATGTAATGTCGCCGGTATTATTACCAAAGCACATGCCGACAGGAATGAACTCGGCCATCTGTTGAAACTTATGCACCGACTCCGTCGCCTCTCGCGTCTTGGTTTCGAGCTTTTCTTTCAACAAGGCCTGATCGTAAGCAGCTTGTTCGGCAATGTTACGACCTCTCCGCGCTTCTTCAACGAGGAGCACGATCGAGGCCAGCGTCGTGTTCAACTTCTGGTTGAGTAGCGATATGTACTGTCGGTAGTCGTTGTCATAAGGGCGGCGGGGATTCAGGCCGAGAACGAGCAGGCCCGATACGTCTTCGTCTTTGGTTGGACGTATGGGACAGATGACGGCTTCGCGACAGGGGTCCCGAAAGCCGCGCCAGCATAGCTCCTTGAATAAAGACTCGGGTAGTGTTCCGTCCTTGACCTGAAGCAAAATCGGCCCATGCGATTTTGCGGCTGCTGCAAAAGACGACAGGCCCCCATCACTCCCGTCGAGGCGCAGGGGCGATCGAGCGATGGGGTGGCCATCTGGAACACCGAGGCATCCTTGGAGCCTGTAAACCTTCTCCGGTGTCGTGGAGTTGAGGTTATCCTGGACGGAGTAGAGGATGGCGAGGGGGATGTCGTAAGTTGGGCGGCAAGCCTCAAGTTCTTGAAGAAGCTTGGCCCAGTACGACTCGACATCGCGTGCGGAAACCAGCGTGTCACCCAAGTCAATCAGCATCTTAGTGCGCCGTTCCCAGAGCCTCGTGGATGTGGTGTCTTGAATGGGCTGGATGAACCCGAGGCACTTCTTCTTTTCAATGATAGGGGTGATAGACCACTTTAGGTATTTCTCCTCGAGGCTTCCGTCGTTGTTCTCGACAAAGAACCGCCATTCGTCCTCGTCACCTACTCGGTGCTTGGAGGCAGTCGTAGACATGGCTAGCTTGATCTTCTCGGAGAAGTCAGGCCAGGCATCCTCTACCGATTTTCCTAGCAAAGCCGGGTGTTTGGGGCCACATAGTTTGCTAAATGCTTCGTTATACAGGGTGGTCAACTGCGCGCCCCAGTATATGGCTATAGGCCTCGAGTCGGCGAGGACTTGATCAAACGTTTGGTGGAGGAGGGAAGGCCAGCGGGACAGCGGGCCGAGCGGCGTCTCTGCCCAGTTGAAGGTCTTAAGCACGTTGGCAAAGGAGTCGTGGTCTGGTACGAAATCTGTTACCCAGCCATCGTCGTCGTCGACGGTAGTTCCATGGCCGACAGGCTTGTGGAAAAGTTGGTTGGTGTTGCCCCAGTGGTTGAGGGCAGACTCGGGGAAGCACTCGTCTGCCGGCGATCGATCGTTGGCCCCTATGACGGCCCACCTGTCACGAACTATCGAACGGGTCCAGGATACATTCTCGAAGGCAAAGGGGTAGGTGCCGATGTCAGAGGCAGAGGCGAAGGTGAGCCAGTCCCAGAAAGGGCCGTGGCGCGACTTGGATACCTCGATGACCCGGCCATGGAGGGCGGCGTTGGCGCGGAGGGCGGGGTTCGCGTAGATTGGCTGCTGCGTCTGGGTCGGTGTCGTAGCGACGATAAAGGTCGGTCGGGGATCAGATTCGAGGAGGTCAAGAATGCCGACGTCGGATATTCCCATTGGTGGGTGCATCATCAGCTCAGCTGGAAAGGTTGCGGCGTGATTCAATGTCGCCGGCGATGATACACTACATAATAGCAGAAGGTCATGGCGCGGTTCTTAAGGAGTGTTGAGGGCGGCTGGCGGAGGGGTAAAGGAAGACGGCAGCCGTCACCACCTCGTACCTCATAATACTAGCGCTATACCGGGTTATGTAACAACCGATAAGATAAGCTCGGACCTCACCTGAGATGCCCTATGTACCTACGTAGGTAGGTATATGATATATCACATACCTACCAGGCAGGTAGATACCTACCTATATATATATATGCCTCATCAGGCGGTAGGGAGGGACCTTTTCCAGGTTCCATGGCGTCAACGTCATCAGTTGGGGTATTATGCACGTTACGGATATGCAAGTACGCAGGAACATACTTCCAATTCCCAGGTTGGTATGCGAGGCAGCGTGGCGGTGTATTGTGATATGGGGGTCCTTCAATGTCATCGTTACGTACAAAGCCGCGGAAATGCAGACTCGGAACGGCGCGTCGAAGATCGCGACAGATATAAACCTGGTAAAAGGGAGGGTGGATATCTAATCTGAGGCTCCCCAGGGACCCCAACCACCTGACCTAACCGGGGAAGGTCGCAGGGCACCTAACCCAGGTAACTTATGTAGGTACTTAGGTACCTCTAGGTAGCTTAGGTATTCCTGGTTGCTATTCCCGTTCTCTTCTTTTATTCTGCAAAACCAGGGATATCAATCCCTACTATCCAAGTTTCACACTTTCAGCCTGCCACTCCCCCCCCTCTCTCCGCTCCCAAGGCGACCGCTTCGGAATAGGCACCACCATGCTATATCTGATCACGGGATAACACGCGCCAGTTTAACTGAGTTTAATTGTGAGCATCCCCAGTGCGGGAACCGAAGCAGTCACCGTGCCACCGGACAGCGTCGCCACCACAGCGGCCACGGCTCGGGTGTTGTCCGTCACGAAGGCCTCGGCCGTCGCCGGCGCGAAGTCCCGAAACCCGACCTCGACGTTCTGCTGCGAGCGGCCCGAGTTGAGGAAGACGACGACCACGGAGCCGTCCGTGTTCTTGAATGCCGTGATGCCAGTGCTGGACACGCTGCCCGACGTGCTGACGCGGTAGGCTCCCGGGCGCACGAACCGCGACCACATCGCGAAAGCCCAGAGGCGTCCGGAAGGGGTGAGCGTCTTGCCGTCGCTCGCGACGAGATACGACGACGCCTGGAACTGGTTGACCTCGACGCCCTGCCAATATATGTACGCGGACAAATTCGCGTTGGCAAGGCCGTTGTGGATCTTGTTGGCCCACGTCATGCCCTCGCACAGGCCGCCGTTGCTGTACCAGGTCGCGCACCAGCGTGACTGGAGGTCGGCTGCCTCAGTCTGCCACGTCTTCAGTCTCGTCGAGATGACCGATGTCGGGTCGCTTGTGTACATGTGGCTTGTGATGTACTTGAGGTAGCGTTCCATGCCCGCGGAGACGAGGCCTTGGGTGATGCTGCGTTGAGTGTTCCAGCCCACTAGAGCGCGGCATGTTAACCTGCGATCACGAATTCAGGGGTATTAAGAGGCGGGAGGTTTCCATAGCAAGAATGGCGGACGCGGGTAGGTCAGATTCATTGGCGAAATATCTACTTACTTGCGTCGCAGCAAGTCAGGGACACGTTACTGAGACCATTTGCCTCAAGATGGTTGTAGATGACGGGGATAAAGGAGGAAGCCTCGCTAGCTCCAGATTGCATCGACGAGTAGGTCGCCCTGTCAAGGTCAGCGGGATACACGGCCTTCGACACCGCGCTCGGCACGGGCAGGCACTCACACGAAGTCCGGTTCGTTCAAGAAGCCGAGCTGGGTAATAGGAATGCCCCGCTCGTTGTAAAACTTGATATATTGGACTAGGAAGTCGGCATAGGCCTGACGCCAGTCTCCCGAGGAGCACGAGTGTCCCGGGGTTCCGCACAGATAACCGCCGTTGTTCTCGTTGTTGTTGGTCTTCATGAAGCCGGGCGCGCTCCACGCGTTCGCGTAGAAAGTCTTGACGCCGTATTTCATGGCCTGTCGGCTGAACCACATCTGGCCGCGGTCGTCATCGTCGAAGCTATAGTTCGCAGCCGCAGTCGGCCCACCGGGGCTTTGGGGAAGGATGCTGTCGCTGCCGCTGGTGCCCGACCCGATCCGGTTCCGGACGATGGTGAGACCGGCGCCAGTCGTCGTGTTGAACAAATAGTCGAGGCCCTGCTGCTGAGGCTGCCCCGAGAGCATGTCCCTGAACTCAGCCGCACGCCCGAAAGCCTGCGAAACGCCGAAGCCGTCTATCTGCTGCAGCGTGGACGCAACGTTGACGGTGACGGCCGCTCGAGCAAAGGCGTCCCCAGTGCCCAGCACACACAGGACCAGGGGAAGGCGGGACAACATGGCGGCAGCCTCGAAAGGGTACTTCAGCAGGGCACACGGGATCTACAAGGACAAGCCGGCCCTATGGAGGCGAGAAGAATGCCTCGGTGACCTCCTCGGACAGACGAGACACTCGCAACGTCATTTATAGAGCTAGGATGCGGATTCCACCTAACAGAGTTACAAGGTAGAATATATCCGTAAAGGGGCTTGGCCATCGGGAGATACTTTAAATAATCCCTAATATCTCTCTTAACCAATGGCATGTTTTTTGACTATTACCACGGGATCGGAGCGGGTGAATTGTATAGAAGTCTATGGGCGATGCTGCCGGAAATGGACGTATGCGAAGGGATCACGGAGGGTTTACTATATTCAGACGGCTCACTGGACCGCCTCTGTTGGCCTTAGATACCTTAATATTGTATCTCTTGAGGTACCTACTGTCACGGATCTTTAGCGGAGCTGCGCCTATATTGTATTGGTTTATAGTGCGTAAGGGTACCCGTAATATGTACCTACCTAGGTAGGTAGGTACATCTGACCGCCTGAACCGGCCAATCAGGCGCACGCGGGTATAAACCAGCCCAACTCAGCAAGTCGAAGGCCAACTACCTAAGAGGTAGTTCAGCCCATCGTCTCGGCCCGTACCGAATGGTCGTGTCTGGTGTCTGGTGCCTATCGGCCTACCTAATAGGTATGTCTACGTTCCAAGATAGGGTCATGGTCTGCGCGGCCCTTCCCAACTGGCCCTCCCCCTCCCCTTCTCCCCCCCCTTGGCTTCGACCAACCTGTCGCTCGCTATGGAGACCCTCCTAGCTCTCGTCGCCATCGGCGGCAGCATCGTCACCGCCCAGAGGGTCGTGCCGGTCGGCTTTAGCCGGCCCTCGCCGAGACTCCCCGCCCTGCACAGACGCGCCGGCACCTACTCGCAAGAGCTGAACAACAACCTGACCAGCGGCGGCTATTATGCGCAGGTCGCCGTGGGCACCCCGCCGCAGGCTGTCGACCTCGTCGTCGACACTGGCAGCAGCGACGTCTGGGTACTAGATCGCCACGCGGACCTCTGCCAGTCCGAATCGATGCAGGACTATTACGGGTACTGCCTGTCGACCTGTGCGTATTCGCCTCCCCTCCCTGCAGCACGCGCTAACCCGTGAGGACTCGATCCCGCGCAGTTGATCCGTCGGCGAGCTCTACCTTCTCCATCGTTTCCCGAGACGCCTTTAGCATCAGCTACGTGGATGGCTCCGGCGCGGAGGGAGACTATGTCCGCGACACCCTGAGCATCGGCGGGATCGACATCGAGAATCTGCAGATGGGGCTTGCCGAGAACTCCACCATCAACTCGGGTCTCCTGGGGATCGGGTTCGCCGCCAACGTCGCCGCGCAGACCCCGTATCCGAACATCATGACGCTGTTCCGCGCCCAGGATCTGATCGCCGTCGAAGTGTACAGCTTGTACCTGGTAGGCTGATTCCCGCTCCTTTCCTCCCTCCCTCCCTTCGTTCGCGGACATCGCGCCGAGGAAGTTGGGCGACGCGCCTCGGCCGTGCTGACGCCCGCCTTGCTGCAGAACGACCGCTTCGCCGAAACTGGGACCATCCTGTTCGGCGGGCTCGACACCGAGAAGTACATCGGGCGGCTCGGGGTCGTTCCGATCTTGCCAGACCGTACGGGGAACTACTCGTCCTTCGCCGTCGTGCTCGCCTCGCTGTCCAGCACCGCTGCCGACGGCACCGTCACCAACTACGCGCGCGGCGCCATCCCCGTCATCCTCGACTCGGGCACGACCCTGACGTACCTCCCGTACAGCGTGGCCGCCCGCGTGTTCCGCGCCTTCGGCGCCGTCGACGACACCTCGGGAACGGGGCTCGTCTACGTCAGCTGCCGCTACCTCGAGGAGGCCGCGGACCTCACGCTCGACTTCCGGTTCGGCGGCGGCGCCGCCGCCGCCGACAACCCCGTCATCCGCGTGCCCACCGACGAGCTCGTGCTCGACAACGTGCGCGCGTACCAGGCCCTCGGCCTCGTCCTGCCCCCCCTCCCCTTCGCCGACGTCTGCACCTTCGGCCTCCACCCCGACGCCGACTACTACCTGCTCGGCAACACCTTCCTGCGCTCCGCCTACGTCGTCTACGACCTCACCAACCGCGAGGTCGCCCTCGCCCAGGCCAACGTCAACAGCACCCGCTCCAACGTCATCGAGATCACCGCCGCCGACGGCATCCCCGACGTCCCCGGCGTCGCCTCCCAGGTCCCCGCCACCCCGACCCCGTCTGCCGCCCGCCCCGACGGTACCGCCACCGCCACCGCCACCGCCACCGCCGACGGCCCTGGAGGCGAGAATGCCGGCCTGAGAGCCGTGCCCGCGCCCGATTGGAAGGCTGTGGTGGCGATGGCTGCCATGGTAGGTCTGTGTGCGCTGATGGGTGTCGAGGTTGTTGTATTATGAATGAAGAACAGCTCAGGCCAGGAGCCTCCCTTGTTCCATAGGTGTATTTAATTTGGGTACATTAGACTAATATACGTGCAAAAGCCTCGCTTCAAAGCAGCAGGCGAAATTAATTATTGCGTAATGGGCCCAGACCTAGGCCGCAAACTCGGGAGAGATGTAAGTATGCGTCTGCATTTCTCGTAGCATTAATTGTTGGTTGGCGCCTTGCTTGAAAGCGAATCCCATTAAATAGGTACTAAGCTCAATGAGGGGGGTTTTTTTTTTAAAAAAAAGGGCGGCACAGGATGCGGTACAATAATTCAATATTCAGACACACTAAACTCATCCGCGAATCCTATTTGTACATGGGATGGCCATTAAGCTAACTCCACGCCTGGCCTCGCATCTACACGGGCTGTCTCCAAGCAACAACGATAGAGAACTCCCTAAACCATTTTCTCGTACCGCTCCCTCGCCTTATCCTTGGCCTTGGAGACAAAATCCGCGTAATCGTTCTTCGTGGCCCTAGCAGCCTCCTCGGCCGCGTCTCCGATCTTACCGCCCTCGGCCCCGAGGCCGACACCGGGGGTATATGCCAACGTCTCGAGGATATTAGTCTGCCCGCTCCCTTCTGCCCCGAGGCCCTCTCCTGCGCTCCATCCCATCTTAGCCAGTAAGCCTGCACCCTTCGATATCGAGGGTTTAGCAGGCGGCGCGTCGGTGGTAGACCCGGTGTCCCTGGCCGCTGGGGGGTTCTTTCTAGGGAGATGATTCTTTGGCCTACTGGGCTGATTGTGTGCCAGCCGACGCTCTTTGGCCCGATCTCGATAGTTAGACTCAGGCTCCTTACCAAGAGCTTGCAACTCTTTGATCGCCTGGGCGATCAGGATTTTGTTATTAATGTTTGCCTTGTGCATGTCGCTTATTTGCTCGTGTCGTCGCAGCGAAGGCTCATTCTTGAATTTCCGCCTGCATAGCAGGCAACACATTCGGTCGAGATCCGCATACGACGTGGAGGGTGGCGGGGATGTTGCTGGAACATTCGAATCTGCTGCGTTTGTGGTGCTGAATTCGGCGGGAGCTTCGTCGCTGGTATCCCTGGCAGCAGCCAACGCCTTCGGCCCATGAAGTTCGGCGTGTTTATTTGCCCACATTTGTAATTGAGGCGCCATCGCGATCACCTTTTTACCGTTGGGTGCTAGGAGATCCTTCTCCGCCTTTCTCTTCTTTGATTCCTTCCCCGTAGGTTTCTCCGCGTCATTCTTGGTTTGGTCCGAGTTTGGGGGCTGGTCCTCATACCAGGTCTCATTGAAAACCTCAAATCCACTAGCATAGACAGACGGATTCCAGTAGACGAGTCGTAGGGTCGGGTTATGAGTTGCTGCAAATGTAAATCTTGGGTCCTGCTCCCGAACCGGATGTAAGAAGGGTGTAAAGACGCCGGAATGGATGTATGCTATAGTGACTGGCTTTGATGCGACGGTAAACTGCGGCGAAGCGTTATATTTCGCCATCGCGGCCCGGGCATCGTCTAGACTAGAGAATTCGGCGAAGCCGTAATTACAGCTGATGTCCGAATACTTGTTTCGGATCATGAAAACGCGTACTAATGATCCCGGTTTGGCGCCCAGCCCGCTGGTATTGCCGATGGGAGCCGTGCTCTTGAGTTTGGTCGGCGCATTGGAGGATGGTTTCGGTTCATCTTCCTTGGCCACGTAGAGCTTCTTAATCTCGGTAGCTAGATCCTGCTCGGTCACTGAAGAGGACAAGTCACGGATGACAAGAAATTGGGATGGCGTCTGTTGTGGACATTCGTCACTTTTACCGTCGAGTTTTATGTCCGTGACATTCTCGGCTAAGGGATTTAGTTAGCCTATGAACACGATCTCGCCCTCCTTTCGCAGGGCCGACATACAAGACCTAGGAGCTTTGCACTGCTTGCACGTTGCTCGGCGGGAAAAGTTTTCAAAGTGGCACTAATGTGACGGTCAGATCGATTGAACAGGAGCGAATCGACAGCTCAATACGGACCATAGTGCATTGCCAATCCTCTGGGTTGGCGGCATAGCGGCGCTCCCGGCTATAATCTATAGGCATACGTGTGGAAGAGCCATGGCCGCCGGGGACATTGAGGGCAGGGTAATGGCTTTCGAGGAAGTCGACGGCGTCGTTCTCCGATTTGAACTCGGCAAAGGCATATGACCGGCGGGTGCCTTCATCAAATTTAGAGGCGGGAGGTTATTACAGTGTGGGAATGTACAAACCTCTGTCGTCCGATTTGACACGGACCTCGACGAGACCGGCGGCTCCCATATCGCGCAAGATACTATCGATCTAATCGCAGGCATTAAATACCAGGGTCATAGGAAGGCCACGACTTGAGCATACCTCCTGCGGGCCCATTCTGTCGGGGACATCATCCAACTTAAGCGTATGATATGGTCGCCCGGGCCTGGACCGGCGGTTGGAATCATGGTAGTAGCCGTCGTCGGCTGAATCGAAAGGCGACGACGCGCCCGAGGAGGCGCGCCGAGGGCTTCTGTCGTGGCGCCTTCGAGGATCATCCCGGTCTTGGTAATGCCGACTCCGGCCATGACTGGCCGAGCGAACGCTACGATCATATGGCCGGAAGGTGTCTTCGTATGCGCCCTCTCCATCATACTCTCTCGCACGGTCGGAATGTCCGTATTGATGATCGGGCGACATATTCCGTCGGTGGGGGGAATTGTGTCTTCGGCCAGCCGGGGAGCGGCGTGGGCGGCGATTATCCTCTCCTCTCAGGCTCCTTGGAGGCGTCCTTCTAGGCGATCTAGAGGAGTCTTTCCCCGCAGGAAAGTCAGCACAAACTCATTGTTAACCTTGACGAGCAGTCCCCTCCAGGCCATATCATTTTACCATGCCGCGAACGATAATGGTGGTCCCTAGGAGCCGGCGATCTACGTCGGTAGTAGTCGCGCTCATCCCGAGACTGATGATCGTAGTCGTGGTACATGGTGATGCCGCGCGATCATCGGGATCGAGATGGATTTCGATATATCGCGATGAGAGTCGAATGCAGAGGATCTCTAGCGCCCTCGTCGCTTGTTGCCCTGTCCAGTGGCCCAGAGGATGAAGGAACCTAATAGAGGTAGAAATAGGAAGCGCTGTGTATAGTGACTGAAGCGTCCTTGAGAGGAGACGAGGTAAACGGATTGCGTGGATTGGTAGGTGGGAGTACCTGGGGATGTTACATGGAAGTTGCCATGCGGCGACAGCGCCAGGGAAGGTCCACCAAGGTCAGAATTAAAAGAGTCACCTGTACGGTAGAGTATACATCGTTAGGTAAATACTCAATGTATGCACATATCGCGGCTTGGGGCGTGTACCTATAGCCTATCAGGTACCTGAATCCACATTATTTACGAGTACTTCAGTACCAACTTTAAAGAAGGTAAAATAATAAGTACGTTTTTTAAAAAAAAAATGAATTTTCTTAGAATTCTTAATTATTATAAATAACAACATCAATATTTAGAAAAACCTTAAAATTGTTAAGATTCTTTATCTTCATTTACCTACGTAAATGCTCGTGAGATGCCCCACTTACCAAATATGTAAGTAAGCGACTCCTCCTTTCTGAGCCATCCCACTTATGAGCTCATTAGTGGGCGACTCTCTTATCTCAGCTCGTGATGGCTGCTTGACTCCCTAACGCGATACTCCTCATCTTCATGCCCGAAGAGATGGACTCTCGCATCACTGAGGCCGAGGGGGACGGCTGTTATGTTGCACTGACGTATAGCCACCTCAACCTGAACCAGATCGTGGACAGAGTCCGTAGCCCCCAGGCAGGCGCAATAGTCATGTTCGCCGGTGAGTACGACGTGTCGAGCGCGGCCTGTCATATCTATGCGCCTACTATATCGGTTCGGCGCGCGTCCTGATGTTCCCTAGGCACTACCCGAGATAACTTCGGTGGGAAGCCGGTCAAGGAGCTCCAGTACTCGGCCTACGGCGCTCTGGCCTTGCGCACGATGCTCTCCATCTGCGAAGACATTCGTGAGAAGCACGGCCTGATATCGATAGCCATGGCCCACCGTCTCGGGACAGTGCCTATCGGGGAAGAAAGCATCCTCATAGCGGTGTCTGCTCCGCATAGACAGGCTGCGTGGAAAGCCGGCGAGCAGGCCCTCGAGGAATGCAAAGAGCGCGTCGAGGTCTGGAAGAAGGAGGAATTCGAGGGCGAAGACGGCGTCTGGAGAGCCAACAGAGACGGCGCTATGGGTCAGAGGGAAGACACCTCGGGCGAAGCAGTCGGTACGGGTCGAACATGATAAGTACGGTCCGTAGGGCCTGCTTCCCTCTTGGAGCCTCTCGAGGCCAGGTTGCTCTCGCAAGGGTGTATTCCGTAGGCTTAGAACGATCCCCCTCTAGCCTCCTCTGCCGTTGCACGGGGAATGATGGGATGAGAGAGGTGTTCGAGCAAATTTCTCGCTGGCCACGACTACGAGGGCATCAGAATCGCCCAGCGATACCACTTTCCTCGAGAATCAAATCGAATCCCCGCCGCAGTCAAACGTATGCCTACTGATACTACCACTCGTCGGCCGATGTCCCGGATCATCTCTTTTGCTGTACCTGCGGGTTACGATGTAGCGTGTCAGGTAGTATGTACAGCGTCTATTAACATATCCTAACACAACCAATAGACATAATCGATCCAGGCCCAAATCAAGTTTGTCAGCTCGCTGTCGAAACCAATCCGAGCATCCAGCTGCCACATGAGGCCACCGAGGATTGCCGGTCCTCATCGGGAGAGACAGATTCAGGGCAGGGTGGTGGTCGATTAATCTACCGGCTAAAATCACCATCGAGCCAAGGAACCGATGCAGAGTCTCGACCTTGTACGGGAATGCGCGGCTATCCTAAGAACGGCACGAAAAAAAAAACTTGTCCTCGATTCTGCCTTGGAAAGTGACCCGCATGGAATGTTCACGGCTATATCAGCGCGTAGCAGCACGGTTGGTTGCATCATGGTTATCCATTCTCTTGGAATGGCCTCATTTAGGCAGTCCGCCTACTACTCCTGAGGCTTATGCCCTACCCCAGATGGGTGCTTAATATCGGAGGCGACATTATCAGAGTCCCACCTCCCCTATTTGCACCTCCTTTGGGATGGCTGGTTATCGTCTCGCCCTGGCTGGATTCGACCCCCCGGGGACGAAGAAGTGAAGGAGACATATCCACAGGTTCCATACAGGTGTCGCTCCATGCATCATGACGCCTTACTTCGCTTCCCGATCGATGTATGGCCGTATAAATTACGTGTCCCCCCGAGACGCGTCGACCTCTTGCTTGTTATCTATTGTCTTCTCCCATTGCTTCCCCTCTCTATTGCGTGTCATAGCATGGTATCTACGTGTACGCGCACGCCGATTTCTAAAAATACAGAGACCTCTGCCCAAAAGCCGTCATGGTGTTTGGCTTCCGCAAGCGCGTCATCGCTAGAGACGTCTCTCGCGAGGGCAGCACTTCCTCCAACGAAGGTGGAGAGACTGCCAGCACCCAGGCGCTCCATACACTCAGGCACTTCGAAGAACAGCACAAGTTCGACCCTAATATACGGATCCAAGACCTCAACGACGTCGACACCGTGCTTGCTGCTGGTGACACTGAGAAGTGTATTGAGGTCGAGACGGCTCTACTCGAACAGGATAGCCCTTACCCAGAAGTAGGTCTCTCCCTACTTGAGAAGCCCGTAGCTCTACTCTGACATACAAACGCATGAAAAGGTATCCGCTACAGTGAGGGACTACGATGTCGACTTGCCAGCCAACACGATTCGCGCCTGGGTTATCGGTTTGGTTCTATGCACTACAGGGTCTGCCGTCAACATGCTCTTCTCTCTCAAAAACCCGAGCGTGCAAATTACCACCTACGCGATTCAACTAATCGCATACCCGATCGGACTCGGCTGGGATTTGATCTTCCCGGATCGGCAGTGGGAAATAGGAAGACTCAAATTCAACCTGAAGCCTGGCAAGTTCAACTTCAAGGAACATGTCGTCATCGTTGTCATGTCAAATGTGAGTCCGATCATACCCAGATCCGGGTTTGGGCTCGTACTAAAGCATGAGCAGGCAGCCTACGGCGGTGGGTTCTTATACGCGACGGACGTCTTGGTCGCTCAGCAGATGTTCTGTAAGCCGTCCTAAGCGACTCGTCTCGCTGTTCCGACTAACAATCACCAAAGACGGCCAGCACTTCGGGTGGGCATTCCAGCTTCTGTTCGGGATTACCACGCTCTGCACCGGTTATGGTCTGGCTGGGATAGCCAGGCGGTTTCTCGTCTGGCCTGCTTCCATGATATGGCCGTCTACCCTCGTCAACACTTCGCTATTTCATGCCTTGCATGATCACGCGTCCTCCGACCCGGCCCATACTAACGGCTGGGGCCTGAGCCGATATCGATGGTTTCTGTATGTTATGGGAGGGTCTTTTATCTGGTACTGGTTCCCCGGGTGGATCTTTCAGGGCCTGTCCTATTTCACCTTCATCTGTTGGGCTTCCCCGAAAAGCGTCACGTTGAACAAGATTTTCGGGGGATTGCACGGATATGGCCTCCTTCCAACGACCCTGGACTGGTCCATGGTTTCCGGCTACGCCCTCTCCCCGCTCATCCCGCCTTTCCACGCCATCGCAAACACCATAGTCGGCGTGGTCATCTTTTTCATTGTCGTTTCGATGGGCCTACACTTTTCTGGGACCTGGTACGCAGACTACTTTGTCGTCCAGTCGTCCAGCGCCTTTGACAATACCGGCGCCGTATACAATGTCTCTAGAATCTTGACCGAAGACTTGCTTTTGGACGAAGATAAATACCACGCGTACTCTCCTCCCTTCCTTTCGACCCAGTTCGCCCTTTCCTACGGGCTCTCTTTCGCCGCCGTCGCCGCCGTCGTCGTTCACGTCGTCCTGTACCACGGGAAACAAATTGTGGCACAATTCAAGCTCGGCCGCAAGCAAGAAGACGATATCCATATGAAACTCATGAAGAGGTACCGTGACGCCGAGGATTGGTGGTACCTCGCTCTTTTCGTCGTCATGGTTGGCCTTTCCTTTGCCGTCTGCTGCGGTTGGCCGACTGGGTTGCCTGCCTGGGCTTACGTTCTCTGCATGTTGGTCTCGATCGTCTGGACAATACCGATTGGCGTCATCCAGGCGGTCACGAACGCCCAGCTAGGGCTGAACGTATTGACCGAGTTCATCATCGGATACATATTACCCGGCCGCCCGTTGCCCATGATGATGTTCAAGAATTACGGCTACATCAGCGTGGTACAAGCGCTCGTAAGCCTCACCCTCTATTCCTAGATCAGACCTCGCGTCTCAAAGGTCTATCGTTTGTTTTACAAGCCTTTGTTAATCGCTAACTCCGAATGCTATGTAGTATTTCGCCCAGGATCTCAAGCTAGGCCATTATATGAAGGTTCCCCCTCGTGTCATGTTTTGGTCACAACTGGTGGCCTCGATATGGTCTGCCGTCGTCCAGATTTGTGTCATGAATTGGGCTCTGGGAACCATCCCCGGAATCTGCACCGATGAGCAGGCAGATAACTACACGTGCCCGAGCGGCAGGGCTTTTTACAATACGTCGGTTATATGGGGTGTTATTGGCCCCGCGCGGAGTGAGTAGGCATCCCGGAGAAATGTGTGTCTTGCTATGCTAACGGCCGGCTCTAGTATTTAGCGGCGACGCCATCTACTCCTCGCTGCAGTGGTTCTGGGTCGTCGGTGCCATCAGTCCCATCATCACCTGGCTTGTAGCTCGCCGCTGCCCCAAGTCTATCTTCGGCTTCGTCCGCTCCATCAATATGCCACTTATCTTTGGCGGCGCCAACATGATCCCGCCGGCGTCGACGTACACATATCTCTGCTGGGGCAGCGTGGGAATTGCTTTCAACTACTACATTAAGCGGAGGTGGAACGGGTGGTGGCTGCAATACAACTACATCACCTCGGCAGCCCTCGACTGCGGGCTGGGAGTCGCCACGATTATCATCTTCTTCACACTCTATCTTACTTCCACCCAACTACCGAAATGGTACGGCAACTACGACGTTTTCGATACGCTCGATCAGACCGGAATGGCCATCAAGAAGTTCGCTGCCGTTGGAGAAACGTTTGGCCCCGAGTCCTGGCCGTGAGCGCGACCCTTCTCGAGCAGCAGGCCTTCATGTTATAAAGGGGTATGCAATTGGATGGGTGGGTGGGAATGATATTACTATGTTTAGTCCTCCGTCGGGATGAAGGTCGCGCCGACTCACTCCACTCCTCAACCTGCCTTATGTTTTCAACATACCGTCGACCTGGACCACGCTGCCATTCATATATCTCGCCCCGTCGCTCATCAAGAAGGCCACAACCTTATTTCGACCTTCGCGTCAGCCGCAGATTCTCACCAGCGCCGCGGGGTAAGGAGTGTGCACTTACATCTGCGACGTCGGCTGGGGTTCCCATCCTCCCCAGGGCGTTGCCCTGCTCCATCGCCAGGCGGGCCTCGGGGGTGCCGCGGGCGATGCCGGCGTTCGTCGGGGTGTCTATGTAGCCGGGGGCGACGACGTTGACGCGGACGCCGGCGGGGCCGAGCTCGAGGGCCATGCACTTGCTGAAGCCGACGACGGCGAACTTGGTGGCGCAGTAGACGGCGGTGCCGGCGGTCGGGTTCCAGCCCGAGATGGAGCTGACGTTGACGTAGCTGCCGCCCGGGGCGGCGACGTGCGGCGCCGTCGCCTTGGTCACGTTGAACACGCCCTTGAGGTTCGCGCCCACCAGCCGGTCGAAGTACGCCACGCTCGTCGCCGTCAGCGCCGCCGCCGTCGGGTTGATCCCCGCGCAGTTGAACACGTGGTCCAGTCGCCCGTGCCGCGCCGCCGCCGCCGCCACAACCCGGTCCACCGCCTCCGGGTCGGACACGTCCAGCGCGAAGGTCGAGTGCGACGACGGAGTCGGGGTCCCGCCGCCGCCGCCGCCGCAGAGTGCGAGCGTCTCGGCGAGCCCCGGCTCGTTGATGTCGGTGAGGACGAGGACGGCCCCGAGGCCATGCAGCTTGATCGCCGTGCTCCGTCTAATGCGAGCGAGACGAGGCGGGTATATGTGAGTAGGCGAAAGAGGATGGGGAGAGGGGGTTTTTGTTAGATAATGAGCTTACCCAATGCCGCTCGCAGCGCCAGTTATGAAGATCACTTTTCCGGCGAGGCTCGACGGCATATTGTCGAAGATAGACGCTGCCCTAAATACTTAGGTATAGGTGGCTAGGATAAATTGCAGGTTGCTCCGTAGCGAACTTGGAGATCTGGTATTCGCATCGGGGCCAGGACAGCTCTGCCCTTCCCCCCACTTGTGATCACCCCGCCCCGAGCTCGGAGAAGATCCGGAGGTAGCGGCGCCGGCGGCGGTGATGCGTGGCCTGGGGAATATGTTCACGTCTTCTCTCAATCCCCTCTCGCTGAAGCATTTTTCTACAGGAGGAAGCAGAAAGGAAAGGAAGGTGGACTTGCTTGCTTATGAATAAACCGATTACATCTCATAAAACCTCTAGCCGTGCCTATCTCGTTTCAAGCAGGTCACGCTTCTGCCAGAGCACCGCGACTCGACCTTGTCTATCTCGGCTACGCGTGACGCGCTTTATCAAGAGTGGGGGTGGAGGAAGAGGAGGGGGACAGGCGAAGGGTGGGCGTGTTTTGGAGCTAAGTTGGGTCACGAAGAAAAAGAGTCACGCTGCATCGCATCTGAAGACAGAGAAGGAGTGCAAGTTGAGCTGGTGCATTGGTATTCGCGCGCCCCCTCCCGATCAGGAGGGGGACATAGTAGATGGTGAAGGGGGCTTCTCTCATACTATACATGTAGACCTCGAGAGACAAGTCCCGGTCTCCGCCCCTCTGGCAGCAGAGAGGCGGAGACGACGAGGGGGACCTCCCGATGTAGTAGTGAAAACGAACTGAACCGATCAATCTAGAGCCCAGGCCTTCCGCTCCTCCAATCCTCCACGCTGGCAATGACAGAGTGAATCTCCTCCAATCCTCCACGCTGGCAATGACAGAGTGAATTTCTCTTTTTCCACCAAGGCCCGAAGCTTTCCCCTTCTCCCTCAGAGCCCCTCAAAACCGCAGTGTATATGTATGCCGGATGTGTGTGTGTGTGTGTGTTGCGTGTCGGTGTTGCGTTGGCGTCGTGGTGTCGAGATATGCATGCGCGGGGTTTAAAGTCTCGGAGAATGCTCAAGGGGGGGTGGTGGGTATCCATCTAGATCGCCAAAAACAAGAGAGAGAGAGAGAAAAAAACAGGAACCGTGTGCCCATGCCCCCCTTCTCGCTCTCGAACGCCGGAACCCGAATTTTGTCAAGGAAAAGAAGATCAATTAATCCGCCCGGGGAGGGCGGCTCGGTCTCGCGCCTCGCTTCTCCTACTCGTAGAACCGCTCGTCCCAGCGGTGCTCCATCATCTCCATCGGCGCGGGCCACCACGACATCAGCGAGCCCGAGATGTCGGAGACGTGGTGCTGCGGGTGGGAGGCGGCGGCGGCGGCGCTCTGCGTAGTAGTAGTAGTGGTGGTGGTGGTGGTGGCGGTCTGGCACGTCGTCCTCGGCGCCTTGCGCTCGCCCTCGACGACCCACTCGTGCTCCATCAGCTCCAGCGGGCCCGGCCACCACGTCATCATCGGCCCCGAGATGTCCTCCATGTGGTGCTCCACCGCCGGGGCGGCGGGCGCGCGGTCGCTGGCGCTGCTCACGGCCGCCGCGGCCGTCGCGCGCGCCGTCGTCGCCGTCGGCTTCTCGTGCGACAGCTCTTCCGCCTGTCGTCCGAGGAAGACGGGGAAGTAAGATCCTTCTGGTGTTTTCGGGGGGCCAGGTTAGCTGCGGGTTCTCGCGTAGGTACAGAGGCGTGACCGTGTGTGGGAAGGGGAGGGGAAGCGGGGGGGGGTTACACACCTTCATCCGTGTCCGACTCGCAGTCGCTGAGGACCGGGGTTTCGTTGGTCTCCGACAGCGGGGTGTGGGTGCCCGACAGCGGCAGGCCGAGCGAGTTGTGCCCGGCCTGGTAGCCCTGGTTGATGACGACCTTGTGGTGGCGGCCGTGGTGGTGCAGGTGGTTGGCGTAGAGGAGGTGAGAGAGGTCGTCCTCGTTGTAGATGGCGACCTGGGGCGCCGCCTGGCTGTCCTGGGCGACGAAGTCGGGTTGGGGAGGCGGGGCCGCGTTGGCCGACTGCTCCATCTGGAAGATATCACCCTGCATCATGGTTGCGCTGGTGTTGCTTTGGTTGACCAAAACGTTGTTGGGTATGAGAGTATGTAGTGTTGGGTTGCTTGGTAGCTAGCTGGCTGTAGCCTGGCAGTGAATATTGAGTCTGAATATGTCGATATCTAAGCATCTAAACTGAGCTCGCAAGCCGGATCCGGCGTAGGTCTTATATACACAAGGGCCGGCGGCCGTAGAGGCCACGACGACGTGTGTGACCTGGATAGGAAATCTTCCTCTCGAGCGGCCGCGCTGGAGCCATGCTCGAACTATGAGATCCGATGCATTCTCGTCTCATGCGCCCAAAACGAATGGTTTGAGAATCAACACCGCCTTGCCCAGCCGGGTGACTCCATCACCCGCTTTTTTTTAATTGTTTTCTTGTTTCCAAAAGGGGGTGAGGGTGTAGCAGGCGGGAAAAAAAGCGAGCGCTAGTGGCGTGTTGCTGCATCACTATACTGTTGACCCTCGTATGATTTAGGCGCAGCTGTCTAGGCCAGCTACCCATGAAAATCTTACGGAGTGCCCTGAGGCCTGGCCGTCCGGCTTCACCCGACAGATGACTTATGCCAACGTTCTTGGCAAGGCCATGGATGGGGGTTCGATGGGGGTGGAGAATAAGGGGGGGGGGGCGAAGGGCCAGCAATAATAGCAACCTCGAAAAAGGAGGTGAGAAGAAAGGGAATAAAAGGGGGGGAGAGGGTTGATGGTAACTAAGCAGAGAAAGAAAGAGACAGAGAGAGAGAGAGAGAGAGAGAGAGAGGCTATTCGGAGTGAGCGAGGAACCACGAGGACAGGCAAAAGTGAGAGGGAGAAAAACTACCAAGAAAGGAAGGGAACCTCTTTTTTTGGAACCAAAAAAAGACCGGTAGAATTAGATAATTGTTGCTATCTAGGTAGATATCTACATAGATTGGTAGATACGAGACCTATAAGTGGATATGTCACCAACACCCAAGTATACCAAGCCGCGACGGAGACGATAGATAGATCTCTCTCACCACCCTCGAAAACTGGATTCCATCCTGCTAAAAATTTTCCGATGGATCCAACTCTATTCTCATCTAGATAGCTTGTCGCACTCGGCTTCATTTTTTTTTTTTTGCGCACATACAACACAATACAGCCGGTCAGGGTTATTTTTAGGGGTTGCGCAAAATGTCTTAATGATCCTATCCGATCCCTCAACCACATCCACCACCACCTCGTCCTCCCTCAACAATGCAGAGCGTAGGCAGCTAAGTAAAGCAGGCATTGCAGATATATCCCTCGCTCTTTCACATGCCGCCCAGCGTTTCCAATGGAGGTCTAGACAGCGGGACGATATCTTGGGTAGCTGGACGAGAGAAATCAACACTGTACACGTATCCGATTTGCCCCTATCCCTACACCTGTATCGACTCACCTGGTTCCCGCTCGTACAGATACGGTGGAACCAGAGACCAGAAACCCACACCGGCGAGGCGAGGGTCGCAATCTATAGGCGGTCGTTTCTCTACAAGACCTGACGAGGCTTCTCTCCCGATAGGCGCACGCCATTTTTTTCTCATGTCGACATCCGGGACTACTACGCTACGAGACAGGCAGAGACAGAGAAATAGCGGAAACGATGGCGCCAGTGGTTGGAATCATGCAGCCATGTGACATCCGTTCGTGCGGCTCTCGAGTTCGAGAGATCAACTGGCAACGCATAAGCATTGGCGCCCCTATGTACGTAGGTATATCATCCCATGTAGCGTTGCCACTTGCACTCCCTAGCACAGGCAGGTCCTCAGACTCCTCCCTCGTGGTTACATCGACTTCGTCCCGTCTACCCTTGTCAGTCCAATGCCCGGGGCATGCGTAGCTCCAGCGGAACGGTCAAGAAAAGATAACACTGAAAAAAAAAGAAGCGAAGGAGGAAGGAGAGAAAGGAGAAGCAGAGAACGGATTCTCTTAGAGGTAGTCGTGCTAGATTAAACCTTTTCCAACCCATTAACCCACCCGAACCTTTAGGGATGCCCTCTCTCGTTTTCCCTCTCTTGCTGCCGCCGACTATGGCGAGCCACCGTCTACTTGCCTACTACCGCCCCCGGCCCGCCACATCCTATAAGCAGCAGCTTGATGACAAATGAGTACAGAGCCACGGCCGTCGCCATCTAGAATATGCCATTAACAATCTTCCCGCCGAGGGTCGCGCCCGCACCGAAGATGGCGGCATTCCCTAGCTTCTTGCCGAACTTCTTGCCCTGCTGCTCGAACTTGCTCGGGGAGCCGCCGTTAGCCCCGCCGCCATCCTGTGCCACCGCCATGGGCGGAACGTTGGCGTTGTAGGGGTTCTGAGTCGGCGGCGGCGCCGGGTATGCGGCGTTGCTCGCTGGAGCCGGGCCCGGCCCTGCGTACACGGGCTGGGACGGGGCGTAGAAGCCGGCCTTCTCGCCGTGGTCGATCTCGACGTAGTTCTTAGGGAAGATGCCTTCGGCGTTCGTTCGCTGGTTGCGCCCCATCCACCAGTCGTCGTTCATGTACTCGTGCACGGCGATCTTATCGTCGCGCTCAAACGACAGGTCCCGGTCGTCGGCGGCTTGGTATTTGTATAGCGCCTTCGCGTGGGCGATCACCGGTTTGGCCGGTGGCGGAGCTGGAGGGCCGGAACGCGCGGGCAGGGAGGGCGGGCCGGTCGTGTTGTAGGCCGGCGGTGCCGGGCTGGGCGTCGGGTCCTGGTGAATGGCTAGGTTCGCCATCGCGTTGACGGGGGGCGCTCGGGGAGGTGGCGAGGCAACCGCGGAGGCTCGCGCGGCGGGTGTAGGCGCGCCAGAGAGCGAGGTCTCTGCGGGGAGCAGTCGCTGGATCGAGTCGAATACATCGTCGGTCAGGGCCCCATTCTCTAGAAGATGCTCGAGCTCCTGAGAGGCGTGGTCAGCGGGCCAATGGAGACAGTAGAGCGCGTGCCAGGCGACGGCATCCCGGTAGAATTGACCGTGGGCATACATACGTTTTTGATCAGCCGGAGCGACTTGTTGTTCGCGATGATTTCCTGACGTTCCAGAGTCACCATCTTGCCGGGAATCAACTAGTCCGTTGATTTGGGGTCTTAGGGTGAGGAGAAGTTGCCGAGTAGGCGTCCCGTCGGCGGAAAAGCACCGATTTCGTCGTCAATCACGCCTTTGTTTTATGACAAGGCCGGACAGTCTATCGGATAGAGGAAGGACGGGAGGAAACGGTGGAAGCCTAGGTAATTTCTTAAGAGCCAACCACGCTTTGGCCTGGCAAAAATGATGTTAGGTAGATGAAATGGACATGAACACGTGGGAAGGGATGGGAGAGTCGTCGGTGATGGTGGTGGAACGGGCGGATGATGGGGATTGGATCCTACCCGGGTTATCCATTGCTATTGACTTAACAGATCTCGCCCGTCGCTTTATTGGGGCGAATTCACCAATCCGATGTACGTAGCACGCATACGCACATTTGCGCGCGGTACCCGGGCCGGTGCTCTTCCAGCTCCAGGGCTGGTCAGAGGGATCTTAGGCACCTGTATACCAAACCTCTTAGGTATCTTATGTACCTACCGACCGCTACATAACGTGACCTAAAGTAAGGCAATCCGTCCACCTTAGGCCAGGTACTTCCTAGGCAATTGTAGGGGGCTTCCATTAGCCACTCATCTGTATATACGGGGAGTTGCCCGAAACGGAGTCCCCCGTACCCTCCTACGTAAACCATCGTGGCTGTGCATCTGTGTCAATCCAAATGCGTCTTTCCCCAAGACACCGCCTCCCCAACTTTCCGTATCGATGTTTCGGACGAGGCCGATTATGCATACATGCATACCATTGAAACCCTCGCATGCCTATGTACATGTTCATACGCCTGATGTAGGTAGACTCCCTCGGGAAGGTATTAGGTATTGGATACCGTCTCTCCTCAATGCCGTCCTCCCTAAGCTGGACAGCAACCAAAGATAGATTGGGTGAGTGAGCAGTAGGTAAGTATGCGGTACCGGTGCGATGACGGTACGAGGTATGTTAATTACAACATTGGTTCCTAACGCTCGTCCCATGGTCAACTCGCGATCGACTCGTCCCCCCCAAGTCTACACGAAAGGGCTGTTCTTCACCACGTATTTGTCGACGTACTCGTCGACGGGCGTCGCCTCTAGCTTCTTGCCGTCCATTCCTAGCTGCACTAGCTCCTTAACCTGAGAGTCAGAGAAGTGCGGTTCCAGATGCCGCTTGTACTTGGCCAGGATGTGCGGCTTCGCTTCCTCCCTTCTTAGACGATGGCCTAGCGGAGCTTCGACGACCACCTCGTCCAGGACGGTACCGTCGTTGAGCTCTACCGTCAGAGCGTTCGAGATGGTCCGCAGCTCTGGGTCGTGGTAGTCCTTGGTGAATTGGGGGTCCTCGACACACTTGATCCGCTTGCGGAGCGACTCGACCAAGGGGGACGTCGCCGCCTCGCCACCGTCGGTGTAATCCGTCGCCTCTAACCGGCCAAACACGAGCATGACCGAGCACATGTACTGGATGCAGTGGTCGCGGTCGGCGAAGTTGTCCATCGGCTTGAACTGCTTGTCGATGATGCGAATGCACGCCTCGTGCGTCCTGCACGTGATGTTCTTGATATCGGCCGCCGACTTGCCTAATTCCTTAAGTTTGTGGTAGATCTTTTGGGAAGCCTCCACGGCGGTCTGCGAGTGGAATTCGGCTATACAAAGGCAATTCAGTAAGCATGCTGGCGATGACCCCTTCCCAGCGCTCAATACAACAGACGGCACGAACCTGGATACGAGACCTTGAACAGGACGTTCTCCATCACGTAGCTCCCGTAAGGACGCTGGAACTCAAATTTCTTGCCCTTGAACAGGACGTCGTAAAATCCCCAAACCGGCGCCGACAGGACGGTAGGGACACCGGGCTCGCCTTTCAACACCTTCAACGCTAGGTTTACGGCTCTCTGGCAAGCGTCGCCAGCGGCCCACGACTTCCGAGACATGGTGTTTGGCGAGTGGCGGTAGGTGCGCAGGCTCTGGCCGTCAACCCAAGCCTGAGTGACGGCATCGGAGATCTGCTTCTCGCTCAACCCGAGCAGGTGAGAGACGACCGCCGCGCTGGCAACCTTGACGAGCACGACATGGTCGAGGCCGACCTTATTATACGAGTTCAACAATGCTAGGCAGCCCTGAATTTCGTGTGCCTTGATCATGCCCTCGAGAACATCCCTGATGGTGAAGATCTTGCCTCCCGCGAGCTTACCGCCGGCCTTGTTAGTGCGGTTAACCCAGTCGGCCACAGCCAGGATAGCACCGAGGTTGTCAGACGGATGACCCCACTCGGCGGCTAGCCAGCAGTCGTTGTAATCGAGCCACCGGATCGCGGCGCCGATGTTGAAGGCGCCATTGACCGGGTCGAGGACGAAGTCGGTGCCAGGCACCCTGGTGCCGTTGGGGACGACGGTGCCGGGAACGACGGGGCCGAGCAGCTTGGTGCACTCTTTAAATCGCAGACCCTCAAGCCCACAGCCCAGAGTATCTAGGAAGACCCATCGTGCAGTGTCAAACTAAACAGCAGATTCCCAGGCCGGGTTGTCAGCTACGTATCGCTCCAAGGAGATTGGCACGGGGAGGGCAGGGAAAATGCAACGACAAGTGCAGCGAGACAAGGAGGGAGGGAGCATACAGCCAAGTCAGATTTAATTGGCTTGGTGACATAGCTGGCGATATCCTTGATCTCGGGGTCGTACTCTCTCGCTTCTTGAGGCATTGCGGCAGCAGACTGTGAGGCAGCGGTGGTGGAGAAGGCGGAGAAAGAGGAGCGTGCAAGGTTGGAGGGATGTGTCGGTCTCGTAGCAGCTCCGAATTTCGCCGCTGCTGCTGCTGCTGCTCGCCCCAAGGGCAGGCCCAGGGTATTCCTCGGTAGTAAGCGGAGCGATTGGGAGGCTATTCGGGTACCGCGAGTGATAGACGACATCTTGTGCTGTCTGGCAATGGCAATCTCTTCCGAATGGCGCGCGCCTTCGAGAAAGAAGAAGCCGAGCGAACCAGGAGGAAGTCGACAGAAGGAAAGGGGAGAGGGAGAAATAGAGGAAAACACAACACAGGCACTTAATATCGCAACAGCGAGGAAAGGGGGCTAGGGGGGAGCTGAGAGGTTGCTTGAGAGAATTGGTTGATTCCCTCGGTACGGTAGACCGGAGCAAATACGGCCGGTTACATTCGGCCAATGGCGGGGGCGGGGACACCGGGCTACCAACCCCATATATGCATGTATCGAGATGAGGTAGCCACAGGCAGGTAAGTACATCCTCGCGAAGCTGACGCGGGTCTCTCGTCACGGTGAGGTAAGAGATACGCCGCCAGGGTGACGGCATGCCAGATAGATACACCTAGAAATACACGCAGCCTCGAGCAGGCACCTGCGTATGGGTACCCGAGTGCACTCGTAGAGAATCCGGTTCTACCGTTTAGGCGGGCCAGCAAGTATATCCCACGTACCGCACCCCAAGCGCCCTAGCAGACGGGAGGACGACGGGAGCTGTCAGCGTTGTTAGGGTAGGCCCGCATTCCTCGCAGGCGCCCCGGACCGAAAGGCGCCTGTCTCTATGCCACGGCAAAGCTGCCGGTGCGGACAAAGTGCAGCCGCGCGGAAATAGGCGCATTGGCTGGGACCTCGGGTTAAAGGGTGGTGTCCTTGTCTATACTTGTCGCGGCCCTAAGGGAAGAGGAATGGGCCAAGGCAAGTTACCTACCTACCTACCTAGGTACGGGTAGGTAGATAACTCCTTAGGTACGTACAATCCCTACGCTGAAATGTCTTCTAACGAAATACCCGGGTCCATTCCCCCCAGCATCACGCCGAGGTTATGCACTAAGCGTGTGGGCATTACCTACGCCACGGCAAAACCCCCGATATTCCCAACCTGCTCGAAACCGAAGCAATATCTGAATGGCAAGACAGAGGATCTAAAGTCTGGCTGCCCTTAATAGATGCATACCTACCTGGGCGGTTAGCGAGAAAGTAACTCATACACAGAAGGATGAGTGATGGCGTGACCAGCCATCTTGCACGGTAGGTGCCCATCCCCAGTAAACGCATCTCTCCGTTCATGTGATAATACCGCACCGCCTACGCACCTCGCTTGTATAGTATGAGTGCCTGCTCGCTGGGGCCCAAGTCAGGTACACCGTTAGTAGAAACTACAGAAGGCAAGAAACTTACTGCCCATACCATACCTGCTTGATGCCTTTTCTTGTTTTCGAAAAGAGAGAGGAGGAAGATAGAGGGGTGGGACGTCGAACCTACCTACAACATCGAAATCCACCCAACCACCCGCCGGGCTACAACTCGGGCAAAGCCATGCCTACCTACCTATAGGTATACGTTAGGAGCAGAGCATTACCCCGGATGAGCTGCCTCGTCGAAGAGACTCGAGACGTAGGCCTTTATCATGTCTTCTTTCTTTCTTATAGCAACCACACAACATTCTTCGTCCGTATATCTCTGGCCCTCGCAACAAGGCAGCAGATGCCTTGCCACGTACCGTGTTCCCCAGAGACGACTGTGACGGCGTGGGTCATCTAATATCACTGGGAAAACCAGACGATGACGGAGGCACCATACGGGAAACCCTTATAGGGCAGGATAAGCTTAATGAGCTAGGTAGCTAGGAGAGTCTGAGCCCTAAAACAGGCTACGGACTGATATATGAGCTAAGTTTCCCTCTTAAGTGCGCCATCCAATAACGCCTATTACGTACGGTAGGATAGACAGATGGGCTATATGGGTTTTAGTAATGGGTGCAGTGTACGGCAATGGGATAGAGGAACACGCGGCGCCCATACGTGTGATTCGGGAGGGGGCTGTCATGTATTTAGTGCGCAGCCACCACCCGTTGCAATTCCAATCCGTCTTTCCCTCCCCTTCCCAGGATTGCCCTTCCGCCCACCCTACCAGTGAATCATTCCCAGAGCTAACAGCATAGGGGGGTAGGTACCTCGTTCGCTAGCATGAAGTCTGGATCAAAATTGCCCTTTACTCTCCCAGCCAAGTTTCTACGTGCGACTCACCAGGAGACTGACCGACTACCGTGGCCATCATAACGCGACCAACACGGACCCTCACACATCTCCTCGTCCGATCGACTCGGTCGAGAGGTTGGAAGCGGAGGGAGAGCTTGGATGTGAGCCCCCTTAGGCCTATTGGCCATTCTATGCCCACGACGGCCACAAACGAGCTCTGCTTGAGGTGTTGTGTGGGTTAAGGGGGGTTGCGATCTTCTTATCACTCTCCTATTCGCTAGCTTTCGCTGGTCTGCTTTAGTTAATAGCTGTGCGACTCCCGTCGTCCGAATTAAGGGGGACGATGATGTGTATTCGTATTCCGTATACTTCTATGGGACCTCGGAACTGGCCACTACCTTTCTTTCGCTGTCTCCTCTCCGCTTGTGCCCCCCCTTCTGCGTGGCCGCCGACGCTATTCGATATTGCCTACTACGCCTCTAGTCCTCGGTGAAAACAAAGGGGATATAGCCGTCGCTCGACATATCCGCTCGCCCCGCCTTCCTCCCTAAGCTCGCCCGGCAAACCCGTGTACGCCCAAGCTGGGCTGTCTATCTCCTACCGCGCGACCGCGAGATCGCCGTGGAGGAAGCCCGTGTACCCAGTCTAAAAGAAAAGAAAGGAAAAGGAGGAAGGAAAAAAAAAAAGAGAAGAGGGAATCGCCGTCTCCTCCCTTCAGAATAACTCATGACTTATTGCTAGGGTGGTGCTAAGCTTTTTTTTTGGGGGGGGGGGGGGGTTTCATCTGGGGAAAGGAAAGAAAATCAACCCCCCCTACCAAGACCCTATTATACCAGACCTATATATGCTCGGCTCGGGATAGCACATATCCATGGTGCGCGCGCGGTCGGTCAGCCAGCTCAGCCACGTCAAGCCCTCGCCCAAGCCCTCGCCCAGCCGAGCCCGGGCAGAAACCCCAGGAGACCCGTCGTCCACTGCCGAAGTCGCCGCGGTACCCAGGTCTACTCCGACCGTCGGAACCACCAGGCGGTGAGGCCGACGAGGAGCACGGTGAACAACACGACGGCGTTGTAGTTCGACTGCGTCAGGAGTATCGACCAGCCTATGGTGGATTCCCATCTTCGGACCGAGGGCCGGTGCTGCCGAAACCGGGCGCTGACGGGGAATGGCAGCTTGATGCGCGGATCCAAGAGCTGGCCCGGCAGCGGGCGCTGCGCCGACTCGTAGGCCGCCTGAGTCGGCGCGAGGTCAGCAGGCGCGATGATGGGCACGTCCAGACGCAAGAACACTGGTTTGTGGTCGCTCGACCGAACGGCGGGGGTCGCGTTGTAGGCCGTTACCTTCATCTGGCCGATGCCAGCCTTGGCCCGGGCCCACCAAGGCACGTCAAGGAATAGCACGCGGTCACACCAGCTAGGCCATCGATGGGAAGCATAAGACCACTCGACTTCGTCCGAGTCGGGGTCTTGATCTCCGGGTTCCCTCTCCAATGGCGTGTGTAGGAGCTTGTATGTTGGCGGAAAGTGGACCGGCGCTTCGCTTAGCCCGTGCAGCGTGCGGCCGGCAGCCTTCTCCGCAGTCAGTTGGTCGCGGACGATAAAGTGCATGAAGTAATTGGGGCTCCCGGGATAGTTATTGGGGAAAGAAGATCCCGTTTGAGGAGCTATCCTAGAAATACGGTAGTTTAGGTCACCGGCGACGAACAGATGGGTGCCCGGCTTGTAGATGGACCCGTTTCGCACCGCTCCCAAGGTCGATTCTTGTACCTGATCGTTCGGCCGGGGACATTGAAGTGGTGCTAACTCCTCAGCCTCCTCGAACACAAGGCCGGAGACGATGGTCTCCCAATTCCTGTTTCTCTTCTCGAGGTTAGGCTCCATCGCAGAGAGATGGGTGGCGACGAAGGTAAGCTCGGTTTCTCCCGCGGTGCCGTCCATGCTCGTTCTGCTGTAGAGAACGCGGAGGCCGACTGCTCCCTTATTGGCCATCTCGCCCGGGCCGAACCCGACCTCGGCCGTCCTCAGGTTTCGCAGGGTGGCGGGTTTACGGGCAAAGAGCATAATGCCCGTCATACCGACATTACGCAAGCCTACCAGCGTGTATAGGTCCTCTGTAGGAGGACGCCGACGTTCCCTCTGCACGGCAAACCTGGCGGTCGCGCTGTTGACGGCCGATATGTATTTCTGGAAATAGGGCTCGATGAGCGTGGAGCCAACGAAGGCCGTAGCCAGCGGTGCCATCTCCTGGAGGGAGCTGGACGACAGTTAGTAAACAACACGCCGCGTTGTCGGCGTTATCTGGCATTGCGGGACACTTGCATGACGATTAGCTCCGGCAGGGTCGACGCGCTCTCCCCAAAGGCCTTGTATAAACGGCGAGCAAAGACGGGGACGTTGATCTCATTCTTGGCAGCGTTGAATGTAAGGATGAATACATCCAGCATCGGAACCGGGACCCTGGCTGCGAACGCCATGTTACGGATCTAGGTAAATGCTGAAAACCAATGTAGAGATCTCGAGGCAGTTGTCGTTGGTTGTCATGTGTTGTCTGTCGTAGTCGCAACAGTACTCGGCCTAATAGTTCCAGTGGGGATGCGAGGGTCGGAGAGGATGGGTGTGTAGCAGAGCGCTGTATTTATGGCTGGCGGGTCAGGGAAGCCAGGGAAACCAGACAATCCAGGCTTTCCCTAGCGGGAGCTTTATCGCTCTAGGTAGGCGCCGGTTGGAATGGGTTCAGGCATTAAGCCACAGGCTACCTTGGGTACCTACCTAGGTACCTCCTACCTCAACTTCGATACTTGAAAGACACCCACGTTAGGGGCCGGGGTACTTAGGTTAGGTAGGTACCTAGTGGGTTGGGTCAGGCACCTTGAGGTAGGTACCTCCTAACCTACCTACCTACCTATAGCATATGGTGAGTGGAGGCTACTAGGTACCTACAGGCAGGGTTGAAAAAAAAAGTTTAAGTTTAAGTTAAGTTTTTAAAAAAATTTTCTCAAGTTAAGTTTCTATTTTCAAAAACTTTTTTTTGCAACCCTGCCTACAGGTAGGTACCCTCTCTACCTACGTGAATAGACCCGACAATCCGTCAAGGCAGCGCAGCCCGGTAGGTTTACCCGTACGATCGACCTCGTATCGACTTCCGTAAGCCGTCCCATAAGCAATGAATGGGGGGGGGTATGCAGGACAATTGGAAATGTTGCCCCGCGACGAAAACTCCCAAGGCGGCTCGTCAGTGAGGAAGCGCCCGCCGGCTTTAGTATGTGTTCTACTAGCCTACCTCCGAATCCCCTACCGCCTTTTCATCTGCAGCGCTAACGGAATCCAACCCTCACCACCTGCTGTCAATCCCAAATCAAGTGACTTCTTTTCCCGCCTAACCGCTCCCTGCCATGGATTTTACCTATGTTCATCGTGTAACCTCAGCCCCAAGACAGGTACGACATCACCAAGCTCGCGTACCCGGCCTGCCAGACGCACACACGATACCTACAGGTATACGGGTAGGTACACACACATGTGCCCAGCCAAGCCACCTAACCCGTCACGCATATAACCTACCTATAGGCAACCTTAGGCACTTCCTAGTCGCCCTGCCCCTCATCCGACCCGCCTCACGTGCCCAACCCGTAGATGGATACCCTGGCCAGGCCTCCTTACGAACCTGGCATCTATCTCCCCTTGTGGCTAGCTTGTTGTGACCGTCGCAGCGGAAACGGCACAGCCCCTGAAGGTCGCCTTGGGCGCTCGCCGCTTCTCCCCACCCCTTCCTCTTGTCCCTCACCACTTTCCACCGTCTTGCTGTGTTGCCGGCATTGGCCGTCTTCGCAACGACGAGATCACGTGAACAGCCCTCGACAAAAGACGGACGCATAGAGGAATATCAAGTCATTCAGTCTAATTACCTAACGTGTGTATTGGTTACTTGCAGCCATTCTCTACCCCGTCCCCTCTTTCCCCATGAGTTGCCCCGAGTCCACCTCACAGCTAGTGTATCTTGACGTCCGATTACCTGTCTCCCACTCCCCAGTGCGAGGTGGTCGGCTCCAGTTTCGGCGTTACGGAAGAGTACCAGATCCGCGGCCATGATCCCTCCCCTCAAGGCCTTAGCAAACCTCTGCTAGGGCTGTGCAAAAATTGTCCGAGGTTCGTGTTGACAGTCTCCACTTTTAAGCTTCCCGCGGGCGGTTCCGAGTATTACCCGTATTACGGCCTTCGAGCGAATTGTCGACGGAGCCCAGCAGTCGCAGTCCTGCACACCCGCAAAACGTCAGTCGCAGGATTGGGGACCGTCATGGGAAGTCCGGCGTTGGGTCAGATCCCGAGTCGCTCCGTGCAACGACCACCGCGAGCCACAACACGATATTGGAGGTCGGCTCGTTGCGTAACCGGTTTCCGATATAACGGGCAGTCATCTCCTAGGGGCATCATCAGGCGAGAGGGGTGGCGTGACAAGTCCAATGTCCGAGAGGAAATTTTAAATAGAGAAAAAGAAACCGTGGAAGCAGTGAAAAGAAAATATCAAAGGACCCGGTCGTATCACTAGGCTAATGTATCGCATCGAAGGAGCGTCAAACCACCAGAATCAAATCATTGACATCGATTCTGGAGGCATTGAAGAACTCATTCTCTAGGTAGGCGTTTCCCTCTCGCACGAGCTGGTACAGTTCAAATGAGCGAGCAAAGGTAAACGTGCCTTGACAAGACTAGATCCCGGAAACGACACCCCAGTACCCAGAGTGCCGGAAGTGCCGTTCAGACAAGCCTGAATGACACAAGAACGACGTCGAATGCACTCCCGGGAGGCGGGATGCAAATCTACGTCTTCTAGCGCCACCCGGTTGTCCGAGCCAGGGAACAGTCATAACCGAGAGTCATCGAAGAACGGAAACAAGAGCAGCTCCATACAATATGAAAGGGATCATGCGTGGTCCTCTATCCGGTGTGATACTTGGCGTAGGTCCGGTATTGGATCTCTTGTTCTTTCGGGCCAATACGGAGGTGGGGGCGAAGGAGGCTTCCACGATTGCCGGGTTTGTTTCTCCGTGGTGCGGGCTACGCAACTGTTACGCCCGCCACAACGCAACGAGTGAGACCAGGGTAGCAATGACCAGGAATCATTTCGGTCGGTACGATCCGGAGGCGTATCCTGAGCCAACGCCTTGACCTTTGGAAGCTGATCGCAGCCTGTTTATCGCAAACTGAAGTGTCAGCAATCATGTCAGCAATTCCTCCGGCTAGCGCTGTAAATCACACCAAACTCGAAGGAAATATGATTCCTTACTAGGAATGCTTGGGCAGGGCTGGGCTGGCGAGACACTCACATCCTGTCGCTTCCCCCGACGGCGCGGTTTGTTTCTGGAGTGTCAACGCCGGGTGCGCCGCGCTCGATCACCTTGCGGCGAGAGCTTGGGATGGCGTTGGGCTTGACTGCAACGGCCTGAGGTGTCTGTCCGGCGGTCGCGGCGTTAGCTCGTCGGCCTTTGTCGTCCTCCTCACCCTGGCCCTGACCAGCAGCCTGGGCAATGGCTTGCGCATTCTTCTGATACTTGTAAACGGTCCAGTCAAAGACATAATCGTACTGGAACCCTTCACGAACGAAGAGATCGCGGAATATTTTCCGGAGATAGCTGTAGTCAGGCTTATCATCGAACCGGAGAGAACGAGTGTAGTTGAGGTAGATGGCGAATTCATTGGGGAATCCGCGGCACAGGACCTCAGTCGGCGTCGTCATCTTCTTCTCCATAATACGGTCGTATTTCTGCTTCTTAGTAGCGGCCTTAAGACCCTGCCAAGGAAGCGACCCGCGGCAGAAGTACAACATCACATAGCCCAGCGACTCCATGTCATCCCGACGAGATTGTTCTATGCAACACCGTCAGCACTCTGCACAAACGAAACCAACAGTTGCACATATTGTCTAGCTTACCAACGCCAAGATGAGTGTTAATCGACGCGTATCGAGCCGTGCCCGTCAAATTCTTGTTCTCACGATAGGGGATATGGAAGTGAGTCTTGGGGTCCCGGTATTTCTTGGCCAAACCAAAGTCGATGACATTGACCTGGTTTCCTCGCTTGCCGATGCCCATCAAAAAGTTGTCGGGCTTGATGTCGCGGTGGATGAAGGACTTGGCGTGGATGTACTCGATACGGGAAATCAACTGGTCCGCGAGCAAGAGAACCGTCTTCAAGGAGAACTTTCGGTTGCAGAAGTTGAAGAGGTCTTCCAAACTGGGACCCAGCAAATCCAATACCATCGCATTGTAGTCACATTCCGTTCCGAACCAACGAACAAAAGGGATACCAACGCCGCCGGCAAGAGACTTGTAGACTCGAGCCTCATACTCAAGCTGAGGGTGCTTGGCCTTGACGGACTCGAGCTTGATGGCAATCTCCTCACCCGAGATGATATTCGTGCCCAGGTAAATATCACCGAAAGATCCGGAGCCAATCTTCCGACCGATGCGATACTTATTGCCGACACGCAAATCCTGCAAGAGTGATTAGCATACCCTTTCCCTTCCGAATGCAATAAGGGTACAACGCCAGAGGCAAAGGCAATATCCCTCCAAGGACGGAGAACAGTAAACGCCGACCTCCAGGCGAAAGAAAAGATGCAAAGATGACCCCCATCAAGGCACACCGACATTCCATCCCCACAATCCAACCATAACAAATCGAGCACCTGAGCTCCGCTTCTAGATGCAACTGCCAAATAGAAACATACCATTGTAGTCATCGTGAGTATTCGGTAGGGCTACCGTGCTCGAAGCAGGTAACCAAGTAGATGCTCGCGTGCAGTGTTCTTATTCCAGACGTTGGTTTGCCAGAGCAACAAAACGAGATCCGAAACGTGACGGGCAGCCTATTCGATTCCGGGTTAGCAATAGAATAGGTTCAGCGTCTAGGTACGCGGCATCCTAATATAAAATAGCCGCATCCAGGACAAATAGAAATGGGACCGTGCATCATAATTGTAGACAGGATGAAGTATAAGTTGGGAGTGGCGATGATCAATTTCGACAGCAACCTAGCTGACGGGAGTTACCGAGCCTCGAAAACCTTGATGTTGAGGGTTGACGAAGGGGTGGGATGAGATTCATATCGTCTCCGATAGAATACAGACACTAAAGAGGGGGGGAATCTTACCCTGAGTTCGGAAATTTCTCCTCGTCTAAGCCGTAGTCTAGACTGGCGGAGAGCAGAGGAAAAAACGGGAGGGAAAAAACGGACGGGCGGAGGAGGAAGCGAGGGATAAAGGAGGGAAAATTAACGGGTGAAAGACGTGGCCGACGAATGCTAACTTATTTGTCGGTGGTTCAGGATGCCTCGGTGGTCGAGTCGGCGACGAGAGGTGTGTGGTGGAAGGATTACGTTTGGCGTGCGAAGAGAGGTGGAAAGTTAGCCGTAGTGAAGGTAGGAAGAGAGAGGAGGGAGGAAGAAGGAAAGGGAGCGGTCGACGGATTTTGGGTGAGTAGGGAGAACGAAGGGACTGGCTTTGGAATGGGGTCGGGCGCGCCTCACCAAGCTAGGCGACACTTGATTGGGCTTGCTAATCATGTATTCTATTGTACCTATCCGATGTAAGCGGTACCTGGGGCAGGGAGATGCATTCCTGTGTCCATCCCTCCGCCACGTCCGAAGTACCTACCCAGGTAGCCTGCCGTGGGGCAGATTGCCCACTGGATGAGGTACCTAGGGCCAGGCCAGGCACCCAATGTCCCTAGCCCGGGCCCGTGCTGCCCTGGAATTTCCGTGCAGTGGCTGACATCTGGACAGGTACCTTCTTTGCATCTGTTTACTTGATGTACATACATGAACATGTCACGATGCCTAAACTGTGAGGTACCCACACGCAAGCTGCCTCTGGGTAGCGGTTACAGACATCAGTCATCAAGTCAGTGCTTTAGGCAGTTCAGGCTCAGGTCCTGACTGGGCACATAAATCATGCATCAAACGCCCACCGTCCGCAGTACACCGCGTAAGAGTATAGATACACAGTTATGTGCACGGCCAACCTTACAAGACCAGGTACCCGTCTAGGAGGCACAATGTACCCAATGCAATTGCTGAAGCACTGACCAGGCGAGGACTGCGGCCACCGGCCACTGAAAGGATATAGGCCTGGCACAGGTACCACCTACCTATACCGGAATGCGCCAATTGGATGGCAGTTGGAGGCTGCGTGCCTATATATAGAGAGGTTTTCGTAAGAGGTACCCTCTCGCCTGCTCCGGGTACCCTCAACGAATGTGCACTTCCTGATGTGGATTAACTGCCAGAGGGCATTAGGGGGAGTGGCGGTAGTGGCAGGGCCGGTTACGGTAAGAGCGTCGACACAGAATTTTTCGACAAGCCCGGTTAAGAGGTCAGGTACTTCATCTGTACCCCCCAATTCAACGGCGTCAACCTCTCAACTCGGGGCCTTCGCAACCTCTCTCTCTCTCTCTGCCTCGCTACGGCGAAGTCCAGTTGGAGATTGACAGCGGCTGCCCGACGGTCATTTACCATCCCACTTGTCCTGATGGGAACAACCAGGCAGGTATACGGAACGGGTACTGGGTGGGAGGCGTCCGTCGGCTACAGAATACGAAGGCCCAAAGCCAACTGAGGCCCTCGTGTGATGCAAAGGATGGAAATAACGCCTGCATTCTGATAGCGCGAGATCTTCGTGAAACACAGCAGGCGAGAGATGGCGAGACGGCCTACCGTACATACACACGGAGGCCATGTCTTGCCGAGGCAGCTTATCAGTCTGCCATGATTTGGGGAAATTCTTCACCATCAACCAGGGACCTTTAACCAAGGAATTATGCCCTACGGAAGTACCTTGTGGTGGGATGGTGCGGTCTAATAGCCCCCCGGCCAGCGAACACGCATTAGGTACCTACCTACCTACCCAGGGGATACGCGGGGGATTCAGACGTGTACCCAATGTGTGTGTGTGTGTGTGTGTGTACATCGTGGTCGTAGGAGAAGGGGGGGGGGGCGAAGGGAACGAAGAGGGATTATTCAATCTCGCGGAAGCGCCATTTGGACCGAATGGGAGGGGGCGCGAAGGGCGTGGTCGTCTCCAGAGACGTCAGCTCTTTCGAGAAGGACGGGGCCACGCGCCCTCGACTGGTCATCAAAAGTGCCTACGGCACGAGGCACAAGTTCGCGATAGGAAATGTGGGAAGAGGGGGACAACCTGAGGCCTGCCGAATATGACACGCCATAAAAGATCAGCGGAGATCTCCCTTATGCTGGCGGGCAGTGATTCGCGAACCGCAATGCGAGCCCCGAGTCCTGGTCTGATAAATGCCAATGGATAGGACCCGTAGCAGTTACCAAGGCTCTCGAGCAATCCCAAGCGGGCGCCGCATTGATTTGCCCACTTGCTCCCAGCCAACGGTCCGAAAATAACATGATCCACACGGTAGGCGATTCTGGAGATTCTCAATTCCTGTCGTCGCCCATGCGAGTGGTAGCCAGCACTGCAACTGTTGACATCACAAGAGCACAGCTTTTCCTTCAGGTTTCACCCCGTGAAACCCGTGTTCATTTGCGTGACATGAGATGGGAGCGGTAGGAGATGGCAGGATCCCGTGCGGTCGAGAGGGCGTATTGCATATTCGCCGCAACCCGTCTCGCACCAACCGATGTCTCGGCTGCCATTTTTTGTCTCTTCCTCTGGCACAGTATTACTTGCAGCAGCACGTCAGCGGTGGTCACCGGTCAGGGAGGTCTGGAGAGACTTTGATGCTCAGATACCGGAATGAAAAGGGGGGAGGGGAGAAGAGAGGGGCCGAAGAGGGGGGGAGAAAGCACATAGTCGGGACTCGCTCTCCATCCCGTAACTAGCCGCATAGATCCGTCTTGAATTAAACGGCATGCTAACTAACCCTCTGCTAACATGTCGTCTTTGCGTCTTTTCTAGGGCACGTTAAGAACACCAATGCTAACCGCCAATACGAACTAGCAAGGCAACGAGACCGGAGTCTTGGTAACCGCCGGCTTTCGAGGCTGGCCTTTGGTGCCTAAAAATACCTAATCGAGGCTAGGCGCTACCGCGACCTCCAATGCTTCTCTCTACCTACCTGGTGTCTAACAAGATCCCCCTATCACATAAACACCCGTAGGATATATCGGCTAGCATTGACGATATCCCTAGACAGGCATGTGTGCATTGTGTGTACATACTTACATATAGATATTTGGGAAACTGACTGCCCCGAGGCGAGGCCATAGCTGGACAGCAACGGCGAGTGCGGCCAGGTTCGTCCATCAGGTACACCCAAGCGTCCACACGCACCCTACCTTAGGTACCTAGGTACCTAGGCATGGACCTATTTTCGTCGGTAGAAGTAGGTACCTCCCTCCTCTTAAACATCGACACTTCAATCCCGTCTTACATGTTGCCCCCATGGACCGATAGGACATGCTCGACCCATCTCCTAAACTCACACGCATACATAGCTCCTACCTACCTACGTAGGTATGTACACGTGTACTGCATTGGTATCCACCGCTAAGATTGGGCACTGAGAGGTAGGCGCCTAGCTACCTAGGTAGGTACCTGAGGTCAGGCAACTCAGGTTCCTGAGATTATGTACTTAATGTTAAGAGGTACCTTCTGTCCCAGAATAGCATGACAACAGGTACCTAACTAGAGGCCATGAAGTACATATACACATACTGTGGATGGGTGGCAGGCTAGGTACCTGTAGATACCTGCCTTAGGTACTCCTAGGCCGTCAGGGAAGGCGGGTTGGGTTAGGTACCTGAGGCTAGGCTGGTAGGTAGGTACGTGCAGGCGGCTGTTGCTTGTTCTCAGATACCTCTGTATAGGTACCTACATGGACGTACCGAGTTACCGAGTACACGTATGGGCGCGAAACAGGTTAGGTAAGTAAGTACCCAGGTGGAGAGGGAGTGTCACCTGTCCGTCGAGATGCCTCAACGGCTCCGTTACCCTCTCCCATAAGAGCGCCGTCGACAACCTCTCTCCCTCGCAGCGGCGCTCGAACGGATTTCCCCCGGAAGCGTCGTCGGCTCAAGCATGTCAGGTCGGGTGTCCTAAGTGCTATTCTTTTCGGGATGGCGTCCGTCCCACAGAGAGCGCGCCTCGTCGGTTCTAGCTCAGTCGAGGCTCTGCCGATCACAGCATCTAGACTAGCTGGTCTATCTGAGATGCAGCCTGCCTTGCTGAGGCTTACCTACCTAGGCAGGTATCTATTTTCGCTATGCTCTCACCAGCCGTCGTCGTAGGGAAGAGTCCATCTCGGCTTCGGTCTGCACTACGTCGAGCTTCCCGATCCCCTCCCGTTCAGCCTCTAAGCAGTCAATTCGCATTACTTATGTCTCCTCGTCGCCACCACATCTCTCTCTCCCTCTCCCACCCAACAACAACAATAACCACACCACATCCCATCGCACCAAACGAGCCCTTCACACCACACCCACCGAGTCTCGCTTACCGAGCCGCCCAACAAGCTGGTCCCCATGATTGAAAACACATCGGCGCGCGGTTCCGCTGCAGGTTGTCCTGCACACCATGTACACGCCTGACAAGTCTATTACCGATACGTACGTGGCTGTAGACGGGATTGCCATTGTCATCTCTGGGTCGCCTATATGTAGATCCACCTTCTCTTGGCCCGGCTGATTTCAGCAACTTTAGTTACCTAATGCACGTATGCGCCGCCTGATACGCCTTGGCGATTTACCCTAACGACCCGGCTTCGCCAGCACAAAGGCACATGATGTCAGACGTTTCGATAGGGGAATGTCCAGCGGACCCAATAGACCGCTCGCCACGCCCCGTAAGCACTTGGGTACATGTATGGCGGGATGTCGGCATCCTAAATGCGTATATCAACCCCTACCAGCTCCCTCCCATTGCCCGACTGAGCCAGCAATCCGGCATCCGATTTATTTACTCGCCGGGAAGGGTACCATTATTACTTCTATTCCTTCGGATTTTAATGGGGACAACACACCATCCCCTCGGAAGCTTTACTCAAGGGGCACTGACTTACTATTGGAGTAGATACACACTCCTAGTCGAGGGCAGAAACGCGGAATACTTTTCGTTACTAAGGTGGTAACCCCGTTATCTCCCCCCCGGTCGCCGCTTCGCCGAGCAACAGTATTGCCTTTGATAATGTCGAAAGACGACATCTTCACCTAGGTAAATGTGTTCAGTGCTGTTCACCGATAGGCCAAGCCAAGCTAGCAACGGTGGAACTCTTCCGAATAAAAAATTAAATTACGGGGAGGGAATAGGGCTATTTTAAGCCGTAACTATCTGAACCCAGCAACACGACTCAATTGTCTGAGCTAAAAACTAGTCGGGTTAGTAGGTTAGGTACCCAACTATGTGTGGTTCTCTATTCTCCTCGCTTCAATACCTCTTATACCAAGTTACCTATCTGGTGATAACATCGGTACCTCCTTTCTCCCACGCGCTGAAAAGGTAGACATACTCAAGTGTCTTAAGATCACGACAGTTTATATTCTCGTCCCACTCCTGCTGTCGTGAGATTCGCCAGGTCGATATTTCGCACCATGACTGCTCGTCGCGGTGGCTGTTACAGCAATTACCGGCTTTTTGGAGATATATACCTAGGCATAAGAAAGTGCAGAGACAAGTAACGAGCCCAAACTTGAGCCGTCTTGTCAAGTGTTTCTATTATACGTTGAGCTACAACTTCCTACACCAACAGGCAAAACGTAAGCACAACCAACCCTTCTATAGGAATATGCAGGTGTCAAGTATTCGGCTCGAAGGTTTTCCATTCTTCCCCAATATAGGCCCAAGCGTCGCGGGCGTCTCGCTTGGTTCGTGGCTTAAGCCCCCAGCAACATTTCAGGAAAATGGGTAAATGCGGGGTGGGTATCCTGTCTTTCTTTCTGTCACCAAGGCATACCTAGACGACTTGATAGCTAAGGTAAGTCAATGCCAACCCGGGTTTCTCCAAAACAGGCGCAGTACAGCGAAGATTAATTATACCAAGTTCGTGATGAAGAAAAGCACGCGCTTAAAGGAATCTATTGCCTGTGTGACAAATGTCCCCATGCTACGAACAAAGAGAGAAGAGAAATGGAAATACCGGATGGTATGCGGACGGACTGTTTACAGATTTGTCACTCTCGGCTACAACTGTATATCCAACTCAAGGCTCGCTTCATGCAAAATGCCTCTTATATCGAGGCTGTGTTCTCCCCTTCTGCATCTCATCACCTGCAGGACAACCAGCCCAAATGTAAACAGGGTCGCAGTCACCGTCTGATGAGCCGCTCAGACAGCCAGCCGAGTCGACCGCAGTGAGGTAGAATGGCACCCAATTCTGCCTCAGCATAACGTGAGATCGAACTCACGGATTGGGAACCTGCCATCAACGTCATTAGCCTTACTGTAAGTTATCAGTGGTTATTTGAGGATTGGACGGAGGAAACCCAACTCGCTTCGGACGCATTCTCGCTCTGGAAAGCGTACAGGAGCACAAGCAATAGACTACTATCAAGGTGAGGAGTTCAACTTCGCGGCGCAGCCTTCTATGTGCACTCCGAGCTCCTCGGAGGGGATAGGGCGGGGGTCTCTTTGAGGCCGTCAAAAGAAGAGCAAGGCAGGCCCTTTATCTCGCACCGTCTGCGAGCAGAAGTGGAAATAATGGCCCACAAAGGACGGCTTGTCTCGGTCGTTGGGCGGTCGAACAAAGAAGGCGATGCTATTTCCCGCCGCAGCGCGCGCCCGCGCCCGCGGCCGCATATGCAACCGGGCCCAGATGCAGCTGCGGGCCGTCCCCTTCTTTAGCACCGGCAGAGAGAGATCGAGAGAGAGTCTGCCTACCTCCACCTGTAGAGACCGCGCGATCAGAGGAACGCCCTACTTACCTTGAATATATTCTCTGACGATCCCGCTGCAGACCCGCCCCGTCGACCTCCCCAACCAGAGGACGCGCAGCCAGAACAACGCGGGGCGCCTCGATTTCCCCCTCCCCCCCAGCGGGCAAGCAAAAACACGCAAGCAAGAGCAAAAGGCAAACAAGCAAGAAAACAAGCAACTTACCTACCTCTACCTCCAAAGCACCCGCACCCCCTCCGACGAGCAACGCGCGCGGCGAGATCCGGGCGGGCCAGCGGGCGGGCGCGCGGGAATGGCGAGCCGGCGAGCGGGGGACGAGGAGCGGGTGGCGGGGGGGTGGGCGGAGGCGTGCGAGGTGACGGCGCGCAAGGTGCTGCGGCGGGGGTTCGACGTGCGGCACCTGGAGGCGATGACGAGCATCGAGCTGGGCGGGGAGCTGCGCACGGGCGTGGTGCTGGTGGTGTCGGCGGGGCGGCGGCCCGTCCGCGACGTCCACTCCGACACCGTCGGCGTCGCCGAGGGCATCCGCGACATGGCCCGCGACGGCCTCGACGGCCGCATGATCCTCTACGGCCTCGGCTTCCACTTCCTCATCAAGCCCCCCAGGTGAGAGAGAGCCCCGCGCCCCCCACCCCCGTCAGCCGCGGAGAAGGGCTCTGAGGGGAGAGGAGAAAGGAGAGGGGAGAAGGGAGAAGGGAGAGGGGAGGGAGAGGGGAGGGAGGGGGGCGTTGTGGCGTGCGGTGTTGTGAGAGAGAAAATCACAAAAAAACGGAGAGGGGGAAAGAGAGAGATAAAGACAGGCTTGCCGTCAGCGGGGATCGAGAATTTTACCGCTCCTTTCTAACGAAGCTCGGGGGGAGTGGATGGGACGCAGAAACTCGTCGGAACGAGGTGGTTTCGGGTCCGGCGACTCGACTGGGAAGACGCGGAAAGACGTTCGGGAGGCAAAGAATGGGAAGCAAATTTATAACTGAAGTCCTGTTCTGTTCATGGATATGAGTATATAACCGTACACCATTATCACGGCGAATTGACTCGAGGTCGAGTGATCCGCGCTCAATCGATGTGTCCTTCACGCCCCCGCACCTACCCACCCTCAGGAATCTTACACTTTTCTTTTTTTCCTTCTCCTTTTAGCATAAGCGGCCTACCCTTCCCGGCCAGCGGATACGGGGTAAGTCGCGGAGAACAGGGCCCTAGTGACAAGCACGAGCCCCCCCCCCCCCCCCTCGGCGCCGGACGCGGGGCTACCGCGCGGCGACGAGGCTCACGTAGATGCCCCAGGCGACGCCGGCGAGGGCGGCGACGAGGTTGCGGGCGGGGACGCTGCGGACGAAGGCGAAGTTGACGAGGCTGACGAGGGGCCAGAGGCGCCAGCCGGCGACGAGCAGGGGCACGAACTCGGCGCGGCTGGCGGCCGCGACCTGCGCCCAGTCGACGCGGCCGTACCCGCCGCCGGCCGGCCGCGCCATCGCCGCCTGCAGCGAGTGCATGAACACGCTGAACAGCACCGTGTTCGCCGCCGCCCCCACCGTCTGGTCCAGCGCCAGCTTCGCCGCCGTGTTGCCCAGGTGCAGCTTGGGCGGCGCCGCCCCCGCGGCCTCCCGCGGCCGCGCCTTCGCGTCCTGCGTGTCTGGGCCGGGGCTAGGCGCAGGCGCGGAGGGGAAGGTCGACTCGAGGAAGTCTTGCCTGGCGGCGGGGTGAGCGAGGGGGTGGGCGAGCGCGGGATGGGGTTAGGGGACGAAGAGCGCAGGGCAGGGGGTATGTAGGTATACCCGGGCATTCTAACAGCAGATAAATACGCATCGTACGTACCATAAGAAGTTGGGCGGCACGTTGACGAGTGCGTAGAGGACGAATTGGAAGACGGGGGTCCAGTCTATGATGAGAGGTGCCTGAGAAGCTTGGTCAGCCAGCCAGCGGCGTGGGAGGACTCGATGGGCGAATGTTCTCGTGAGCACGTCGTCGTTTCGTCTCTGGCGCGCCGAGTCTGGACGGGAGAGGGGTTTGCCTAAAAGTTGGTTCGTACCTCATTCCGATAGGCCGTCAGACCTTGTGCCAGTAGGTTCGACGTCGCCGCCAGGGCCGCGGACTGCACGGTGGCTGAGACGATCGGGGGGAAGGCCATGTTGGGGGGTTTGGGGTCTAACAAGAGAGCAGGTTGGGGTTGGGGCGTTTGTCTGATTGTCGGGACCGAAGAAATTGTTGCCGAATAGTGAGTGTGATGAGCAGAGGCGCAGGACAACACAGCGGAGGGCAACCTATATAGGACTCGAAAATGGAATACACGTATACAGATGGAAGAGATGTCTCAGGACACCACCACATGTATACCAATGTAAGTAGGCTACAGGATGTCCGCACTTATCTAAGCAGGGATCCATGGTGAAGGCCAGTTGTTATTGGCTTACTCGCCCGGCAGCTCAAAGTGGGATTCCGCGGTGTCGGGATTACCGACGGTGCGGCTGGGCACGCTGTGCATACCTTAACCTCCCATACCGGTGTTGGTGTAGACGACTGTGGACCAGTGGGGACGTATAGCGATTACATACGCAAGCATCCAACCGCGTAACCAAAAGGTCCCCTCACGCGTAGTAACGGTTACGTTGGGATTACGAGTTACTCCAGGTGATGGGACTTCGGTGCCAACAAAAGAAAAAAAATTTTTTGTTTTCCCTTCCCGCTCCCTTCCGTTCCCTGACTATAGAGTCTTCCCAAGGAACGCTGTCTAGTCGGATGTAAAAGCTGGCGAGCATCGAGTTTACGACTCGGCGCCAGGTTCTGTGCTTGTGCGGCTTAATACTCGCCGTCGGATCTGGACGCCTTCTAGCCTCTGCTAAGAATCCACATGAACAAGAGCTGGATGAGATACGAATACGCGAACAGGAACTGCGTTCGTTGGTTCCGCTTCGTCCTCGTGTCTGTCTGCATAGGGCCACGCGCGTCCCCTCCCGAGCTCTCCGGTAGTAATACGTAGCGCAATGACCGCATCTGGCAATGATCAATAAAAATGCTTGGCCGCGCACGGCCGCGCGGGGAACGACACTCACCAGAAAGAGAGAATTGGCCAGGAATGTGTATAAGAAGACAGACCATCCGATCCAGCCGCCGGTCCCCTTGCCGCCGTTCACGAGCTCGGCGATGGCAACGGTGACGATGATGCCGACGAACTTGTATCCCGAGTAGGCCACGAGATCGAGGAGCTGCGACTCGTTCGATATGCTCAGAAAGTAGCAGCCCAGCTTCAAGAGCAGTATCTCGAGTATGACCACGGCGCCGGCGGTGGAGGCGGTGTATCCGAGTAGCTCGGGCTGGAACTGGCCCCGTAGACCGGCGAGCAAGGTCGAGAGTAGGATGTAGGTGACGAGCGCCATGACCGGGATGTACATGTCGGGGCTGTTGATGTCGTCGCGCGGCGGCAGGTACCATCCCTCCTGGCCGTTGGGCCCTACGGCCTGTCTCCGCGACCAAGGCTTGTGCCGCCAGGGGAAGAGGACGAGGAAGAGCTTGTTGATGACGTATTTGTTGGAGACGTTGAAGTAGTGTTTAAGCGCGGAGAAGTTGATCCATCGGTTCATCTGTCGTGTGGGTTGCAATTGTCAGTGGCTCTGGTTCTCCTTGAAGACGACCGGTCGCCGCCTCGGCCGCGGCGCAAGGGAGGCCTACGTTTTGCTCGACCTGTTTGAAGGCATTCTGGCCGACCTGCCCCACGAACTGGGCGGCCATGGGGTCGTTCATGAAATTGCCGTAGGCGCCGAATACGTTACCGGTGCTCGCGGGCGTACCTTGCTGGTAGGGGTTACCGTAGGCGCCCGGCTGCTGTGGTTGCGACGACGAGGTCAGCGGCGGAGGCGATCGCAGCTGCGGGACGGTCGAGACATGCTGCGGCACGGGATGATGAAGCGGCGGCGAATGGCCGTAGTTGGGATGCTGCTGCATCGTGGACAGGGGTAGGCGATCGCGGATGGCTGGAGTTTGTGCTATATCGTCTCTTACGGCTGAAGCTGGGTGAGGATGGTCGAGGGGTGTAGAGCAAGCTGGCGCGTTGTGCAGCTGTTCCGGAAATGTGTTGTTTTAGCACCTGTTCAACGGCTCTCAGGCGTCATGGACCGGGGGGGTAGGTAAGAATGTAGGTACCTTAGGCGTTAATGTTGCACTGGAGGCGGGCTGGCACTGGGCGCATGGCTGTGCTAGAGTACCTAAGGTACCACAGGCGCCACAAGCCGGGGGTCTCTCTCTCGGAGCCAGACTTTATTGCGGCTCCGGCTTTTTTGCCAATGGGAACCTGAGTAAGGCTAGTAGGCCGGTTCCAGTGAACGGCCAGCGGCATGCAGTAAGGCGGTACCCAAACGGTACCGCCTACGTGTACAAGCCATAGTCGCGCTTCGCTACCCGCCTATGTATGCATAATGCCTCCCTCCTAATATTAGGCGCTCGGGTACGGAGATTGGTACGTAGGTAATATGTATATCGCAAGTATCGATCATTTATGTGTTCTAGAGCAGGGAGTCTAGACGGTACCTACCTGCGAGGTAGCCCGAGAGGCGTAATCGATCCACCCTAGATCCCCTGGACTTCGCCTTAGCTAGGTACCTGTAGTCTTTACCATCTCGGTCCGCACATCGGCCAGGTCGAGATACCGCAGTCCTCTCCTTCTTGTCGCCTTTCTGTCGATGGTTTGCAGTTCCTCTACCCTCCCAATCGACTCGCCCACCTCGTCGGCACCATGTTAGATACGTTCGAGGTCCTCACTACGTCGGGTGTCGTCCTCTGGTCGCGCACCTACGCGCCTGTCAGCCCGTCCGTCATCAATAATTTTATCGCCGATGTCTTCATCGAGGAGAAGGGCGCCGCAGCCGGCGCAAAGGACACGCAACCCACAGCTAGCAACCCACCGTACAGGGCCGATCAACACACCCTCAAGTGGACGTTTGTCAAAGAATTAGGTGTGATCTTCGTCGTACGGCACCATTCCCATTCTTATCATTGTCGTCGTCCCTTTCGGAATGCCAGTTGCCTGTGACTAACCATCCCATCTTGCAGGCTGTCTACCGGTCTCTACTGCACCTCTCTTGGATTGATCAACTCGTCGACAACCTCAAGACTATTTTTATCGATTTATACGGCGACCAATTAAAAAGGCCCAACACCACCATTGTTGAGTGCCATAAATTTGATGAGTATTTTGACCAACAATATCGCCAACTGGAAGCAAGCAGTACTGCGGGCACATCGCGAGTAAACGACGCCTCCCTGGCCCCGGACGAGCAAAGCATATCCAGTAGCTATGGAGGCGAGCCACCACCTCCGCCCGGGCTCAAGCAACGGCCGAAACCGCAAAACGGGTCCCGGGAAGCTGCATCCTCTGCTGAATCTACCTCGATCGCAACTCCCGATACCTCGCGGCCCTCGACCCCCGCCATCGGCGCGCATCATCTGGTCACTGGGAAGGACAGCCCGATGGCTAAGATGTCGAGGCGGGCTAAGAAGCTGCGCCACAACGGCGCCGGCCTCGTGTCGTCCGGGGACGAGGCGCCGGCGAGAAAGGCCAAAAAGGCGCCCAAGAAGGGTCGCAAATGGGACGCAGATGGATTTGCGGACGAGGAAGACGACAGTTTACAGCTAGACTACTCGGCAGCCCGCAACACTCTGACGAGCGATAGTGAAGCCGAGGCGACAGCTCGATCAACTGCAACCGAGGGGGTGGACTCGTCTACGTGGGGCACGACGACTTCTAACGGACAGTTTGTGTTGAAGGACCTGGACGACGAGGTATATTCTATCCTGCAGTCTGCCGCGGCCAAGAAGAGTGCCGCCTCGTCCGAGCCGGAGGAGAGAGGTCTCGTGGGATCTGGCTTGCATACCATTAGCAATCTGTTCCGTAACGTAGTAGGCGGGAAGACCCTAACCAAGGAAGACCTCGACAATGCTATGAAAGGCATGGAGGACCATCTTCTACGCAAGAACGTTGCTCGCGAAGCGGCTCTGCGACTCTGCCAAGGCGTGGAGAAGGAACTTCTCGGCATGAAGATGGGGAGCTTCGAAAATATCAATGCCCGGATCGCCAAGGCCATGGAAGCGTCCCTTACGAAGATGTTGACGCCTACTTCGTCCTTGGACCTCCTGCGCGAGATTAACTCTATCGCGAAACCACCTGCGACGTCGACGCGCAAGCCGAGACCCTACGTTATTTCCATCGTCGGAGTCAATGGCGTTGGCAAGTCAACGAATCTGTCCAAGATATGCTACTTTTTGCTCCAGAACAGATACAAGGTCCTAATCGCGGCGGGGGATACCTTCCGATCCGGAGCTGTCGAGCAGCTCAAGGTTCACGTGAGGAACCTGAAGGAGCTAGCCCAGCGCGAGGGTGGACGGGTGGACATTTTTGAGAAGGGTTACGGCGGTGATGCGGCATCGGTCGCGAAGGATGCCGTGAAGGAGGCCGCGAATGAGGGCTTCGATGTTGTGCTCATCGACACGGCGGGGCGGCGGCACAACGATCAACGGCTGATGTCGTCGCTGGAGAAGTTCGCCAAGTTCGCGCAGCCGGACAAGATTCTGATGGTCGGCGAGGTAAGAAATCCCCGCCGGAAATTCGATCCCGTGGGTGTTTTACGTGGACAACTATCAACTAACCGGGTATTTCGCAGGCGCTTGTCGGAACGGACTCGGTGGCCCAGGCCCGGAATTTCAACTCGTCCTTCGGCGCCGGCCGAACCCTCGACGGGTTCATCATTTCCAAATGCGACACGGTTGGCGATATGGTCGGAACACTGGTCAGTCTCGTACACGCTACCAACGTCCCTATCGTGTTCGTGGGTGTCGGGCAGCATTATTCGGACATCAGGAGCTTTTCCGTCAAGTGGGCAGTAGAGAAACTGCTCAGTAATAACAACTAGCTTAATATCACACGTGTGTACTAGCAGGCATATATAATAGCTATGGAAACTAGCTCGAATTACTGTTCACACACATCGTCACATTGCAATGCACCCAGCGTACCCTGTAAGTTACAGGATCCTACCTTGGGTCGAACGGTATACAATACATAGTTTAGGGTATTATCGAAGCGGTCGAGCGCACGCTTATGGTACCCCCCTTATTTAGCAAAGGCCTCAACAACAGCCGACCGCCGAATCTACAGCCGAAGAAAGGGGTTGAGTCCATCCTCATCAACGTACGTCATGAGTACAGCATGCCAACCTAGGCTAGAAAGCAGCGTGTATGGGGAATGAAAAATTCAAAGGAGAAGTTACAATATTATAATGGAAGCCCTTACACGCGCCGGTGAATCAAGGATGGGGGGGGTCGTGGTTGGGCAAGAGGGAGAAGACGGAAATCCCAGGCCATTCAGTTGCCCAGACTGGAATTGTTACTATTGCCACGTCCCGCTGCCGGCGGCAGGGGACCGTATCGCTGCCGAGGAACCCACGATTTCCCCGTGGGCGAGTAAATAACAAAGGTCTTCGTGTCGATCTGGTGAGGCACGGCGACCCCCTCGTCTTCGGCGGTGCCGTCGTCGGCGGTGACCGTCATGTTCCAGTAGTCCCGGGCGTCCGCGCCGAGGTCGAAGCAGTGGCCGCGGTGGTCGACGGCGGAGATGTCGGCGAAGGTAACGTTCTCGAAGACGGGGGGGCCGTGGTGGTAGCGGTGGTCGTCGCCGAAGAGGGCCCACTCCTGGAAGAATAGGGCGGTGCCGTGGCCGAGGCAGATCTGGAAGCTCGGCTCCGACGGCGAGTCTGCGGTCATGGCGATGTCGTAGGTCTGGCCAGTGCGGAGGTTCTGCATGGAGCTATATTGAGGAGGGGGGCAAGGCGGAAGAGAGTCAGAGTGGATATAGCTAGAGGAATTAAGATGTAAGAGAGGGGAGGCGAGTGCGACCTACACGTGGCCCGTCACTCGGGTGTATACGTCGACCGCGACGCGGATTTGGTCGCCGGGGACCACCGTCATGTTCTCCGGCGGGATGGGGTGCATTCCTGCGGGGAACCACTCGACCCAAGCATACGCCGTCGCGTTGCCATGTTCGCCCATCTACACCCCAAGCTCAGCTGACGTCCGGGGAAACTATTCCCACCCCTTCCGCCCCCCCTTTTCCTTCGCCCGCAGTTAAGGGAGGGGAGGGAAGAAAAGGGGGGCGGATAGGGGACTAAATGATATGAACTCTACAACATACTCCGGTCGCCGTACCGGCTTGCAAGAAGGGGTACCAGCTCGCGTTGGCACAGGCGTTCCCCAAGATTCCAACCCACTGTGCCAACACGTGGCGGTTCTTCGGGTCGCCCAGGTCGACGTCGCGCGGGACCTGCATCCACGGGACGTTCCACCGGGCCGAGGCAGTGCGTATGGCGGGTCGCTGCGGCTCTATGGGCTTTCCTAGTGTTACTCCTACTCCACCCGGCGACGGCAGCGTCGGCACTATCGGCGGCTCCTGCTGGACGTCGATGACGGCGCCCCCGAGGAACGGGCTGAAGTACTTGTCCGCGCCGGGGCTGGTGGCCCGCCCTCCCAGAGAGGAGGCGGCGGCGGCGGCGAGTCCCCAGGTAGCTGTGAGGACGAACTTGAGGATCTTCATCGTGGTGATTCTGTTGGATCTGGTCTGCTGCCTAGAAGCGTTGGTATTTGGACGTCGAGGGGATAGGTCGAGGCAGGCGAGGTGGATGAGAAAAGAGGGACGGGGGATTAAATAGGTATAGGAGCGTGAGGCCACGTACGCGAAGAGATATATTGCAGAGAAAACACGACTTGTAATGGGGAATAAGGCAAACATTCGACTTATGCCTTTAGTTTTCCCCCCAGTGAGATATTAATGTTGTGTGTACGAGAAAATTGCATCCCGTATCCTCGACAATGGCACCGTGCCATTCCTAACTAGCATAGAGAGCTCGGTGCTCTAGAGTTTAGGACAGAGGGAATACTCGAAAGATTCATTTCGAGAGACGGACTCGCATCATCAATTCGATGGCGAGTGCAACTTGATCTTTGCTACGAGCAGAACGGACAACAGAGTTTGGCGCAGATGCCGGGTCTTCTAGCAACAGACGGAGATGTATTATAGAGGCAAATCAATACAAAAGTGTTACTTGAGCGTGGAATTCTATACTCCTGCTCTAATCGGTATTGCTTAACTGTGGGGTCCAAGGGGGTTTCGAAATAAGTAGGCAAGCAAGGAGAGTCCCGAGAGCTATGCAAACACTCGAAGACCTCCCACGATTCCTAAGTCGCCGCACCTAGCAAGTGGGCGTGATATTGGCCCCCGCTACAGCCTAGCCAAGCGGCAGGGAATGATATGGGACTATGTGCGTCAACACACAAGCTGGCGTACGCAGAATGTGCTGCCGGATTATCTACGCAACAGAGGGGGAGATACGTATGTTCACGACGACCTCTTGAAGGGGCGCATCTCGCCCCCCCAAGAGGGAATTGTCCTTGTCGAAGGGATGCCGTTGTCCAATAATTACGTGTGAGTCATCAATGTTATTGTTATGTACGAAATTTAGAATCTCGGAGGTGAGGTACCAGCACAATAGGGCCTCTAAAGCCTCCGTATTGTTCTAGTAGCAATACCAAACTACAGAGCTGACTACGCGATCTTATTGGTCTTGATATCCAAAATGTCGTTATTGTGCCGGGTCGCCTTCCGTGGTCGATTTGGTGAAGGCTAGCCCCCAACGGAGGGTCAATCTAACCAACTCCGCCTAACCATAGCCTCTCTCGGTAGACATATATACCCCGATTCTTCAACTCTACATGTCTTCTGCGCCTAATTCAACTTCTTGCCAGCCGGAGGTTACTACAGAGAGAGAACGGCAATCGAAAAAAAGCGGCCCACGCACCCGAGAATGTCACCCAGCATTAGGGTGCGGGCGAATCGGGGACGTTAGGGAGGGAAAGCTAGACTCAACGCCGGATTTTCCAAAACACGTCTAACTGGTGATCTGAGCCCAATCGCGTAAGAAGCCGTAGACAGACTCCTGCATCTCCAAGGAGTGTGCGGGCCTATACGTTCTTCCTATGACATGCGGAGTTTCCCGCTCTGGTGAGTAGAGTGGAGGCGCTTGTTGGGTATACGACGTAGGTAGGTAGGTAGGTAGGCAGTCAAGCGACTTGCCTTCCTCGCCACAGCGCCACAAGGCTGCTACTGTTGGTTTCATACGGATGGGGGATAGGGTAAGCAAATGAGCCAAGGCGAGAATGGAATGTGTAAGACAAGTATGCTAACACGTATAGTTAGCGCGACAACGAAAAGGGGTTCTGCCTTCTCGGGAACAGGGGCGTACTAGCACGGTATCCGAGGAGATACTAAACAACGCACGGAGGAGCGGGAGGGCTCCTATGCCTCGCAAGACATTTCCTCTGCGCGTTGGCTGAGGGGTTGTTGGGAAGAAGCAAAAATGAGTTGGAGCCGACTGGTTGGCCTGAGCCCTAGGTTCCCGAGTAGCTGGGACAGGCCAGGGCCAAGGAATATATTACCAATGCCCACAGTAGGGAAGCAAGCCGATTTCATGATCGTCTCGGGACCTCTCCCCCCCGGGGAGATCTAAACAAAAAGACTTAGACATACGGTGAGAGCTGGCGAGAGAGGTTGGTTGGGAGAGGAGATTTGCCTCCGCGGCTTGGACTAAAATTAGGCGGCCTGACGCATTGCCCTTCGAGCGGTCGACCTATCACATGGAGATGTTTATAGGGATAGGCAGGGTCGGTTGCCTAATAGGAGCGACCAGACGTAACTGGTCTGTACTACTCGGGAACCACTGGAATTTAAGGTTACCCGATAGTCTGGGCAGGTGATTTTCCCTTGTGGCTCGGGTTGGCAGCACTAAGGAGATAAAATAGGAGAAGAAAAAAAAAAAACCACGAACTAGGCCGGGTATTGGGTGGCTAGCAGGGAGGCACATCACATGCCCACCTCGACCACCTCGATATCGGTGAGTGAGTGTCTCCTATATGTGGGCAGGTAGGTAGGTGTCTGCCTAGGTAGGTCGGTAGGTAGGTAGGTGTAAGCTTTGGCGACGGCTTTTGTCGCCTGTACGTACATTTCCCATCCTGCGCCGACGCAGATCCGAGTTGCCAATATCCCTGTTGGAGTTAGCAGGTTGGCCGGTGGCGGACCCCCACGTTAGGCACTTACTATAGTACATACATACCGTATGCATCAACATACATACATACATACATCTATTATAGGTGCCGTTGCGTACAGGAAGAGTGCTTATACGCGCACATATTGCGGAACCGGAGCCCCCAACGAAAACAGGTGGGGAGATATTTGGTCTGGGTGTTTGCAGGAGAGGAGCGAAACGTTCTCAGTTGCCGTCCCCGACTTCGTGTGTCGACTCTACTACTACCACTGCTGCTGCGTGCCCGGCGGGCCTGGCCAGACCTCCCTAAGGGCATCGCGATCTTTTGCTGCTAGCCGGCGATAGGACTAGCTGCGGTGGGGCGCGGCCCTGTCACCGTCATGACGTCGAATGAAGGGACGCGCCAGCTGATGGGGTTCCAAAGCCGCCGTCGCCTGGGACGAAGTCCCCCCCCCGTTCGGTGTAGGGATGCGGTGTCGATCGCGTCGAGGTGGCCAGAAGCGTCGAAGCCGCCTTTGCGCGCTGTGCACGGTACCTTGACTGCCTTGGGCAAAAGGCAGCGCTCGCTCGGTTCTACGTAGAGGTAGTATGGCAATGGATGGCAATGGATGCTACGATGCTACATGCTACGTGCTTACATGCTGCATACATGCCTTATGCACAATGCATCAGGTGTTAGTTGTGCTGTCCATTGGCCGCCTCCTACGTTATAATGTACGGACGTGTATGCGGGGGAACCACAAAAGCCGCCTGCTGTGTGGGAAATCAGGGGACGTCGCCTCTGATGTGAGAGTGTGCCGTAGATATTACCTAGGTACCTAGGTACCTACCTCTACCTGTACCTCCTCATCTTCTTCTTCCCTGAGGTACTACCTAACCTCTGCACAGCATCCTTAGGATAGTAGGTACTGGTAGCACGGTAGAACTGCCTGGGCTCCCGGAAGCTGCCTCGTGTTGGCGGGTGTGTCTGCCCGACGCGGGAACGAGGCATTACTTTACCTACCTCCCGTCGCTGCGACACCTGAAGGATGTCGTTGTTGGTTTTATTGTTTTGGTTCGCGTCGTACCCGGGGAGTGCATGTCTGCGGCCCTAGGGACCCCGCGGGCTTCCCAAACATCTGCTCAGCTTGGGAGTTGATTTACTTACGAGGTAGCGACGGGACCCCGGCTTGGAAATAGATATTCATCGATGCTGATATGGCACCATTTTTTGGCTTCTCGCATCCGCGCGACTAAACCCTCTCGGGCACTATTATCTGCCTGCATATGAGTACCTAAGGTATCTCTGCACAGCCTGTACTCACCTATAGGTACCTAGTATAGGTAGGTATGCATGCGCCCACCGTGGTGGCCTCGAGTCTGGGCATTCTCAGCCTGTAGGAGAGGGTATATCCGATCTCGTTTCTGGACAGACCCCGTCCCAACCCGTCTCTAGCCCGTCCCTGCTCTCTCCGCCTTCGCCTCCGCCTAACCGTCGTGAGTGATCGCCTCCCACCATCTGCCCATCTCTGGGTCCTGTCTTCGCCCCCCCCCCTCTCGTCTCCGCCGCCCCGAGCTGCGCGCGCATACATACACAAATGCACACCCACGTCTGGTGACAAGATCAGAGTAAATATCTGTCCCGGCCCTCCTGCTCCCCATTCGTCGGCCATTGAATAGCGCGGTCCCCAATTTCGTGCAGCGCGCCATCCGGTCCCAGGGGGGAACATCCGTGCCTTCGCCGTATCGTCTTCTTGAACACATACCGGCGTGCTCCTTGTTCGGTTTGTATACTGTCTGTCATATCCCGTTGTCATTCTGTCGTCTTTGGGTCGTCAGCCCGGTCCGCTCGACGACACCGCGCGTAGCTTGTTGAATATACCTACATCCATATTACACACTCTATACCATCTTAGCCTCGCTGCCCACGTCCACACACGCATACGCTACCGCTTCTTGTTAGCAACCCTTCCTTCCCCCCCCCACTACGGCGCCCGAATTCCTCGGCAAGAGAGCATAATAACCCAACTAACCGTCCCGATATTGTCGTGGCTCTTCTCCCTACATGCAACACATCGTTGCAGGTGGTGGCAGTCCACTCACGACCCCGATCATCCGACGGCGCACCCCCCCCCCCCTCCCGCTCCCCTCCCCTTTACCCTGGCCAGTCCTGCTCGCGTTGGATTTGTCCCTACTTGTCTCCCTCCGCCAATCTCCGTCTTCTCTGCTACCTAGCGAGCCCTTTACTACTCCAATCGTGGCATCGCGTCACTCCTCTCGCGCGAGCTGGCACAACTGGCACACGGCTACGTGAAGGCGATCCGTCAAGCCTTGTCCGGTCCGTCTGTTGATCATTTCCCTGCGCCATATCTAGTCTGGACATCCTCCAGCTATCACCCCCCCCCCCTCCTCCCCCTCTTGTCACCACATCATCTCCCGGGTGCAAACGCTTCTGAGTGGCGCTGCCGAGCCCCCCGTTTGCTGCGGCTGCTGCGATTGCTGCAGGCTCTATAGCTCTTCCCTTCAATCTCGTCTCCGTGTCTGGCTCTTCGATGGCCGGGCGCCTACATTAGGCATATACACGCCCACGCTAACCCGGGCCCAGGAGGATACCCGCTATCGATCGGTGACCTGATCACGCATCACAAAATACCTGGTTCATATCCTGGCCGGCTTGTTGTCCTGCTAGGTATCCACAATCTGCCCACTCAGACATCGCCGCCTGGCCGCATTCCAAGGGTCGACGCTCATAGCGCACCCCGGATAGTGTCAGGGTACCGGCGCAGTTCATGGCAATCCGAGCCTCCCATCCCACCACAATACCTATCTATGTATTGATATCTCTCAGCGCATCCACCCGCCGAGGGTCAAACGGTGGCTCGGGTCGATTGACTGATCCCGCAACCCGTCTGGACATGTGCTAAAGCCCACCCCCCTCCCTCGAAAAATCAACCTTTTGTGCCTTTGCCGCCCACGATGGCTACGTCTACGCGGAAGCCCCCGTCGTTAGACCTGGCTTACGATCTCGATGGTGCCTCTCTCGAACTTGGAGAAGCCGATTACTACCAGCAGGTCCTGCAGCTTTCGCCCGAGAAGACCGCCGCCTATCTCGATGACTTGATCGTGAAGGCCGAGAACCTGGGTATCGCCGTTGCTAGACCGTTGAGTACCGCCTCGACAGACGATAAGCTCAACCCCTCTGGCGCCGAATCGAGCGTGACCGTCGACTCACATCACGTCCGCACCATATCGACGGGGTCAGAGGGCTCGGCGAGCACGAAGCTGACGTCGCATTCTTCGATCAGTGCCTACCCGGAGCCGACGGGACGGATTGCGAGAAAACGATCTAGGGCTCTCACCTTCGCCCAGTACGAGAGCTACCTCGCCCAGGTTGAACCGAATCTCTGCCAGCCAAGATTCTCGGCGCCGTCGCCGGCGGAAGCAGAGGCCACCCCGAGCATCTTCGGCGTGAGAACGAGCAAGAGCTACCTCAGGATCAAGAGGGGGTTCTCCAAGTTGCGCGATAGACGGAAGATCCCCCCTTGCCCTGAGGATACGGTCATGTTTGTCTAGCGCCCCCGAATAGCTGCGATGACTTGTACTGACGGGTACGTTTCGTTTCCATTATAGATCGTGTAGCGCGTGCCGAGACGACCTCGAATCAGACCAATCCCTCCAGAGGCTGCCTTGCGGACACAGTTACTGCTCGAGGTGCCTGAGGATCATGATTAACCAGGCGACGACCGACGAATCCAAGATGCCGCCGCGGTGCTGCACTCAGCCGATGACGAGTTCGATCATCAAGTCCGTCCTCTCTCGCGAGGAACAAAACAGGTTTCTCAAGTCCGTCATGCAATTCAGCACCCCCTGGGAGTCGCGCATCTTTTGTTCGAATCCGGCATGCGGCGAGTTTATCCCACCGCAATCCAAAGTCGACCCTAAATACCCGTTCCAGGCTATCTGCCGCAAGTGCAGGATGCGGGTTTGCGTTATGTGCAAGAGAGACGCGCACGCGATAGGCCAGGACTGCCCGGGTGACTGGGAGCTCGAAGCGGTGTTGAAGATGGGAGAGAAGTCGGGGTGGAGGAGGTGCTATAAATGCCGGACGTTAGTTGAGCTCACGCAAGGTTGTACGCATATGACGTGTCGGTGTCGGGCTCAGTTCTGCTACATCTGCGGTGCCGTCTGGGACCCGATGGTCGGCTGTCCGAATTTTTGCAACGGCGATGCAGAGCTGGAGCGTCGGCGATTAGAAGAAGAGGCTAGGGCGGCGGCCCTCGCCGCCGAGGAGGCGGCGAGACAGGAAGCCGCCGAGAGGGAGGTGGTGGAGAGGCTCGAGGCGGAAGCGCGTGCCCAGAACTGCGAACAGTTTATGGCACTGCGTGCGGGGCAGGTAGAGGAGATGGAACGGTTCCAGGCCTTCGAGAGGCGATCAAAATGGCTCATGTGGACGAGACATGCTCACCAGAGGCTGGCTCTGGTAGGGAAGCAATCGGGAACGATCGAGAGGATGCGAGAACGGCACGCGAAGACTTCGGCTAACCTCGAGGACCGCCAAGTAGCTGCGGAGATGGAATTACGCTCAACGCTAGATCAGAGCGAAAGGAACGTGCGGATCCGCCTCAAACATATGGAAGCGTACTGCGACGGCCTCGGAAAGAATCCGGATGCCAACATGCCATCCCGAGTGGTTACCGAACGGGACCTGCGGGAACTCGGACAGCAGTACAACGTCGAGAAGAATATGAAGCAGCTACATCAAGCTAAGATCAACGTGATGCGGGATCGCCAAGCCAAAGTCCTCGAAGAGCTGATCGAGAGGCAGGGATCCGAGATGAACAAGCTGATCGAGAAGAACAAGGACGAGTTGGAGAACCTCGAGTCGGAATTTGCAGACGAAGAGGATGCCCTGACGACCATGTTTGCCGAGCGCAAATCGGCTCTCGAGAAACGGTGGGAGCTCGAGATGGAGGTGATGCGTAAGGAGCTAGAGAAGAAGAGCGGCTTGAAGTACGGCTCGCTAGGCCCTCTCGAATGGCCGCATGAGATAGAGTCTCTCGACAGTACCCCCATCACGCCCCCTAGGACTCCCACCACCACGGATGGGTGATCTACGTGTCTCGACTATGATGATCACTCGGTTATCTGTTATTATCTTCGGTCCTTGGATTCTGTGCATAACTCGCTTTACCGCACCCCCCTACCGAGCCCTTCGCTCTAACTCAGGGCCCACCGGCGTGTCCCCGCCACGAGTTGCCCTCCTTATTTCTACGCCCTTTTTGCGCCTAGGATGTGGATTATGGCTTTTTCAAGCGCGCAACCCCTGCGACATCAACGTGAAGGGCGCTTCCATTGCTAGCTGTTTTGTTGAAATATACCCGGCGATTCTTAGCCAGAGAGAGACGTTTGGTTTACTAGTGTCTTTTTGGTTGCATATGGGGCTAATCTATATGGTTGGGAAGCGAGTGGGTGAGAAGTGAGGCATCGGATAGCATGACATGGGTCTTAGGGATATGAAAGCGATGATGTCCCTAGGATGAAACGCCACGTTGTCGTTATCGCCTCTGTAAGGTTTATTCGTCGAGGATCACCAATTCTCCAGCTTCTCTCGGTCGAACTAGCACTAATCTTTATAATCATGTATACAAAACCTAGCATGGTGTTTGTACTCATACTTCCTACCAAGCCAGCTGTTGTTTAGCTGTATATAGCAAATCAACTGTCGTCTTGCCCACGATGCCGGTGTCGGATTGGCATTTCTGCACGCATCCCACCCGCTGGGGGTTGATCGACGATCAAAACGTTGCTCTTACTCTAATGCCTCCTTTGTTAACTTGGGTAGTTTAAGTAAGGCTCGTGGTAAGAGAATGGTGGATATTCAGCTCGAGATAGCAATAGGGGTGTATATGCCCGTCACACAAGGAAATGGAAAGCATCTACACACGGGCTGAGAAGTGGGACCGCCGCTTGATTGAAAGTCCTAGTCCTAGAGTTAATCGAAGGTGTGTTACGACGCAGTCAAGCTCATACTCGGAGCAAATTACGTGCTCAATTAGGGTCTACGAACTACCGGTGCCTAATAATAAATATGAGGCCCAACACTTTCAAGGCCGCTCGCTGGTTTGAAAATAGAACTACGGGCGGCGGAAATACGTTGGCATACGCAAATTGACTGTAATATCCTCTGGATTTTTGGTATAACGACACAAGGCGAATACATTCGGGCGGAGCAAATGGGATAGCTCCTACGGGGTCGTGTGCCTCGAATCAGCTAGAAGAATGTCCGGATGACCAGCGGGTAGGCGCTGGTAGGCTGGAACACGACGCCGGAGGCGGGTGATCTCAACAAAACAATGGAGGACGCCCTTCTCGTCGTATCGTCGCGCCGGAGCACAGAGAGTCCTATACGACGTGGCGGTCAGCTCATGTACAGACAACTAGCATGCATACCTCGACGTAGGAAAGGGGGCGTAGGGGGGGCAAATGTTCAGAATATGTAAGAAACTGTTATCACGTTGGATGCTCGATATAGCAACTCCGGCAAGAGCGCCATCGAAGCATAATCAGTCGCAAATTACCTCATCATGATATGCGAGAACCGCCAGTATAGAGAAAGAAAAAGGCCACGGGGGATCTTACCTGTGTCAGGATAGGGTATGTGGGCTTGAGAGCCGTATGGATGGCTCTTCGAGGACGCGTTGATGCTGGTGGGAGAAGATGGGAGAAGGTGGAAGAGATTTTTTCGATGAGGCTGGAGGAAGGAAACTTCTATTATGTCTAGGTACCTAAGGTGTACTCGTTAGTGGAATGGAATTTAGAGATTTGAATACCTGGGTACAAGCACATATACACTTACTAGTGCCCCGCCTTTTCCATCCAACCAGCCAGGTTGGGTGTGTTAGGCACTCCGGCACAGCGTTAATGTAGATACCTACCAGGTACTAGGTACGTCGTACTGGCGACAAGGCTCCATCCCGTCTAGGTTGTACCTGTCAACCTAACTTGGGTACAATGTACCTAGGAGTTAGCAGGCTCGGATGCGGACAGCAAAAATTCCGCTTTTAGCCCTAACGCCCACACAACATTCAACTTCCGAACCTCCCACCACTGATATGCGCGACTGAAGAAAAGTTCACGCCCAGGACAATCGAAGGTAGGAGGATTTGAGTCGACACCACAACGTCTTATCTACCTACCCCCGGTTAATACCAACTCGGTCAGTATTTCTCCCTGATAAAAAAAAAGACCAACCCCTCCTTTTCGTCTTCCTCCTTGTGCCTCTCTCTCTCGCTTCAGATCCGCCTCTAACAGCAAGCCGAGTTCGCATCAGACCGTCACAATGGGCGACGCAAATATCGAATCACCCGAATGGCGCCGGGTCGAGGTCGGTCGCATCGTCCTCGTCCAAGGCAACAACCCTTTCGCCGGCAGGCTCGCTGCCATCGTCGAGATCATTGACCACAAGCGCGTACGTTGAACCGAGTCCATGGGGGGGTAAGGGGGGAGGAGAGGAAGCACGATTATGTATTTACACGGCGTTTTACTTTGTTCTAGGCTCTGGTCGACGGACCTTCCGCAGATCCCAAGCTTGTCGTCCCGCGACAAGCCATCTCCTTCACCGACGTGCTGCTGTCCGACCTCAAGATCCAGAAGCTGCCGCGAGCCATCCGAACAGGAGCCCTGAAGGCGGCGTGGGAGAAGGCCGAGATCGACGCCAAGTGGAAGGAGAGCAAGTGGGCCAAGCGAAAGGACCAGAACGAGCGGAGACGCGCGCTCACCGACTTCGACCGGTTCAAGGTCATGCGACTCAAGAAGCAACGACGATTCGAGGAGCAAAAGGCCCTGGCCAAGGTCAAGGCGTCTGCGTGAGCGGAGAAACCGAGAGGTTGAGGGATGTGATTCACACGGAGGGTTCTGAGGAGACGGTGTTCGGCTAGGGTGGAGGGTAGCAAGTCTACGGATCTGGTCCGCGCGGACATCACCAACAAACAAACAACATCAACACATTGGCATGGGGTTACTGGTTTCTTCTGCTTCGTCTGGCAAAGACCTGTACGTCACTCGTAAAATCTCAATGAGGTGACAGGCGTCAATGATACGGAATTTCACAATGGCCCAGGCTGTCTGTCGGCTTAGGGCTATCTGCGTAGAATCCGGTGTCTCGCCCTGTCGCCAATTCGGACGGCCTACCGTGCGCGGTTGTGCTTGTGCGAGTGCTGCCTATGTAGAATATTATACCTACCTACGTAGGTATCCGCAGGCTGTCGAGATTCCTCCACCAAAAATAGAACTTTTTTTTTTAAATCCGAAAGACGGCTCCCTGTCCCAAGTGCGTGTGTCCGCGGGTAGACTTGGCTGTATCTCCATCCCCAGCGATGCTGTCACTTCTTCGGCAGGTAGCCGATGAGGAACGAGCGGAACTCCGTCATATGCCTGCTTAGCTAATCGAAGTCGTCAAAAAAGGAGGTAGCACGGAAGGGACTGAGTAGGTAGGAATGTAACCCGGGCCTGGCTCAGGCTATATATATGGACATAGGATAGGGCAGGCGGAGTTGTGGAGGGGCGTGCCTGCCCAAGGCATGTCAAAGTACCTGGGGAACATCTATAAATCCGTATCTGGACTAGTGCGGGCCACTCGCAAAATCGAAAGGGCCGCCCGCAAAGCCCTAGGCCAAACAACCTCAGCAAGAAGAATCGACAGCAAAAAAAGTTCACAAGCTGGGCAGGGAACTTTTCTCAATAACCGAACCACACTTACCACCTACCCACCCTAGACATAACCAATCACCCCGCCACGCCCGCACTCTAGCAACCATCCTCCCAGCACCGCCTTGGTGAGTCGACAGCAGCCGTGACACAGTCCCCGTGCGGTTCGTACAAATCTCTTCTCCGACTCGGGTTCGGAGGGTAGAGAGGCGCACGATAGCAGTCTTTGCGGCCTATTTCTCAGCGCGCTTGCGCCCCGCCCGCTCGTTCCCACATTATTGTGATAGAAGGGAGTGAGAATAACTTGGGTAGCTGACTCGAGATAAACCCGCCAGATTTGCGTCCAACATGGCCAACCCAAGAGTCGAGGAACTTCCTGATGACGAACCTAAGAAGGTCACGATAGAAGAGCACGATGACGACGAGAGCTCCGACTCCGAGATCGAGGTTGGCGAGGGTGGTCCCTCCGGCTCCACTGCCGTCATTCACTCCCGCAACGAGAAGAAGGCCCGGAAGGCCATCGAGAAACTCCACCTGACCCGCGTCCCTGGCATCACCCGTGTCACCCTGCGACGACCGAAGAACGTAAGTGTGGCGCGGACCTGGGACGTTGGTTGTTGTTGCGCAAGGGGAGTTGAACTGGCCGCAGCGTCGCGCCAGAAAGAAGACCAAAGGGACATGGATGTGCCATTATGCACCTAGTGCACCTGTCGCAGCGTCTCGCAGCACTTCTTTGAGCGTTCCTGATCGGGATATGCTGGAATTGCCATCGGAACCGAATTGCTCGTTCATAACTGACAATTATCTATAGATCCTGTTTGTGATCAACAACCCAGAGGTCTACAAGTCCCCCAACAGCAACACCTACATGTAAGGCGTCATCAGCCACCCTTGCGCCCCAGTATTTATGTTGGAGACATCTGACAAGAGCCCATTAGTGTCTTTGGTGAGGCCAAGATTGAGGATCTCAACTCGGCTGCCCAGCAAGCTGCTGCACAATCGCTCGCCGCCCAGGGTGGCGACCATGACCACGACCACGCCGGCCACGATCACAGCCACGGCGCACCTGCCAAGGCGGTTGAGGGTACCGAGGAGAAGAAGGACGACGATGACGATGACGAAGAAATCGACGCCGAAGGGCTCGAGGACAAGGACATCGAACTTGTGATGACCCAAGCCAACGTCAACCGGAACAAGGCCATCAAGGCCCTCAAAGAAAACGACAACGACATAGTCAATTCGATCATGGCATTGAGCGTCTGATTGTGAGGGCAGACGTCGAGGTTGAGGTCAGGCTGTATCTGCCGCTGTGGTTGTAGCAAGGCGCCTTGCAACGATAGAAAACGTTGTGTTGGGCAAAACAAGGACGCGGGTTGGCTGTGTATTACAGGGCTGCAATACCTTCTGGTGGATTCTTGAAGCATTGTGAATACCGTCTGTTTGCAAGTGATATCCTCGCCGGCGGGCAACGCGGTCGTCGTACCTGTCTGCTTGTGATGACGAATGTATCAATTGCTCGGGTGAAGCCTATGATTGGAAGCATCAAGCTTGGCCAGTGAATGAAAAAAAAACAAACCACCCCGTACCTCGTGTTGGTGAGCATATTCTCTAAGCATAGGCCACTGTTGTGGGTTGCTAGGTAAAGAGAGGGAAGATGCCGATTCTGGTCATGAGGCGCGAATGCTGTACGAGATTGTTGTCATTGTACGTGTAAGGTATTTAGTCATCCCGTAAGGCAATAAAAGGGGCTTGGACATAGAACAAAAGATGTAGGTACCTCCATAACTTCCAGACAATCCTATGAGTAGGATTGTATTCCACGTGACCTCACATCACGTGCATTATGTGAGGCGTATTATGGGAAGTACGTGTGTACATGCTTCATTGCTCCCACCCGTTCCGCCGCCCCAACTCCATGCAAAAACGCCGGACTTTTTCGGCTGCGAAGAGGGTAATGTTGCCGTGAATTGCTTCAGATCTCCACTCATTCCCTAAATTTCTCAACACACCTGCAAAAATGGCCGCTGTAAGTGCCTCCCTCCTTTTGGGCTCTCTTTGCGAGCGATTGTGACGTGGCCAAACCGACCCGTTCCCTCCGTTGGCCTCGTCGTCGGCCGTCTAGGCAAGGCACGACGGATATGCGTGTGTGTGTGTGTGCTGTGTGCATGATGAGCTAATTTTCCCGCGCGCCCGACCTATAGCGAAGCGCAGCCCTCAAGCTCGACTGGGCGAAAGTCACCTCCTCGCTGGGCCTTCGGGGCCAAACCGTCGCATCGCTGCAGGCGTTCAAGCAGCGGAACGAGAACGCGCGCCGCAAGGTGCAAGCGCTGTCGGAGCTGCCGACGACGGTGGACTTCGCGCACTACCGGTCGCTGCTGAAGAACCGGGCGGTCGTCGACGAGATCGAGAAGCGGTTCACGAGCTTCCAGCCGGCCCGGTACGACGTTGGGCGCCAGCTCAAGGCCATCGAGGCCTTCGAGGTCGAGGCCGTGAAGAACGCCGAGGCCACCAAGGAGAAGGTCCAGCTCGAGCTCAAGGACCTCGAGGCCACCCTGAAGAACATCGAGACTGCCCGGCCGTTCGACGAGCTCACTGTGGTACGTTGCGGCTGCACCGGCGTGATAAGTCCTCCGATTCGGAGAGGGAGGAGGAGGAAGAAGAGAGAGGAGAGAAGAAGCGATGAAGATCAATGCTGATACGTGTGTGCACGCCTACAGGACGAAGTCGCCGCCGCCGAGCCCTCGATCGACGAGAAGACGGCACAACTCTTGGCGAAGGGTCGCTGGGTCGTTCCCGGATACAAGGTATGGGACCCCCCTCGTCTCACGCACGGCCACCCGATCCGGCCGGTCTACTAAGAACGTACGGTATACTTACTCGCTTCTTTTTCATTTGTTTAGGAGAAGTTCGGCGACCTCTCGGTGGTATAGGCGCGAGCATCATCAATGGCAGCAGCATCGCGCGAGCCGCAGCCGAACCCACTGCTGCTCTCGTTTCCCCCGCTTGTGTACTACGTTATCTAGCATTGTAGATAGGAGGCTGGTAAGGAAGAGGTACGGGAGATGGGATGAGAATTGCAGAAACTGTCGAACGCCGCCAAATGTGCGTGTGTGCGCACGCGTGCGTGATTTGCGTGTGTCATTGCCTAATACTGGGAGGATAGCATCGGTGTAGACGGCAGGCGAGCAGGCATAACGCAGGCTACACAAGAGGCTACCGGTGCGCGATTCACGATTGAGAAGGTCAAGCCTGAGACGAGCGAGCGATGCCGACTCGTATCGGGTATCCGGCCGGTGCGCCTCCTCGAGCGCCACGCTCGGGGACGCCGCCCCCGCGGACAAGGCTCCTAGTCAGCTATCCCCAATGGTGCCCATCCCTTCTTCATTTCCCGAGCCGACAATGGAATTGGCGCGCCCCACCCACTCGTAGGAAATCCAAGCGTACGTGTACCTGATAGACATGACCGACATAGGTATGTATACGAGGTAGGTACCTACCTAACGCAGGTGGGCATTCGAGTAATATAGGCACTGGCATATGCGTGTGAGTATACCTACTTAAATAAATAAGGGGTGCTCTACGTCGAGGCGGCTGTAGGCTGGCCTTACTGCTGGGACCTGTTCGTCTATCCTCTGAATTGCATGCCTCCCCCGCTGGTAAGGCAGGTATATAGGTATCGGAGGGGGGGGAGAGACTGGGATGCGGAGATAAAGTTGTCTGAGATCTCGCTGCTTGCGTAGATACCCAGCCTATGTGTAATATATGTAGGCATATCGCCCTACCTTTCGTTCATGCGAGTCTGTCACCGGGGCTCAGGTAAGGCGAGGTGTGTGTGTAAAGTGGCTCCGAATCTGCTGGGCGATGTGGAGGCCGGCTTCGTTAGTTGCATATCGATGAGATTCCCTGACCTTCGGTTACGACGTGAGTTCTAAATTCGCCAGAGGGTTTGACCGGAGGTGGCTCGCCGTACCTGGTTCGAACCTGTGGTGTGGCAGCCTCTCTGCTGTCGTCGCAGAGGCGTCTTCCCGCCCATTTGCCTGCCCCGTCCCGCTCAGCCCGCCCGCCTTGTTCGCTGCACCTCCCAGGAAATCCACATATGCACATACCCATGCACACTGGACCTCTACATGCATACTCCCGTTAGATACATGCAAAGATCTCTCCCGTCCACGCACCGGATAACGCTGCACACACACACGCCCACATAATTGCATTTGTCCTGCACCTGACCTAATCCTAATCCTCTTCCTCACCTTCGCATTTCTTCTTCCTCTTCTTCTCCCTCTTCGTCCTCCATTACCACATTCACCTAGGCCTATATCTACTTTTCTTACTATCCACCTTGCTTTCCGGCCATTGCAAAACTTATTCCCTGAGCATTGCAAGAATCCTACGCCTGCCCGCCTACTTACCTACTCGCCTACCCGTCTACTCGCAAGCCCGCCAATTGACCAGGAAAGACGCCCGAACAAGTACAGGAATTCCCACGACCATGACGTCCCTTGCGGCGGGGATAGTCGATCCCACGAAAGCCGGCAAATACCCAGTCGTTCTCAGCGACGCCTTGCTCGGCAAGGATCCCAAGGAACTCTTCACCGGCGTGAGATGTACGCAATCCGCCCTGTTCCACCCCATCCTCGCTGTCGTTGCCCAGCTAACGGATAGCCCGCTGTAGACAATCACAAGCCGCCCTTGTCTTCAAGCACAGCGCCTGCTCAGGCACGAATAAAACCCGCCCCCTCCACCTCCAAGAAAGGTGCTCCTTCGTATGATCTCGCCTTCCAAGATGACGGCGGTCGCTATCAGTACAAAGGTACCTCTGGCGCCGAAAAGAGCCAGTACGTGCTCATCTTCGACCCGGCCCGCGAGGTCTTTGTCCTACACAAAGTCAATTCCATGTTCAACATGAACTTGGTGCGGACGCCGTCCAACGACAACGCCGAGAGCTTGCGACGCGAATTTCCGCATCTCGAGGCCCACAGCAGCAGCACTAGTGCTAAAGCCGCTGCTTCGGCTGGCGGCAGCAAATCAGCTGCTAAGGGAGGCAACGACCAGAAGAAGACGGCGGCTAAGTCGCGAAAGCAAGCTGCTCCCCCGGTTGAGGAGAAACCACGTCTCGCCATGCCCGAGAAGAAAGCGCCGCCGCCGCCGCCGAAGCCCGCGGCTAACAACAAGCGGCGGCAGGCCTCAGAAGAAGAAGATGAAGAGAGCTCAGACGACGATCTCGGCCTCACTATTGAGAATCCGGGCGGGGAGGCCCCGAGCACGAACCGCGACTTCTCCCCCATCTTTGGAATTCGCCGATTTTCCGACTTCGTCCAGCAAAATGGGGAGGACGATCAAGATGATGCCGATGCCGAGGAGGATGACGACGACGCATTCGAGCACTTCAAGCTACCTAGTCCTATCAACCACCAGATGCCCAATGCGGCCCCGCATATCCAGGCCAACGCAGAAGAGGAGGAGGAGGAAGACGAGGAAGACGACAATATGGAGGATGTACAGCACGAGCAACCGGCCGAAGCCGAAGAAGACCCTGGTCAGGAGGATATAGATCTCGAGGCAGAGCTTATGGCCGCGCTGGAGGAAGAGAGCGACGTGAGCGAGGAGGAATAGCGGCGGCGCCAACATCTGTTTATGTTTACGGCCGACCGATTCGGCCACCCGGAGAGGGCACAAAATTTTTCTCATCATCCTTCCAGCATGTTAGACCCGTGGCGTCTGGCGCCCTGGATATCATCGTGTGTTTTGGCATTTGCGGACAGGAGGAGGGACGGATAGGACTAGGCGGCACGGCACGGCACGGCACGGCACACATAGCACGAATTACTAAAAAGTCACCAGAGACATGACGAGCAGGGGGCGGGAGGATTTCATTGGCGGGTACGCTAATACCTACCACAGCTGGAGTCGGTCGTTTCTCGTGGAATAAACTCGAATATGCCTACCTTTTCGGGTCTTTGACGAGCACATGAAGTGATCCCCCCTCTCGGACCGTCGGGTCGGGGTTTGTGTCCATTTTACATTGTGTGAGATTCGCCTGAAGTATATGAACTCTTTTTTATTACACTTCTCTAGCGCATGTGGTGGTAGAACGGTGGTTTTCCTTTCTGCCATCCGCGGCCCCTATTTCGGACGTAGCCACGCTCCCTCATCTTTCTTTTCCCCTCTCCCCCTCTCCCCTTTCTTCCCTCTCTTCTCTCTCTCTTTTCTTCTCCTCTCTTTCTCTCTCTCTCTCCGTCTAGCCACCTACGTGGCGCCGGAGAAGACGAGGTCCTCGTTGCCGACGACGGGGTTGAGGACGTTGAGGGCGGTGCCGGCGAGGCGGCCGTCGCCGCCCGGGAGGAGGACGGCGGGGAAGGAGTCGGCCATGAGCTGGACGCCGGAGACGAAGCCGGCGCCGTCGAACTCGCAGTGGCCGCCGTCGGGGGCGTTGTCGACGGTCTGGAGGGCGCCGACGGCGGCGGCGCCGAGGCCCTGGTCGGCGGCCACGCGCTCGTACGCGGCGACGGCGGCGCGGATCGCGGGCTGCAGCTGCGCGAGCTCGCGCTGCGTGCTCTGGAAGTGGATGCGGGTGGCGGCGAGGGCGGCGGCGCTGGCGGGGTCGACGGGGACCTGGGGGGCGAGGGCGCCGCAGTTGAGGAGGACGGCGGACTGCGGCGCGGACGTCTGGCCGGCGGCGGGGGCGGTGACGAACTGGGCCATGTGGGCGGGCAGGAAGAAGCCGCTGAGGAGCAGGGCGCCGCCGGAGACGCCGGTGAAGCTGACGCGGGCGGGGTCGAAGGCGAGGAGGCGGGGGAGGACGCCGGCGACGAGGTCGGCGACGGCGCGCGCGTGCGCGACGCCGTCGTCGCGCCGCAGGCCCTGGCCCCCGCCCCAGAACAGGTTGCGGTCCGGCGCGAGCACGGCGACGCCGGCTAGCCCCCCGCGCACCCCCTGGTTCGGGAAGTCGAAGAACGACTGCCCCCCGTCCCCGTGCAGCAGCACGTTCAGCCCGAGCGTGCCCGCCGCGCCCGCCGCCTGCGCCCCGCCGCGCACCCCCGACCCCGCCGCGAACTGGTCCGCCGGCGCCGAGATCTTGAAGCGCAGCGGCAGGCCGCTGGGTCCGGGTTCCTTCGTTAGCTCTCTGGACGTTTTTTTTTTTTTGTAGAGAAGGGGGGGAGGGGATGTACTTGACGGTGGCGTTGGTATCTAGGATGGTGCTCCCGTCGGTGGCGGTCGAGATGCCCTGCGGGACCTGCTGGGCTTGCTGGAAGGCGGTCGCGGCGGCGCCTTGCCGGTTCCTCCCGCCGCGGTTCTGGGGGAGGCCCTCGGCGGCGAGGGACAGGGCGCCGAGGACGAAGACGAGGGACAGCGAGCGGACGGTCAACATCTTGGCTCGGCGGGGGCGGGGATCCCGTAGGAGCAAACAAATAAAGAATGGTTATAACAGCCGGAGTGTATTACTATATTACAGAGGATGTTATGCGAAGGGGGCAGATCCTGGCCCAGAGCAATCCTATAACGAAAGTAATAATAAGAAATAAATAATAAGCCCGTCAAGAGCTGGCGAAAGAAGGAGAATACGGGGTTAAGAGAAGGGTAGAAAAAAAAGAGGACGAAATGGAAGGAAAGCCGAGATAGACAGGACGGAGAATAAGGCAAAATAAGCTTGTTTTACACCCTCGTAAAGCGCAGCGTTCTACTATAACCCAGTGGAGGCACTACTATACGTGCGGGTCGTATTCCCGGGATCGCCTCGTCGACATCTCAAACAAGCACCACGGGCCCCCTCGCCGAAACGTGCGGGATCGACGTCCAGAAGTGAGCAAGTATGTGCGTATTAGGAACGAGCAACGGACGACCGCACGTACCTAGATCAGAGGTGTCGACTACCTACCTACCTACCTGTGTTCGCGCAAGGGGGTACCTGCGCAGGTCGGCGCGCAGCGCAGATCCGTCTCAGACGATCCGCTGAGCGACGCGGGAAGCGGGGCGGCGAAGAGCTGCGTTCTCGCGGTGTTGGCGGAGTTTGGCTGCGCACGCAGACAGGCGGCGAGCAAGTCCCAGCTGAAATGCTCGGAAGGGGGGGGGGGGCGGCGGTTGGAGAGCGTGTGTTGGTTGCGAGAAGATGAGAACTGACACCGCGGCGCGGCCGGCCGTTGTCCAGTTCGTCGACCCAGCTGCCTGCACTGGGCAGGTGAGTCAATCTTCCGCCCTCGACTCCCAACGAGGTGCGTCCCGACTTCGACTGTGCCACGCTCGCACCCATTTATTTCCTCATACATGCCCGCAACCTCGCATCGCTCGAGTAAGTGTATTTATTAACCACACCAACCCACTCTCCGTGTTTCGTCGCAGGCGCCCGCCCCCCTCCCCCCGGTCCAGCCCGTTTGGGCGCCTGCGCATGCCACCCAGACCGGTAGTTTTGCGCGCGTCGCATTGCATTGCATGTGGGCGTGGGAGGCTGAGGGGTCCGCGCCCCCCCGTCCCTCCCCTCTCCCCGCGCGCCCTCTATCTACTGCGTACCTCCAACCTAGGTAGGTGGCACCTACATGTGTATCTATGACTGATCCCCGCGGCGTCTGGCCGGGGGATAGTTTAGGCATACGTGCCTACATACGCCTGGGAGGCGAGGCGAGAGAACGAGGAGAATTAAGAGCGGGGGAGGGAGGGGGGGAGGAGGGGAAAGGAAGGGAGGGCAAAAGGAGAAGCGCTGCTGAGTCGGCGTGTTGATTCCGCAGACTGGGCGCGCCGACCGGACGGTTGGGTTCGATAAGAGGAGACAGGTAGGCGGGTAGTTATGTAGGCACGGAGGCGCTGAAGGTATACATAGACGTGGACGGGTATGGACGTAAGGAAGTGGAGATCACCGAAGATCCCGTCCAGTTCGCAGGCCGCCTCGCTCCACCGGTCTCCCCTCCTGCCCCCCTTCGCTCGTTCGTCTACTCACTCGTCGTAGTTGCGGCAGATGGGTTACTGGCTTACCTACCATTTCACAAGGAGCGACGTGATACCCGTAGGACGTGTGCGTGCGGTGTGGTGCGGTACGTGCGCGTCGTATCGATATATAGATATGTCCCGAACGCGTCCTCAAGCTAAATCTAGCCTACCTAGCCTGGCCCCGAGGAGAATAGCTCGGCGCCGTCCAAGTTGCAAGACTCCCTTCTCGTCTATCCAACCGTTTCTTCGCCTCGAGAAGGGGGGAAGGGCGGGGCCAACGCCAACCAGCCCAAACTCAACCCGTGAGAAGCTAGTCTCTCTCTCTCTCTCTCTCTTTCTCGAACAACAAACAGGTTCCGTCTGGGGAAGAAAAACCGCTAGCGCCGCTTGTCATATATTACAAATGTCCTGAAAGAAGGTCCCAAATTCGCTTGCTATCCCATGCTCTCTTCTCCATGCTATTACCAAGCCAAAAGAAGCCTACTGGGCAAAAAAAAGTGTAAACAAAAGAGTGTTGACGAATATCATGAAAGGCAGCGGTATGCGGCTGCCATGATAAGCACGTGTCAGCCGACGTGCTCCCGAGAAGATGGGCTATCGAACTATCGTACGCATCGCGTGCCTCCCCGTCAAATGTTTTCCGAGCCGAGGCATCCCGAGAGCGACGTCGGGTCTGCTCGCTTCGGAGGACAGGATCATCTGTACTGTGATAGGTAAGGCCGAACAATAGATTCCCAGCGGAGGTTGCTCGCTTGCGGCCGTCCAGCATCTGGAGAAAAGGGAAGCCCTACAACCCCATAACCTCATCTAGTGCCTCCAGGTCGTTTGCCGTCGCGCCGTGCTTCTTGACCATGTGTCGCCTCCAGTTGTCCTTTCTGGGAAATGCCTTACCGCCCTTGAAATATGGGCACGTTGGCTCTATGCAGTGGTACGCCTTCGACTTGACGTGCTTGTCGTTGATGTGCCGGTCAAGGTGCGTCTTCGTACCGAACCGCTTGTCGCAACCTTCGTAGGGGCATTCGTGTTTGCGGTCGTGGTAGCGCTTATGATGGTTGAGTTTGTGTATCTGGTCAAAGTATCGCCCACATTCCTCGCAGATGTGGCCGGGAGATTGTGGTGAAAGTCGGGAGCCCTCCGGCGAAGAGCTAGACTCGGGCTCCGCCTTGGTCCGGTCGTGCGCCACCGGGTACGGAGACGGCGACACCGTGACTCGGGTGTCTGGAGTCCTACCCATAGAGGGTTCGGTGGAGCTCTGCCCTGGCGTAGTCGTGTAATAGTACGAATCGCTGGATCCGCGAGGTTCGTCGTCGCTAGGTATGTCGAGGAAGCTGTCGGCATCGAAGTCGTCTAGGTCATCCTGGGCGGAAGTATCAGGGAGCTCCGACGCTAGCGGGTGGGGGGTGATCCTGGGAGGGCTGGTGGAGAATAGGGGAGGCGACGTCGAGTTTTCCATTTGGTAGTCGGTATAGGCCGCCTTCTCGGCAGCGTTGGAGGGCTGCATGATGGACATGGGCGACACGAATGCTTCCGGTTGGAGAGGAGGAGAGTGAGAACCTTGGAAGACGGAGGGCCGATGAGGGTCTTCAAATGTCCCATCGAGTTCCATGGGCTCCGGGATGTCGGGGCTCATAAGTCGTCCCTGGGGACGGGCTTCGGATTGTGGCTGAGCTAGGTGAGGCAACCCGTCAGTGGAGTCCGGGCTCCTTAGGACAGCTGAAGGGAGCTCGGGATCTCTCTCGGTCGTTTCCCGTATGCTCGAGCTAGTCCGCAGGGGGAAAGACTCATACAGTGAATCATCCCGTCTCTGCCTCTTATAATTATCATGCTGCCGGTCTTTCTCAGACCAGCTCTTACCCACCGCAGCGCCCAAAACACCCGTGCTCTCAGACATCTCCCCAGGTTCTTCGAAAAACCGTTGGGTGCGGGCACTCGCTTGCGCATCGGCTCCTCCCGTTAGTTCTAAGCTAGATTCCTGCTTGGCGCCCACGGGACTCTGGACAGGCGAGGCGGGAAAGAACTGCTGCGATCCGGTACGCAGAGGGCTGTTGTTGTCGTGGGCGGAGGAATGCGTAGATCGCTTCCTCTTAATGCTGCTCCAGATTCGGCTGGTCAGCGACCCGCTCCTCTTTCGACGCTCCCGCGAATCTTTGAGCTGCGCTTCGTACAGCTCAGTCATCTGGCCAGACGGTGGCATCGGTGCCTGCTCGGGGGCCGAGCCCATCGATATCCTGGTATCGTAATAACTCGAATTTGCAGCAGCAGTTGGTGGGGAAGCATGGTCGAAAGGCAGATTGGTCCCAGGCCCGTCTGTGTTTGAAAAGGCTGTCGGCTGTGGTGGCAAGGAGAAATCAATGTCTGGTGGTAGCGTCGGCTGACCAAAGTTAGGCTGCAAGTAATAGGCTTCATGATCCCTCGCGAAATCACTCCCATAAATACGCGCTGGCAATTGCTGAGATCCCAGGCCGTTCTCGAAATCGGGAGCGACTCTATCAGACCCAGTTGTTTCCTTCGTTGAAGAAGGGTGACCGCCCGGCAGCGTCGCGGCAGGGGTTTGTCTAGAAAGGAAGCCTGGGAGGGCGAAGGGCGAAGTCCTATGTTGGTTGACGAAAGTCTTCGCGGTTGGCAAGATGCCTGTCTTGGCCCTAGCTTCCCTGGATATTCGCCTATACCGGAAGTAGAGAAAGCCCACGACTATGAGTAGCAGGCTCCCTCCGAAAACACAGCCGATAACCGTCCCAGCAATCGCGCCGGGTGACATCTGATCGCCCCTCGCCCTAAGGCTGGACCTGGGTGTCAAGACGGGCGACATACTGGGCGAGTGGGTAGATCAGGTAGGGGGGACAGCAGACAGGGGAGATGACGGGCGAAGCTTAAGACACGCTCAGGCAAATTCCCCGCGGGCCCAGAAGCGCTCCCCGGATCGCAGGACCTCTCGGGTTGTCGGCACGTGCTGGGAAGAGGACGAGAGGGTAGCGATGCTGTCGTGGAAGGGGGGCGAGGACGTGTGGAGAGAGCTCAAGCGCTTCACCCACGAACTCAGACGGCACATATGACAGCGGGATGGCGCGGATGGCGAGGGTGGATAAGACCTTGACGACAGGTGGCACGCAGCCAAGTAAGCAAGCAGCGAGCTCGTCTCACCAGGATAAACGAAGCTCGGCCGACGGGACAGGCGGCCCAAAGGCGGCCTGGGAGGGCGCTACGCAGAGCAGGTCGATGGTGATGGCGTGGTGCACCGCGCAAGAAGGCAACGATGCCTGGACCATAATCCGAGATGGATCAACAGAAGTGACGTTGATAAACCAGGTTGTGATCCAGCGGATGGATGGATGGATTGATTCAGCCTCATCAGAAAAATGTTGGAGGCGGAACTGGGCCCGGAGAGACGCCCCTACAGACGCAGGAGAGAAGGTCGCATTGGCGTCGAGTCGTTGGCTGACGCTTTTTTTGCTGCTGGGCGGGACCCCCCGGCGCCAATTGGAGCCCTCAATTGGGTCTCTCGACGAGGCCAGCGAGGTACCTGACCGGTACTTACGCCCTACCTGCGCCCTGCCCATCGACCCGTTACGGTCCCAGCCCCCCCCCTTCCCTCCGGCCAGCGCTGCGAGCACGTGTCCGCCCGAAACCAGAGGCCCGGCGGCAGTGCGCTAACAGAGGCCCAGAGACCGAGCAGCCAGCTGTGGGCGGGACGAATGTACCCCGTCGGTACCGCTCCAGTTCCTCCCTCCTACACGTATTCTCCGCTGCACGGACACTCCCACCACAGATACAGCGGGCGGGTACTGCGCCACAACAGCAGAGCTACCTCGGCAAGGCCACGCATACCTACCTCTCTCTATGCACATACATCTACACGTAGGTACCCTGCCCCTCAGCCACACAACCTCCTTTATGCGGCCCCTGAGAGCTCCCTCACCTCCTAGCCGCCTCGACACAGACCACGCTAGGCCCCGTCGGGAAAGGGGCTAATCGATAATGCGAGCGCGGCGCGCGCCTCTGGTCGGAGTCCTCTCGGTGAACGCGATGCACAAGGAAGAATCCGTCCGGATGGGGGCCCCGCCTTGCCGGTGAGCACCGGAGACATGTCGTAGTAATGCATATGCACCCACGCAGGTATGCATTGCCGACACGTACGTAGTTGGAGACAGAAGACGAAAGCAACCCGCCCATTCGACAGCCCACGCCCTCCGTACCTACCTGTCACGAAACATGGGCGGCGAGGCCGTCTACTCATAGATGAGCCCCAGTGCCGCCGCGGTGCGACAGCCCCCCGTGGAGACGGCATCCCGCTCTCGCACTCTGCAACGACCTGCAACGACCCCGACCTCGACGGCGCTAACGTGCGGACAGCCTCCCCGGCAAGGGGATCGCTGCGACGGTGGTAAGACCGGCAGCATCCAGAGGCGCGGACGGTTGCAATACTCTGCCGAGTCCGCGTGAGAACCTGTCGCCGAGTCGCGGCTGGGGCCAGGTCAGCCGTGGACCCCTACTCACCGAGGCCACGCGCGACGGATCCGCCTGCGAAATCTCAGCTCGCCCAACCAAGCCAGGCCGTCAGTCGCGGCATGGAGCCTGTCTACGGAACCCTCCGTGTGGAACCCTCCTATCTACGGCAGTCGAGCCTCGTCGCCCGTGCTGGCGGCTAGCTCTAGCCCTCGTTCGCTTAGCCGACCACGAAAGAGCTAACGGCGCCACGCGGTGGTTGCGGCGCTGCTCGTTTGAAGGTTGACGGGCACCACCGTTAGCCCGAGCTCGTAGATGAGGAGGAGAGGACGCTGATCCACGTGTCACGGACCGCTCGATTTGGAGAACCCTTTACCACGCCGGTGCCATGAAGACGAAAGCCTCGTCACCCCCCAAATCCTCGGACCGACTAGCCTAGCTACGCAGTGAGCTAACCTATCATCCTCAATATCGACGGATCAGAGTGGATCTCATACCCGTCTCACCAATTCCTTCGGACGAAGCGGGGCCGCTAATCTGTCCCACAGACCGGACTTGCAACGGGTTCGCCGTGACTAGTGGCTTATCGCCTACGAGTTTGCGGTTAGGAATTATCGCCTCGAGAATGGGCATTAGTACGCAAAAACGGGCTTGGCGACACGGAGGCAGATGGCCCTAGTGCCCAAGCCGGGCTCGCTACTCCCCAACGATTAAACTGGCCAGAGATTTTCGAGGACAGATCACAGGCGAAAAAATGTAGCCATGCAAGTATGCCTCTTCCCAAGTTGCGTGCATGGGTCGACGAGGGCGTTTATTCCGCTGTGGTAAGACCTAGATCGTGCCATGTATTATCTATCAGTTGGAGTCTTTGTCATGGGGGGTTTACCCGCTGAGAGCCTTAGGGTGAATGCGCTGCCGGCACGGTGACTCCTCTGACAGGTTATGTCGCTACTGCACGAGCGGGGCCTATGGGATGAATAGACTAGAGGACAGGTCGTAGACGAGCCAGTACCTGGAACAATTCGGCAAGGCGCGCGTTTTCCGCTAGCGAGACGATCCGCCACTAAAGATGAAAGTTCACTCTCTGTATCGAGTGACCATTGATCTCCACGGCAGAAAATGCCGGCGCACGCTAAGCGACTCTGCGGCATGCCCCCCCCGCGAGCGGAGGCGCATCCTCTCGAGCTCTGTGGGCACTAGTATTGCGTGACGGCACATACGCAGCCTTCTCAAGGGCCCTAGATTGTAAGACCTACCTACCGTCCAATTCTCACGCACAGTGCTAGGTGTTCTAGATCGCGGCCTGACCCACCTGGAGAACTGAACGTAGTCCGGGGCTACTCCCGGAAAGGTTCCGTACGAGGGCGGCTTCGTGGCGCTGGTCGACAGCATCGATACCGGAAGAGTCCGCTCGGGCCTCTTACCTTTGTAGACGAGATATCATCTACTCGGAGGTCCCAGCCTATGGTTGCTCTTCGAGAAAGCAGTCCGAACTAGATCCCTACCCGGATCGCCTTCAACTACACACCAACTTGGGTGCCGGAGGGGAGCGCCTGAGCCTTTTTTTTTTTTCGCATCTCCTTTTCGCCGCTTTCGAGACCCGGCCTCGCCTATACTATGTAAAGGCTTGAGCGAACCTGGACCGTTCCCAGTGCCGGAAATTCAGTAGTGGGTGTCAAGCAGAGTTGCATTCGCATTCGCCTAATCCGTCAGCTCTAATCGCCCCCCTCGCCCCCCCCCCCAGCGGATATTAATACAAAACCGTTAACAACCGTTAGTGGTGACGTACGTATACCAACATAATTCGAACACGCATGCAGCCGGTCAAACAGGACTATCCCACGGGATGCTTACATATACCATCTACATAAATCTTATCACGGTTCTACGATCAACGTTGCGTAGTTCGGCCATGGCACCCGGGAGCTTGAGATGTCACATCACAATGGTACTGGAGATATCGATATTTTACGTAGGTATAATAGATAACGGCTGGTGTAGCTGACAGGAATGAGTTGAAACGCCATCACGCCGTGACACTGTCCATGCCTTTTTTATTCAAGCCAGGATTTGGTCGAGGGTAGTAGTGGACCGCAAAGAGACAGACGCCTCCGGGGCTCGTCCGGAGAGGCGACATGCCGGACATGGGTCCAGCTCGCATGCGTGGTCTACTACCATGTAACTCGCTCAGCGGAAACCTGAGTGTCGTTACTCGCGTGTGTGTATGGAGGGTTACCAGTACATACCTACCCCCTCGGTGTCTCGTACTCGGCGGCAAAACTATGCGAACATTGGGGGGGGGGGGGGGGGGGGGGCGATTGCCAGATAGAGGAAGGGACAGGAAATAGAGCCGGATCGACGGCTACACAACGCAATTCCTCGCCAATGCAAGTATATAGGGATATACCCATAATCTAGGCGCCTGGCGAACAGATCACAGGTTGGCGATCTTTGCGTCAACGCGCGGGTACGCAAAGAATTGACGCCAATTGGCCTCTGGGGAGGGAGCGTAGTTGAAAGCGGACCAGGGCCTGTTCAGCTGGGCGCATTGGCTTGTAGCCGCAACGAACCCGCCTCCGCGGTCCGCCCGCAGGCTGGTAAGCATCGCCTATCGCTTGTCGAGGAACGATCTCGGAGCCTCGGCACGCCGCTCGCCTGGGGGGGTGCCACTCGATGCGTAGGCCCTAGGTATATGCCTGCGTCAGCTCGAAGCGGGCGTCGTAGAAGCCAGAACCGGGCTTGCGTGCCTGCGTCCCTATACAGGTCGGTGGGTGTATATATGCAAATAGATGCGTAGTAATAATAAATATATAGGTATGTATGATCGCAGCCAAATATTGAGTATTGTGTCGCCCGCGTGTAAGCGACCATGCCAACCCGCGAAGTCCCAGGGTACCTAAATAAGCATCTGCAGGGTCCCACCTCGGGTTATTAATAGACATGGGAAAACCGAGAACTCGTCGACATCCCCAGCAGCATCTCGAGGTCACCTTCGTCCCTCGCTGGGGGAGGTTGTAATCCACAGCTACGCTACCTACCTACCTATTGCACCAACAACCAACACTGCTAAGGGGTTTTTTATAAACGGGACGGGGGGGGGGGGTGGACATAACCACGTCGTTATTCGCCGACCTCTTCAGGCAGGTACCTAGAGGTAGGTACCGCATGGACCCCTTAGGCATGGGACCTTAGTCAAGGTCCCTTAGGTTGCGTGCGGCCTGCGCCTAAGATCTTTGTAATGGCCCAGATGCGGGTGCAATTGGCTGGGGGGGGGAGGGGGGGGAGATGAGAGCATGCTGCCCCCGGCCTATGCCGCAATAGTCATGTCTCGGCTTGGGTGCGGCATATAATAATATCGATATCCCGTAGGGCGGCCGGTGCGGGATAGCTCTTGTTGACGTTGACGTGATGCAGCGGCCATGTGGATACGATGTGATGATGCATCGCACCACCTGGCATGCACCCGACGTGGACGCAGGCTGCTGGCGATACAGGCCTAATGTCTTAACTCCGCTCGAGGTTGGGCAGGAGGTGGGAGGCGCCGGCGGGCGACGTCGCTTGGCCGGCGACGACGACGCCTGCGCGGCAGCGGTCAGGTCAGATATAGGTACCTAACCTAAGGCGGGCAGCGCCTTTGGGGATCGTCCAGGGTCCGTCGCTTGTGGTTTTGCGGGCAAAAGGGACCGGCAATGGGCGGGCACTACCGACATACGACATACGTACATACACATACGTACATATGTTAGATTAGGTCGGCAGGCAGGTATGTAATAGGTGACTACCTCTTGCTTGTGCTACGTAGGCTGGTTAGGAAGTGGTGAGATACCTTAGGGTAGGTACCTACCTACCCCAAGGCAGTATGTACCTACATCAGGTAAGTACTTAGCTTAGGTACCTAACCTAACCTACTTGCCTCCTCTTATATCTAGAGACGTATGAGAGGTAGGTAAGGTATGTAGCATGCTACGTAGCACGTAGCACGTAGCACGTAGCACCCATGTCAGCCAGACAGGAGGCAGGTTAGGTACGATGCAGCCCGCGTTAGGAGGTACCTGAGGCAAGGTACCTCGCCCTACCTGCCTGCGTACATACCTGCGCACATATCTGCGTACATACGTACCGTCGGTGCGGTAAGAGGTAGGTACTTACCTACCTGGGTAGGTCCAGGCAGGCAACTTCCATGTCGTGGTCTGGAAGATTGGCAGGTTGCTCCGCAGTCTCAGGGAAGGCAGCCAGCGTCACCTACCTACCTATATACCCGAGGTAGGGAGGAAGGTAGGTACATACCGTACCCACCTAGAGGTACCTAGGTAGCTATAGTAGTCTCTTATCTAAGGCAGGTAGGTATATACCACCCCAGCTGGTATGTAGCCATAGCAGACGTGGCCAGGTCGGTAGCATGTACGTAAGAGATCCCGCCTGCCGTCTGTCTACATATACCTCCTAGCTCCGAGGCAAGTAATACCTTAGGTACCTGCAACTGCCTACCTCTATGCTCTGTTAGGGGGTAGGTTGGGTACTTAGGTAGGTAGGTACTCACCTCCCGACCTGAGATATCGTGGGGAGGTATGTACCCTAGCCCTAGAGGTACCTACCTACCTAGAGGTAGCTACTAGGCCAGGTACCTAAGGTAGGGCAAAGGCCACAGTACCCCTCCCCCTCCAACCTGCACGTCTAGCGGTCCCGGAGATTTGTTCCCCCCTGGCTGCAATGGACGCCCAGGCCCCCCTCCTCTCTGGCGCCCCCTAGCCCCAAAAAAATCTTATTTTACGGGTTCCCGATCTCTACCCCCCGGTCTCTGTTCTGGCCATCATGGGATTCCAACCTGCTGTACCCTTCCCCAATCCCGATCTTCTCCCTCAGTATCCGTTCCACACAGCCCGTGATCATACAACCACCACGCTCCCCGTCCTGCCTCGATCTGCACGCGCAAAAGTCCGCACGATGTCTCTTCGAAACTATTGCCTCCGCCCTCGGGATCGCTTCCAGCTGAGCCTCCGCTTGTGCATCCCTACGCTCGCCCTGCGAGCTCGAGCTCCCGTCTTCCTCTGCCGTCGGGGGCGCCAGAGAGCACCTTATCCCTTGCTGTCACCGGCTTCCCCTATCTCGCCGGTCTGGCCTATATTGCGAGTGGATCGCCTGGTCCTGGTCTGTTAATCAATCATGTCGCTCTCTGCTCCTAGCCCAGAGTCTACCTTGCCACAGAACCCGGCCGAAGGTCTCACTGCGGCATCTCGTCCCCTCCGGGTCCTCGCAGTGCCGCTGGTTCTGTCTGGGCTTGCGTCCGCCACGAGAACGCCGCCTGGGGTGCGTAGTGTGTTGTTGTCCTGGGGATATCCAACCTAGCTGGGTAGTAAATGCCACAAGGTTTCCTCCTCCTCCTCCTCCCGCCTAGAAGAAGAGGTGGATCCGGACTCTCTCGGCGTCCCTGTCCTTCTCGGGTATATATCGTTCCCATGCTGCCCCATCAACACCTAGACTTTCTGAGCCGCTACGTACATTAGCGTCGCTTCGGAGCCTAAGGGCGAAACACCTTGATCTCGAACCACCTTTGCCCTATCCGGGAACTCTACTTCCATCCCGTCCGACTCCAGATCCCCCTTCGCGGCCATTGGCCTCGATAGCAAAGCCACCACCCCTCCCGGCCTGCCCCCCTACCGCCCTTTAAGTATCTCTCTATAACTCTGCCGCGCCTGGGAGACGGTAAAGAAAACAGATACCCGAGCGTTTTCCCCCTTCCCCACCCCGGCCGCATCCATCCAGACTCTCGCCTAAAGTGCTTAGAGTCCGCCCTAGTCCTCAAGCCGCCCCTAAAGCATCTCACTAGCGTCGATCTTGGCGCCTACACCGTTGCCGACCCGGAGAGCGCGAGCAAGACCTTGCCATCGTCAACGTCAACCGTCTCTCCGCTGGCTGGCTATACGCATTTTCGCCTAAGGTTAGGTAGTAACTGCATCGTCGAGGTCGGCCCCAGTCTACGGCTGTAGGGGTATACCCTTAGAACTCTGCTACCGCCCTAGCTCGCCATCTGTCCCTCGTCTCGGCTTGTCGCTGTGAGCCCTGTCCTACCGACGCAGACGACTAGTATAGAGATACGACTCCGTCTCCTCCGCCGTCACCATGTCGACGAGGAATCTCCTCATCTATATTCTGCGTCATGACCTTCGGGTCTCTGACAACCCTATCCTCAGCCATCTTGCCTCCACGCCCAGCCACGGATTCACCCACGTCCTGCCCCTCGTAGTGTTGCTCCCCCACCAGATCGAGGTATCGGGATTTCTCAAGGATGGAGCTCAGTCACCCTTTCCTGAAGCTAGAAGCCAGGTTGGGCGCTATTGGAGGTGCGGTCCGCATCGGACAAGATTTATCGCTCAGTCGATCTGGAATCTGAAAGACAACCTCGAGAACCTGGGAAGTGGCCTGACGATTAGGATAGGGTCTTATGGCCAGGTACTGAGGACGCTCGTGGACGGCTTGCGGCAGAACGAGCTCAACGTCGGAGCGGTCTGGACCATAGGAGAGGAGGGCGTGGAGGAAAAACGTGACGAGAAAGTCATTTTTGAAGCTTGTGCGAGTCTCAATATTGATTTTCGCCTATGGGATGACGAGAAGTACTTCATTGACGAGTGAGTAGTTATTTTCGGCTGCGTGGAGGACTTTTTGCTGATCGAATTTCTTGGTATTATAGTCGAGATCTCAAACTAGCTACGCCCGAAGACCTCCCGGACGTTTTCACCACCTATAGGAAAATGATGGAACCGCTTCGAGAGAAACCTCGGGTAAGCTTGCCCCCGCTTTCGAAGGGCACATTGCCTGGACCCATTGAGACTTCTATGATTCCGGGCCAGGAGGAGCCCTTCGAGATTCCGTCCTCCTACGAAGGATTCGAGGAGGTGCTCCTGCGTCCGATCAGCGATGTTCTGGAAAACGCCCCGCCATTTCCCGAAGGAGCCCAGTCGGCTCATCCACTCCGCGGTGGTGAAGACGGCGCCCATAGGAGGCTAGATCACCTCATCAAATCAGGGAGTGCGTTCTCGTATAAGGACACGCGCAACGGGCTCCTAGGCAGCGACTTTAGTACAAAACTATCCGCTTACCTAGCGCAAGGATGTATCACGGCTCGCCAAATCCACACCAGACTTGTAGCATATGAGGACGGGAAAGACGAGGCGCTAGCTCAGTCCCAGGGATACGGAGATGGGGAAAACGAAGGAACAAAAGGCATTCGATTCGAGTTGCTGTGGCGCGACTATATGAGGCTCTGCACCAGAAAGTTCAAGGCAAAGCTCTTCCTCAGATCCGGGTTCCGAGACGATAAATCCAACAAATGGAAATCGGCCAAGGAAGACGAGGCTACCGATGGCCAGCAGCAGTCGGCGGAAGAGGTCTCTAAAATCATAAAAAGGGTGTTTGACGGCACTACCGGGATGGGGTTGATCGACGCCTCGCAGAGAGAGTTGCTCCATACCGGCTACACCTCGAACCGAGCTCGCCAGAACGTCGCTAGCTTCCTCGCGAAACATCTTAGCATCGATTGGCGCTACGGCGCAGAATGGTACGAGATGTTGCTGGTGGATTACGACGTTTCGTCGAACTGGGCAAACTGGCAGTATGTAGCCGGGGTTGGGAACGATCCGCGAGGCGAGGCTCGAATTTTCAACCCTGTCAAGCAAGCGTTCGACTACGACAAGGAGGGAGAGTATGTACGGTGCTGGGTGCCGGAGGTGCGGAAACTCGAGAAACTAGAACACCTCTTCCAGGCTTGGACGACTCCCCAGGAAGATTGGGACCGCCTAGGGCTGACCGGCCTCGAAATGGCAGAGGATCCTATAAAGAAGATCGAATTCTCTGTCGAAGGTAAGCCGAAAAGCTCGAGACGGCCCTTTACGCGCCGGCGCGGTCGTGGACGTGGAGATGGGGGGAGCAGTCACGTGCCCCCGTCATCCTCGAATTCGCAGGTGCCCTCCAACCCAGATGGCATCAGCGCAGCCGAGGGAAACGACGGGGCGACCAATACCAATACTAATCCGCAGCGCGGTAACCGTGGCCAGCGCGGCCTGTTTGGGGGTCATCGCGGAGGCTTTCGCGGTGGGCGCGTCCGCGGCGGTGGTCTCCGTGGTCCGCGAGGAGGATACCGAGGAGGTCGCGGCGCGCCTGCAACCTACGCGCCTGCAACCTACGGCCAGCCGCCGACGCCTCAACAGCAGCTAACGCCTCAGCAGCAGCAGCCGCCGCCGCCAGCGCCGACGCAGGAATCAACTCCTGCCGGACAAGAGTAGCAACACTCGCTAGCCCGTGCGCTCTTCGCCCCGCAACCTACCGCCCTTGTCACGCTTGTCACTTCGGTTTTCCGGGTCTGGGCTCCCGATCAGCGTGGGCCACATTATGGATGCCATCAACCAAATATCCAGTAGCCCGGTTGTTTCCGTTCTCCGGGCCTTGGTTATCCTGGGCGTGTCACCCGTCGTGGCCGTCTGTTCTCTTGTAGGAAATAGACTACAGGCAGGGAAGGTTTTCTCGGAGTTATTGTCACTATAGATACACGGTACTAGACAATGAGTTAATGTAGTTGCACTCTCTCTACTCTGATTATGATTCTATTAACCGATACGAGCTCTAAAAATGCCTGCCCTACGGCCGAAAGCCATTAGAACAGAACCCGAATGCTCCTGATCGCATACCTCCTTAGAAAAGTGAGGGCTGTTTAATTGGTGATGGCGGCGCGCATTACGCCCATAACTGACCCGCTAGCATCTATCCCCCCTACCCTCTTAGAATCCTTCGACGAGCGGCTTCAGCTTGACGCCCTTGGGGACGACGAAGAGGGCCTTGGCCTCGACGCAGACCTTGCCGTCCTCGGCGGTCTCAAGGGTGCCCTCGACCCACATCTTGCGGTCGCTCTTGGCGCGCTCGGCGTCGGGGTCAGCGCCGGGAGCGGGGGCGGGCGGGGGGACGGGGCGGGTGCGGACGACGTAGAAGAGGTTGGTCATGGCGGGGGCGCGGTAGTCGAGGTCGAGGCGGGCGGTGAGGCCGGTGCGGGCGGGGAAGCGGAGGATGGCGCAGCGGCCGAGGGACTCGTCGAGGACGGTGGCGAGGGCGCCGCCGTGGACGACGCCGGGCCAGCCGGCGGTGGCGAGGCCGAAGTAGACGACGGCGACGACGTCGCCGGTGGCGGGGCGGTGGAAGACGCGCTGGTAGGGGAGGCCGCGGGAGCCGGCGAGCGGGCCGGAGGTGAGGCGCGAGCGCAGCGCGGCGGGCCCGCCCCCCGGCGCCGACGCGATCCCCGCGTACGCGTCCCAGCTCCGCCACGCGGCGTCGGCCTCCAGCGCGCGCACCACGGGCAGCGCGGCCGCCTCCGCCGCGATCCGCGCCACCAGGCGCGCGTCCGCGGCCGTCCCCGCGGCCGGCTCCGCCAGCGGCGCCATCGTCAGCCGCACCGTGAGCCCCAGCGCGAAGCCCAGCGCCGCGAACGCGGCGCCGTAGTAGAGCCCGCGCCGGCGCCGGCGGCGCGGGGGGTCCGGGGGGTCCGGGGGGGGGGCGAGGGCGCTGGCGCGGCGCCACGCGCCGCGGGTCGCGGGAGACAGCGCCGCCGGCGGCGCGAGGAGGCCCGCGCGCCCGCAGCCTGGGCGCCTGCTGCCCGCCGCCGCCGCGAGGCCCCGCTGCGCGCCGCGGGGCCCGAGGTGTAGCATCGCGGCGCGGCGCGCTCTCTGTCTGTCTTGCCCGGGCGGGCCTGTCTGCCGGGGGCAGGCGGAGGGACGTTCTCTATGCGCAGGGGGGGGGGGCTTCTGCTGTCGGCGCGCGACGTCCGCTCGCAAGTCGGGTCCCTGCAGGAGCTCGGACGACTGGGCCGGGGGGGGGGTGAAATTGTTTTTTGTCGACGGGTCCGGGAGCGGGTGGACGCGTAAACACGAGCGATGGGGGTCCAGGGCGATAGGGGGTCCATACGCAGATGCGGTCGGTCGGTCGGTCGGTCGGTTGGATGTTGTGCTGGCTATCGATAAAGGACTCGGCACGACACGGGTTAGGTGCACAGCTGTGGCTGACTTAGGTAAGACTCGCTGTAGTTGCATATGTGCGCGCCCCGGGGGTATGTGCGTACAGAGGTGATTGGATGCGGCTGTGCGTTTTGGCGGTTCCTTTCGTAGCCTCGCTGCCTTAATCGTAAGGTACGTAAGACGAGTTAAAAGGTAAACCTAGTTAATTAATTAAAGGTATAAAAACTAAACTATTAAAAGGGCTTAAATATAGCGTTTTACGAATAGTTAGCTGTTGCGTGTTTTTCTTTAATTCCACTAATCACAGGGCTCCTTTCCTAATGCCTGATTCCTCAGGTGCCACACGGCTTGCACCATGCCTACCCGCAGTACTCGCTATAGGTAGAGGTCTATTCGACATGTGGACGAGATGTCTAACAGGTAGGCATCATCCCTCACTCCCTACACACCTACACGCATACCTACCTAGCTACCTAACCCACCTGTCTCAGATCCCTACCCGGCCAGGAGCAGCTCTATCGAAGCAGGCCGCCCGCCGTCCTCGCCCTCCCGCGACATGCTGCTTCGGGCCGCGGGTATTCGGGACAAGCTGCGGCCGCGCAATGTCCACCGACCCGGTCTTCGGCGCGCGCTGGCTCGTCTGCGGGCCGGCACCGGGAGGACACATACTTGCATCCGACAACACCACAGCACTCTCCGCGGTGCCTACCTCCCTACCGTCGCCGTCGAGTTGCCTACGTTCCAGCTTGGGCCGTCGGCTTACATGTAGACAGCCGGCACGGAGACTCGTGGGCGAGCGCGCTCCAGCCCAGCCCATCTCTCACGCGCTCTCACGCTGCCCTCCTCTCTTCATCTTACCCGTGCGACCGAATCAGACGAACCTAGGCCGCGGCGGCTGCGATTGGCCAGGTACCCGTAGGCAACGTAACGTACCTACCTACCTAGATATCGACGCCGCGCAGTCCCTTGCATCGCGTAGGCTCCCCCCCCTCCTCTCCTACCTTGGATACCTATCTTCCTAAGGCGCTTCGCGTACTCCCAGCCTCCACCCCTCCGTCGCATCCATCTGTGTACCTAGGGATGTACCCAGGTAAGTAGGTATCTCCGCCCTCTACCTCGAAGAGGAGGGGGCAGGGGGGGCAGGGGGGGTTCCGCGGGCGACGAACGGACGAGCGAATCACGGCGCCGCCCGCGCGCGATGGTGGCGCCGCGATCTCGCATGGTGATGCGCTGCTGCTGCCGCCACCTCGGCCTTTTGCCCTGCTCTGCCCTGCCCTGCCTCGCTTAGGATGGCCTATCGGGGGCGGGCGAGAGGGAGAGAAAGAGAGGAGAGGGTGGGTGGCGGGGCCGTGGTTGGTCGCATTCTGCGCCTCTATCTCATCCCCCCTACGCCCACGCGTGAGACCGGCCTGGGATAAAACAAAGAAGGGGGAGGAGGAGGGGGGGTGCCATCGTCGTAAGGGTCCAAATGCCCCGCGCTAGACACCGATGCGCGGACAAGTCCTCCTTGCCTGCCTGCGCGCCTCCCACGGAGCCGCGATGTCTCGGTTGTAGATGGGGTATTTATATTTCGACAGACTGTTATGTATTTATACCTATATAGAAGGGGGTTAATGTGAACCCCGACGACCTTCTCTCGCATCCGTTTCTCATCTCCCTCCCCTTCCAGTTGTGCAACTTCGGTCAGCCCACATCGGCTACATATCACGAGTTTGTATGTTACCATAAATCCTGCGAGCGCGGGTGTATGTGCCTGCCTAAATTTTCTTGCCTTTCCTTTTTTTTTTCTTTTCGTTGCAATCCAAAGTAGATTTCATCATGCATCGTCGCCTTCATAATACGTCGTCAGCCTCATACTCGGCGCGTCTACTCTCGCCTCCTGCTCCGCTCTCGGCTGCGGCTCCCGTTTCTATTTTTAACGTCGTTGATCACGAGCAGGCCCTCGCTTCTCCCCCGATCCCTCTCCTTCTCGCTTCGCCTGCGCCTTTCCTCTCGCTCGCGGTCCTCTTTCTCGCGATCTAGCTCGCGCTCTCTCTCCTTGAGCCTTTCCTCCCGCTCCCGGTCTCGCTTGATGTCCTTCACGGCGGCCACCTTTTCGAAGCTCTTGACGTCGTCGGGCATACGCGTGACTACCAGCTGCTCGCAGAAATGGCCCCACGCGCCGCTAGTACCGTCCCTCACCGCGTCGGCGAGTTCCTCGTTGTAGCGCTCGCGGTATGCTCTCTTAATGGCGCCCATGTGGTGCCCGTCCCAGTGGAAGCGGACGAGGCGGGATATCAGGAGCTCGCGGCGGAGGTGGTCCTTCTTAGAAGCGGTGAGGGCGTGGCGGAGCAGGAGGGCGTCGCGCACTGGCTTATTGATTACCCCGTTCAGGACATGAGCCAGCACCTCGCCCTGTCAAGTGCCGCGGCGTTAGCGATATATCACTACGCCAATCGGGGAGGGGGGGAACTTGGTAGAAGGAACTTACCACGAGGTTTCCACTCTTCTTGAGCGCGTCCCGGGCAAAGTTACTGCCAAACGTCCTCTCGTAAAGCTTGAGGACATCTCTCAGGTGATGGTCGCTGCGGGAGATCACGATATCGATCATGGCGGACTCGCCCCCCCTGTCGCTCTGGATGGCTTTGTAGAGCGCCTCGACGTCGTCCTGTACCAACCTACGATCCACGGGGATTACGCGTCCGTACTCGTCGACGTCCTCCATTCGCTTGAGGTCCAGCACCGTGAGCACGGCACGCTTGAACTTATCTTCTTTCAACTCGGTCTTCATGCACAGCGTGAGGGAGTCTTGGTACTTCTTGTCGGCGAAGGCGTTCTTGATCTGGGCGATCTCGTAGTTTGAGCGGCCCATCAGACTTTCGATCAGCAACTCGCGGCGTGTCTTATCGCCATGGTACCAGAAGTTGGCCCAGTAAGCCTCAGACTCCCACTTTCCGAGCGCGACGGTATAGCAGGCCTTCATGAGGGTGGGCTCCTCGTCCTTGAGGCGAGCGCGAATGTGCTTAGCGACGTTGACGCCCTTGCGTTCGGGCCCAGTTTTGACGAGGCGTTTATATTCGATGCGCAAGTCCATGAGTTGGTCGTGCGTCATTCCCGGCAAGATCTCCACCAGGGGGTCTATGTCGGGAAGTGAGCGGTCCCCTTTGAGCGCTTTCGCGAGGCGCGCCGCATCGTCGACGGGGTCGTGGAAACGAGCACGGCGCCGCTTCTTGTCGCCGCCGCCCTCGCCGTCGGAGAGACCGGGCGAGAGTGGCTCGACCAGGTCCGAGTTTTTAGGATCATTCACGGCAAGGAGAAGCGGCGACATGGCCTGGTATGTCCCGTAATATGACTCCAAGAGGGGCGAGGCCGGGATGCTCGATACCGACAGCGAGGCCGCGTGATGCCCCGTGTTGACGGTCAACCTCGACATCCGCCTCGAAGGCGAGCGCTCTCCGCGACTGCCGCGACTACTCGGTCTCGGCTCGACGACCCTAACGCTAGCCCCGTAAGAATCGCGGGGGCGTCCGTCTGGGCTCCCCGGGCGCCCATAGTACGAGCCGGGGCGCGAAGAGGGTCTGCCGTCCTCGTACCGGCCGGACGCGACATAAGTGGCCCTGTCGCGCGAACCGGGCCGTTGCGGTTCAGGCCGAGAGTGAGCGCTTCCATATGCTAGGTCCTCTTCCAACTTTTTCTTCTTCTCTTCTTTTCTCCTGTCTCGCTCGCTGTCGGTTTCGAGCAGCCTATTCACATATTTCGCCGGCAACAAGGCGTCGGCACCTCGCTGCAGTGTCTCCTGGACGGCACCAACCACGTCCTTGTCGCCCTTGGACGTGCGCGACTCCCCGGCGCGCTTTGGATAGCGCGAATCGTCGGACCCGAGAGACTCGCGACTGGCATGGTAATAGCTGGGCTCGTTGGTGGGCGTCCTAGCGCGGTACGAACTGCGCGAGCCGTCGTGATCGTAGGCGGAGCGGCGGGGAGGCTCGTCATCATAGCTGAATCCGGGAGGGGGAGAGGGCATGCGCACGGCGTCTAGCAAGGACGGGGATTCTCCTCGACGGCGCTCGCCAGACCTGGCAGCGGACGGCGAACGGCCGCGCGACCCGTCGTTGTCAACCTGAAGAGTGGCCATCTCGGCAGGGTGGTTAGTCGCACGCGTGACTGGAACGAAACCAAGCTCGCTCGCTCGCTCGCTAGCAGGTGTAACGCGTGGCGTGCCGAAGGTGGTGTGTGCTTGCGGGGGTTGCACTAGCAGCACCTCGGAGATGGTTATAAATAGATCAGACGGGTAGGCGGTATATATACGAGTGCCCGTTATCGCGACGGGCTCCTTGTGCGAATATGGGGCGAAGGTCCGGACCAGTGTCCAAGTTGAGACTCTAGAAGCCCAAGCGTCAAACGACGGCGGTGGAGGAGGAGGAGAAGGGAGGTTGTGGAGAGGAGGGAGGAGGAGAGAGGAGAGGAGAAGCAGAGTCGGGGTCTTGGCGTGTTTGGGAGGACAGGTAAGAGGCAGGTATGTCGGAACAGAAGACTTGTTTTAATACGGGTGGCCGAGGCAAGGAAAAGAAAGAGGAAGAGGGAAGAAACAGGCCAACGGTGCGGTCGGCGTCGCAGTGCCTGGCAGCTCTCTCGCAGGTAATATGCGTCGGCGCCTATACCTACTAGGAGGTAGTATGTAGCCTCAACCCCGGTAGGGCGAGGTATGTAGGTACCTAGGTACCAGAGGCCATCTGACGCGCTGAGCAGCATAACGCAAGGTACCTGGCCACGCTAAACCCGTCACGGCAGCAGAGGGCCTCGGCTAAGCACGTCGTATTGCGCCTAGCAGCCAGAGACTAAGCCGCTCTGGGTAGCAACGCTACGGAGAGCATCACGAGTTAAGCATTCGACTGACATAAACCCGCCTCAGTTGCTTTAGTAATGACACTTACGCTATGGCCTCGGTACATGCTAACTTTAGCCCTGGCCGGGCCCGGGTAGGTACCTATAGGTACACACATGCCTCCCCCGGCACCCGCCAGCCCTAAACGGCCGAGGCCGAGAGGCAGCTCTGTAGGTGGTAGGTAGGTACCTCCTATCCGGACGGCACCTCGCCTGCCAGATGCGATGCGCATAGGCAAGGTGCATAGGTAGGTATGTACCTAGGTATCCGTTGTCGTTTGCACAGCCACCAAACTCGATGAGAGGCGGCGACCAGCTACCTCGCGGAGCACACGACACAGGGCCAGGGCTGGCGCTGGGGCTGGACAAAGCTGCATAGGGACGACCTGGCAACTCCGAATACTCATACGTCGCATTGCCAAAGCTTAGGCGTGGACACAACAGGGAGGTCTCCGAGCAGAGGTAGCATCGGGTGTGAGTCGGGGAGAGCTGGGTATGCGATCCCTCGTTGGGGGCCAACTGACCACACGGACCTCGCACAGACGGCGTACCGTAGGTACGAAAAGAGAGATACGGCCTGGTGGGCGCAGGGCGGGATAACGCATAAGTTGATCTGCGCATGTATGTCATGTATGTGCATTGGGACGTACGACAGATCGTCGCTGTCCCTGTCTTGTCGTTAGATATATTAGGTGTGTATATGCGTTTGACGATTGGGTGGAAAAGGGCAATACCTCCCAAATACCAGTATGCCGATGCCGTAGGTGTGTACCTACATGCAGTACGATGCACCAACCAGATTTACGGGTCGGTACGGGCGGGAGGATAGGCATCAGATTTACCTTGCCTTTCTCTCCACACACACCTATCGCTGCGAAATGCCCATATGCGCACCACGTAGGGCCCAGCAAATGCCCAAACATCTCCATGGACATCTCTGGGCCGTTTCAGCTACCTTAGGTACCCACCTAACCTACCTACCTACCTACTACTATCACTACCACTAGGTACTATCGCCTACCCAAGCTAGCGCCCCATGGCAAGACGGCAGGGGAAAGGGGCGTCATCGGCGACGAGGGCCGGCCGCAGGCAGCCAATAAGAGAGCCACCACGGCTATCGCCGCCTCCGGGGGGGAGGGGGGAGGGGGGCACGCTGCGCCGCCTACACGTCTGACTTTACGACAAGACAAGCCGCGGCGAAGACGAGGAAGGGGGGGCGAGGTCGCCGACGGCGAAGAGAAGGAAAACTTCACGAGAGGCACACATGGAAGCAAGGCAGAAAGCAGGAGGAGGAGGAGAGGCCGAGAGACAACACGAGCAGTGCCGAAGCCAAGCGATGCTGCGGCATAAGGCAGGCTACCCAAGGCTGGGCAACCGAAAGGTAGGCTCTCGGTCCGGCCACCTAAACCTGCCCTACCGGGGAGAGCTACGTGTGTTGCTGCTGTTGTGCCTGTGTGTATTCATCGTGGAGCAGCCACCAATCACAGCTTACATCCACCTGACCTATCTAAAGCGCGAGAATAGGCAGTTCTTGGCAGGACTCGTGGACAATTACCGCAAGCGCATTGTGAGAATCCGCTCTCGCTCCGCCGACGCCTCGACAGCGAAGCCGTAAGACGCCACTGGCAATATACCTACCTACCTGCGTCAGGAGGCCGTCTACTAAGACCGCCTACCAGGGTACTACGATCTGTGCCACAGGTGGCAGGTGGCAGGTGGACGTAGCGTAGCTTCGGACTGGGCCCGCGGCCGTCCGTGCAACCTCTCACGACTGCCACGCAGCGACAGCGACGCACGAGGCCCCAGGGCTTACCGGCCGAGTAAGCCGTCCTACCGCACAGGACTAGCATGGGGTCTGCGGTGTGAGTCGGCTGGGGATATCTGTCCTACAAGCGGAAGGACGAAAACAAAAAGATACTCCTATGCGCCGCTAGGTGCGAGGCCCTCCCGCTTTATAACCCGGGAGCACCCGGCGCCCGGCGGGATTGCTTCGTAGGTAACAACAAGCCGGCTTCACAACCCCTATAAGACCCTACGAAACCCGCCCTGGTAAGACATTTGGAAGCAGTTGTTGGAGCTAAGACTTGGAGACAACCCCGAGTATAAATCTTTTATAGCTTAGGTTAGGTCTATTCACTTTTCTACCAGTGACGGCCGATCGACCTCGTTCCCTGCTAATCTGCGGGGTGGCCGACTGGGCGAAGGCCAGGTTCTGCCTCCTCCGCGCCCACAGATCGATGGTCCGTGGATACGGCGGGCTAGTGCGGCGTAAGTAGATATATCGCGATAAGGACTGCCCTAGCGCGGCTTGTTTCCTGGTCGCCTGCGCCTCTCCTGTCTTCTTATCGATCGATGCCACGGACCCGGGGACGGGCCCTCCCGTCGCAATGCCCGCGGGTCGGAGGGCTTGACTTAAGCTGGCGACGTCGAACTGGCGGACCTGCCTAGGTGTGTGTGGCGGTGATGGTGGCAGTGCGGCAAAGCGTGCGCAGCCGGACGGCAACCCCACAGACGTGTTCGGCTGCTGTGTGGGTATACGTACTGTGTGGCGCGGAGACGCCAGATGATGGGGACTCGGCTCCCACCATAGCGCGTGCGTCGATGCGAGCCCGTGTGGGAGCGCAGGGATTAGGTGGGATCCTGTCCACCCAACTTCCAAGGTGAAGAGGGTGACAAGGTACCTGTCCTGTCTCAAGTACCCCCCTGAAGGTAACGGGGGAGGGGACAAGTACCTGGTACCTGTATGCCAATGTAGGCTATCAGGCGGGTCCTACATCCATCTATCGTCTTATGCGAGTCGATGCAAAAGCCATCGAAGGACTTGGCAACCCCCAAAAGAGAATACCAAGAGTGTTGCAGCAGCCGCTGGCCCTCGCACCCTTACTAGTATTCCGTCTCGCTCTAATGTTTCGTTTTCGTTTTGTACCCATTGAGCCTATCGATGGTCGGGAGGACCCGTGTGATCGTTCCGTATGTGGGTGACTTCTCTCTTTTTTTCTTTGGCTGGGCTATATTCTCTCTGTCTGCCTGTCTGTCTGTCTGGATTCATGGTAGATCGGTCTTGTAATGTAATAAGGTATCTCGCAAGACGAAAGCAGAGCTCTCGATTTCACTCTCACTTCCCTCTCTCGCACTCCCGCTCTCTGCTCTCTGCTCTCTGCTGAGTCTAGTTTGGGTCCCCGGCATGTCTCCCGAGATCGGGTCCCTCCTCCGCTCTCCACTGCCCCTCCCCATCCCTGGGTCCATTACCCATCATCTCGTAATGCACGTCGCGCATGGTCCGCGGCGTCGTAAGACAGACCTCCGTACTGCTCGAGCATGCTAGACCAGGCCCCTAAAACGCCAAGACGCCCAAGTGGTATCGCTACAAAAACACAAAACATAAACCCAATTCCGCTCCCCCTGTCTCTCCGCGTTGTCGACGTCGTCATGGGTTTTTCTTTTCAGCTGTTTTCGTCCGTCGTCCTGCCAAGACTGGGCTCGGTCCGCGGCGTCGAGCACGTTACGAGGTAGGAGTGGTACGTAGGGTCGAGGGCCTTCTCCTCGTCTCCGAGGCAGACCTCGCCCTCCTCGTTAGCTAAGCTACTCGAGAGACGATGCCTAGATGAAACTGATCGTTAGTCGCGCACGCCGGCGAGATAAGAACTGCAGCTCCGTCATGTAGGCGATGCGCAGTAGCACGGGAGTGGGGAGAGCGCGGGAAAGGGGAGGAGTGGCGGAGTAGGCCTACCTTTGTCGGACTGCGGCCCACAGGCTGCTTAACAGGATAGTGGCTACGATGCCGACGGGGAAGGCGATCATGACAGTGTCGGCAGCGCGGTGCACGCGGCGGAAACGCAGAACGTCGTCCCGCGAGACGTAGTAAGGAACGTAGGTCCAGGACTCGCGTTCGGCTTGGGTCTCAAGCTCGACGATGGTCTCCTGGGGCTCGGTGTCGCCGTCGGCGCCCGTCTCCTCGCGCAGGATGCTCGACTCGGGGAACGGCGACAGGCTCTTCCGCATCGCCCCGGGGCACGCCATGGTCGACAGCAGGTACCGCAGCACATTGGGCGTCTCCCAGGCCCGCGCCCCCGCGAGGTTCTCGGGCAGCCGCACGCGCCGCCCGTCGCTCGTCACGAGGATCTTGGCGGCCGCCTTCTCGACCGACACGTGCGGCGGCCCGAGCAGGGACAGGAGGAATCGGCCGGTCCGGGAGGCTGGCGCCGGCAATGAGGCCGGGTGCGGGAGCCCGTCGGCGGTCGCGGCCGGGGCAGCCAAGGCCCAGGCGCCGAAGAGGAGCGCGCATAGGGAAGCGGTAGGAACCTTCATGGTGGTGGACTGGGTCGGCCTCGATGGATGCTGGTTGGTGAGTAGGGGCAAATGAGCGTCTGATGGCTGCGGATCTGCACTGTAAAGGAAATCGTCGCGAGGGGGGATTCGAGTTGAGGTGTATGTGTAGTAGAGATGGGATTTCCGGGTTGGGGGCGACGAGTATTTGAGGAGCACGTCGGAATACCTGGCGGCATGCGACAGCGATCAAGGATTATGGGAGGCCTGTAACCTGGCGAGCCGAAAGGTGTCAAGGCGCTGTTTGAAGTTGCGGCGGTGGTGAAATCGACGGGTTGTTTGGGTAGGGGTGGGTGGAGGGAGAAAGCAGGGTTAGGGGGGTATGGCGTGGTAACAAGGCGGGCCAAGGTACCTATGACAGAAGATGGTGATGTCGCGCGTGTAAGTTGCGGTTAGGTTATAGGTATATATATACGTGTGTGTGTGTGTGCCTATATATGTATGTATGCAGATATTATCGTGTCGTGTGGATATATATGCAAATATGTAGGTACCTGAGGTAGGGGTTACCGCAGTCAGGTAACGTCAGGCAGACCTCCTAGCCAGAAAGGGTTCGCCGGCACTGGTACTGCTGGGTCAAGGTCGGTACCAGCTAGCAGGTCGGTAGGTCGATATCGGGAATACCTGGAGGCGTCGGTGCGCTTGGCGATCGATTGAATTGCGCTTCTTATTAATACCACAACACTGTGTACAGCGTAATCATAGGCATGCCACAGTAGCGCAGCGATGAGCGGGCTCTCCGCGAAAGGGCTAGCCCGGGGTAGCGAGAGAGTGGGGGGGGGGTTAATGCGAACCAAATTCGTTAGGTGGTATTATTTGCTGTACGAAGGTAGGATGTTGTTAATATATGTAGGCGAGCTTATATCCGACCGCTGGTCCTCTAGCCTCCGCCGCCTGAGGTGGGGTGATTAGGGGTGACGGGCGGGCGGGCGAGCTGTGTGTACGGTGATGGTATTGCCGTAACACGGCAATATGGCAAGACGGGTAGATAGTCGGAGTCGCATGGGAGCAGCGAGCATTCCCGCTACCGCCACGAAACAACGCCGTGATCACCGCCGCGGCCGGCCTGCTGCGGTCGATAGAGGAGGAGGACGACGAGGAAAAGGTGAAGCAAGGAGAGATGGAAGTTGGCTGTATACCTAGGTAGGTAAAGATGCGATTAGTAGCGAGAGGGGCAAAAGAGAGGGAGGACAAGAGAAGCCGGGAATTGTGGGCTTAGTAGCCTTTACATCGCACCGGCCCCGGTTATAAACGTTATGCGCTGTCGGTCGAGTGTAAGCCCAACGCGTGAGCCAACAGGTAACTAGGGGATGCCCTGTTACGGCTCGGGATGTCTCCGGAGGATGGCAGTTCATTGGTATACGGCTAAACGATATTGGGAACCTGTTCCGCGGGCGAGGGGCCGCGCTGCTATTCTTACCTTTCCTAGTCGGTCACGTCGCTCGCTCGTCTGTTATTCCGCAGCCAAGCGAGCGAACCTCGAGAAGGTCGTCTTTCTGGCTGTCCGCCTAAATTCTTTGTATTGCCGTCTCGCCTTTGTCCCCGCGAGGATAGTAAGCTGCTGCTGTGCGTCTTCGGTACTACATATATTACTTGTGGGCTTGTTGCAGGTTAGGCGAGTAAATGGTTGGCTGGAGGAGCAATGTCAGCGGTAAGCAATAAAAAAGAAAAGGGGCACACACGCGCGCACACAAAAAAAAGGGCAAAGTAACTAGTCGTGTTGGAATCACACGATTCTAATTGTACAAATATCTAGGGGTTATCTTGGTAAACGTCTTGATGGTGTTGCTTCCACTTGGATACGGACACGGAGAAACCCAGGAAGCTCCCCTTTTTTTTCGTCACCAACCCCTCCTCTCTCTCTTTCTCTCTCTCTGATGATGGTGATGATGATCAGCACTTGCGGCATGAGGTGACGAATCGCTATGACGCAGGCCCAGTTAACGAGACCACACCCCGTCGAGACCCTTCTTAGGGACGCGCAACTCCCACTAGGTATCGTCCATCCTCTCCAATTCCCCGACACAGAGTGGATACCTGTATCCCCTCGACTATCAAATTACGGCGAGGCCCATCGACCAAAGGCTTCGCTGCATGCATGAAGGCAACGCCAGATAACCATCTAGAAATAGATAGCCAAGAATGGGCGGGAAACAGGGGGTTATCGTCATGCTTCTTCACTATGTGAGGAAATCGAGGGAATTCTTACGGGAACACGACTTCCTGATAGATGAATCGCTAGGACTGGGGCTTCATCGCGCCTCGTCGCCCTATGAGCCCTCGCATCTAGCTCCTGTACCCGGTAGAAGTCTACTAAGCGGTATCTTGGTTAGATCGATCCGCCAGTTAGGATTGCATACTATCTTGGCGGTAACCGAGTTCGGGAAGGAGCCAAGAACGCGTGGTGGACGAGACCTGGAGTTGGCAAGCAGCGAAACGTTCTACTATCCTATAATACCCAGATATTGGAGACCTGTCTACGTGAATACCTAGCAGGGTTACGGCCTCGGCTAGATAAGGTTCTTCTAGGCTCCTTTACTATAGAATATAAGGCTTCAATAAGCAATCTCGCCGAGCCTGCTATACGAGATGATAAAACGAGGCCGTTGAGGCGGGCAATCTATTACGTAGGTGTTTGTCGCCCCCTAGCCCTCACCGATCGATGGTTTCCAGCCAGCTTTTGCCTCCCTCGTGTCCTCGTCGGCGCTAACAGGCCACAACCGGCTGGAATCTCACTGGACCGGACGCTGGCAATGGTTAGGCACGTGAGTGGCAGCCATCGCCCCGTACACGCTCTCTCGCCCGCGGTTGGGCTATTACTGAACGCTGAAGAATCAAGCTACGCAGCCGGTGGATTTCTCTGCGGGACACTTTGCTACGAGTTTGCCCAGGACCTTCTAACAGGCTGGCCCTTGCCAACACGATGGAAAGCAGACGCCTCTTAGTTGGGGTATGTAGCTGATGGGTTGTCTAGACCGGCCGGTCCACGCCCTAGTCAAAGGACTGATGTTGTCGTACAATAGGATAACTAATAGATGGGTATAGTAATAGCCTATCCCAACTCCTACTCAACTACACTAGGCGATAGGGATAGCTGCATGCACCCATTACATGAATACATATATATGCATATAGAGGGGTGATGGCGCCTGGCCCGACTTAAATACGAGGTGGCATTTCCATGATGAAACGGCCTAAGCCCAAAGAGGCTTGGAGGTGAGGTTTCCAGCAGGTGGATCTGGCCAACCGGGCTGGCTCGATGGGGTTGTGCTAGCCTTATGGCTCCCTTTGCCAGCTGCCCCTAGACCGACTATGTACTGAGTACAGCCCGTCCACCTGTCAATTGCGGGCAGGTTGGTAGAGGCATGATGGGTATCTAGGTATCTAGGTACCTCATACGTACGCAGTATATACATGGGTACCTGCCCACGTAACCCATAATCGATTACGTACGTCTACCTGGTAGGTATGTCTGTGGTCTCTCCCCGGCCTCGGCCCTTTCCCATGGCCCCATCTCAGGTCCCATCCAGCTGCCCTAGCCTCTGGTTACACGTAGTCGCGCCCCGTTCTTCATCCGCCTCGATCGCATTGAAATCATTCAACGTCTCAAGGCTTCACAGCGGCCAAATTCCAATCAAGGGGCTCGATGGGTCATGTCTCCGACTTCTAGTTTCGCGTCCTCGTCGTCATCGTCGGCGGCCGCGGCCGACCCCTCGGCCTCCGAACGCCCAGCTCCCTATCCTAGCTTGACTCGCTCTGCTACTGTACCTGTCGAGGTCCATTCGTCCCGGGCCGCTCGCTCCCATCTCGCTCCGGAAGATGCCTTCAACGCGGCCTATCCCCCCCGGCGACAGTCCGGTTTCGAAGCCGCCGGCGCCGCTCACGACTCGCGCGCCGCGTCTCGTTCGCGAAAGATGGGCGCCAAGCTCGGAAGCCGGAGCCGTAGTCGGCGCCGACGACGCAGCTGGAAGAAGCTGCTCTGGGTGAAACAATCCTGTATGGAATCTCGGCGTCTCGCTTCGGAATTGAGCGTCGCCGCGCCGCTGCTGACAGCCGTCCGAAGATCCAGATAATTACACAGACCAGGCTACTTTCCTCGAGAACCTGCAGCGCAACCCGCGCCTCCAGCCGTACGAATTCTGGCCCCTCGTAGCCGATTCCACCGTCATCCTCCAGCAGGTGTGCTCCGTCACCATCTTCGTCGTGTGCTTCGTGGGGATATTCCAAGAGCGCGTTTCTCCCGTCGCCGTCGTTGGCTGGGGCAGCTTCGCGACCTTTGTAGGTTGGCTGCTGTGGGACTTTTGGGTCGGCCAGGAGGACGAGGACGAGGTCCTTCAGCGACGCCGTAGCAACCGTAGCCGCTCGACGAGAGCGCCGAGCAGGAGGGCTCGTGCAATGGCCGCGGAGGGCGTTACGCCGCCCGCCGCCAGCTCGGCTACGAGCCTGACGGCGACTGACCGGCCGTATCCTCACGGAAACCTCGTGGCTCCGCGACAATCTCACTCCGCTTCCGCCACCTCGCTGCAGTCGGGCATATCGCAGACTAGCAATGCGGCATGGAACTCTTCCGACTTGGCGGACGAATCGGGACATCCTCCCTCCTCGCCTCCACGGAATGAGAGGGCCAATCTTCGCCTCGGTACCGTCAAATCCGCCATCCTCATCTATTTCACCCTTCTCGGCCTCTCGCCGATCCTAAAGTCCCTGACCCGATCAACCTCGTCCGACAGCATCTGGGCCATGTCCTTCTGGCTTCTGGCGATCAACATCTTCTTTCATGACTATTCGTCGGGGCCCGTCAAGTCGCCGGCCTCCCTCTCGACGAACGCGGCGCTGATGGCGTCTACCGTGCTGGCTTCCCGCCTCCCCTCTACCGGGCAGGTCTTCAGCCTCACCTTATTCAGCATCGAGGTTTTCGGCCTATTCCCCGTCTTCAGGCGTTACGCTAGATATAGGAGCTGGACCTACCACGTCGCGCTGTCGGTCCTGCTCGTGATCGGCGCCGGGGGCGGAGTGGGATTGATACTGGGCGAGGAGAAGGATGGCATGCTGCCGTGGAAAAGCGGGCTACTCGGTGTTCTAGTAGCCACCGTCATCGCCGTCGTCGCGATGGGCGGATGCAGTTGGTGGCTCATAGGACTGCAGAAGTACAAGAACGCGATCAACGGGCCGTGGGACCAGGCGCGGCCCATCATCATCAGTCGACGGCTTTGGGACGACGACTGAATGCGCGAATCAACTTTTGTTCTGTTTTGGAGTATCACTCGTGAGTATTCGTATCTCTCTTCGCGCTGCGACCTGTGACCTTCGTATCGAATCTCTCCTTGAAGCTCTAGCAGAGATCCGTATCTAGATATCATCCCCGTCGCCCACGCAATACGTTGTCCATACAACACCCTGGATGCATATCACCTCGACCAGGTTGCGGCCGGTCTCCCTGCCCAGTTGTCTCTCTGGCGGCTTTATTTAAATTCGAAGTCGGACCTGTAACGGGGCTATCCGACTCTAGGTTTGACTCTGAGCATAAGGAACCGCGTTCGCTGCATATTCATTTTAACGTTGTCACCGCCGTATTATTGGCACATCGCAGCCGTACCTATCGTAGAGCATCTAGCGTAGCACGGTCGTCGACCTGCCTAACCAACTAATGGGATCCGACACCGACGTATGGGAATATATAACCAATCGTCCTTGAATTGACAACCCGCAGTGCCTCGCACTACATGCAATCAAATCAGCATTGGGGGCCTGTGCAGGCTGGTCCGCAACGACCCCGCCCCTTTCATGTGCGAAACGACATGCGGAATTTATACCCCACGCGTCACCAGACTTTTCGTACACCCTCTGGTGCTTTCAGCCTCATGTCGAAGCGATGTCAAAAACATTATTGGCCTCACCATTTTGTCCACGGTACAGAGAGAGAAAAAGAACGCAGATATGGTCCCAGAGAGGGTCGAACTCTCGACCTTCGCATTATTAGTACGACGCTCTAACCAACTGAGCTATGGGACCTTGTTGTGAAGATAATCTTGCTTAGTTCGGCTTATGGCCCCGTCATACATTTCCCCACATGAGGGTCACAACCGGAAACCGGAACATCCGCCTTATATAAGCAGACATGAAATCAATTGGCGTCAGAGCTAGCCCCAGGACGTCTTGCTTACTACATAATCTGATCTCGGCACGTCCACGTTCATGCTTCCACATCCCAATATCACGATGTTATCGCGAGAGCCTGCGGGCTCTTGATGATGGTTCATCTGGGTCTCTCAAGTCCCTCCCCCTCCTCCGTCCCAATCGCGTTTATGTCCCGAAACTGTCCGCACATGAAAACCGTTTATTTCCCACCCTCGTTCGTCGCCTCCCACCTGCGGCCCCACTCCTTCATCTCAGCCTCCATGTCCGGCCTCTCGACAGGAATACCGAGGGCGATCTGTTCGTAGGGCTGAGCGTCCCCGATTCGGCGTTAGAAATCTTGCGCTCCCCCCTCCCACTCCCAAGGAGTTACTTACCTGACGGTCGGCCAAGTATCTGCCGAGGGCAGGCGTCTCCTTGGAGGCGAAACTTGTCGACTGCGACGTAGAGTTCGACTTCGCCGACAGACCGTCGGATTGTTTCGTGCTGGGTTGGACGGGCCGTTAGCGCCCGTTGGATGGTACGATCCGTGTGTTCCGGTAGGGAGCTTGCTCACCTGCTGTGCATATTGACGGGCATGGGGTTCTTTCCCGCCTTGTCTTGGGTCAGTCTGTCCATTGTGGAAGCAAATCTCGATCGGGTGGGAGGTGTGCGGATGTGGTGTGGAGGCGATGTGGGAGCTTACGTCGCTCAACTACCGTGGGGGAAGGCCGGTTTATATGCTCCAGAGACCGTCACATAACGGCAAGCCTTCGGGCAGAGATTCATCTCATGTCCTTCGTCCCGGCTCCCGGCCCTCTGCTCCGAGCGTGACCATCGAGGGGTCATTCCCTTCGCCTTTTGCGACACTTCCAGGTCCCTTCCTGGTCCGCCTCTTGTGTTTTTCGACCATAAAGACCAACTAGGATTCTAAGGCCACGAATCGGTCCTCCCTATCTACGTCTCGTATTCTTGAATGACTCTCTATCCTAACCCCTCCCTCCCCTTACCCCTTTACGTCCCGTCGTGCAAACGGCAAAATGCTCTCAACCTTCCCGGAAGCTAAGGACCTTATCATCCTTAAAGGGATTAAAGAAGGGTTAGGGACGGTAGACAGCGGCAAATCCCAGACGACGAGGGACCATCACTTGTGCTAAAGTGGCAGCGAAGGCGGCGGCATTCGTTGGAAAGGCATCTGGATAACCAGGGGTCTACGTGTCGGCCTCGAGCCTGTCGGCCTACGACGAATGCGTGCGTAATCATTTGGTGACGTAACTGTGTTCCGTCGATGAATCGCGGGTGAATCTCTGCCGACGAAACTACTCGGGCCCTTGGCCAGGTGTGCCGCAGGCAATATGGAGGGTTCCGGGCACTTGGGGCGCTGATGGGTGTGTACACTACTAGTTATTTGTCACGAACAGCTAAGGCGGAGGCAGGATACTTGGAAATAGTTCATTTCAAATTGAGCGTTTAAAAGTGAATGAGCTTGTTAGGAACGCGAATCCTGTAACTAGCTATCTCTAGCACGGGATGCCTAGATACGAAAAGCCCCTGGTGCATACGAAGGTAGGAAAGGAAACCCCGCAGCTCTCCACACAACCAAGTCTCCGTCGTTGGTATGCTCCGCCATATTGACGTCCTCCTGCTCTCGGTGTCTATGTATTCCAGATCATCCGACGGACCGGCGTCGCCTACGTTGACCGTGATGAATATTATGCGTTTTACGCAAGTGGCTACCTAGGTTGTCTTTCCTCTTGTAGGCTTTGTGGCAGTGCTGACATCTGAACCTTCGGGAGTTGTCGTGCGTCTGCTTATGCTTCCGAAGATAAGACGCGAAATTTTTAGTTATCCCTGTCGGCGCCCAATCGCAACCCGGCCAGGGACATCTGTAGTCGCCGCGGTACTCGGGGGAGGACTCGCCGAGGGCTTCGAGGGCCTGATTGTCCGCGTCCGAGCACGCGTAATCCACGGGAGGCACGGGGTACCGAGCGTCGGCACCCGGCGGCGGCATCGGATCCGTCGGGGAGGGCGACGACGGGCTGGACCACGACGTCCCGGTGTTCACCAAGGCGTCGTCGTCGTAACTAGGTGGTGGGTACGCTGGATTCAGGTGCCCCACGGAGTTCGTTTGGATAGTTAACTGGGGGCGCGCTTTCTCGTAGGGGGGCGGTGGACTTTCTTGAAATACCGGCTGTATGAAGTGCTCGCTGAAGGTGTCCATATGGTAGATATGCCACAAATCCTGCCCCGAGTCAGCATCTCTGAGGTAGGGAGGGAACTCGTGGGGACTGCAAATGTCCTGGGAGCGTCGGTAGCTGCTCGTAGGTGGGTACTGCCCCTGACGGGATTCGCTGCCCGAAGAAATGGTCGAGGAGTCCATGACACTTGGCGAAGTATCATCGCAGGGAGCTTCGGCACGGAAAGTACCCGAAGCCAGTTCAGGTATGTGATGTGAACCTTGGGGATAGGCCTCCCCCGAGGGTAGTTCGGGTAAGAGGTGTTGACCTACGAGGTAGGCCTGCCCCGAAGGTAGTTCGGGTAGAGGTGGTGGACTTGAGAAGTAGGCTTGCCCCTCACTATATAGGGGTTGCCGCTCCGCATCCAATTCCACCCCCCCGGGGGAGCTCTCGTAAGGCAGGAAAGCCGCTGTCGCCGACGAGCAGCCATCGATAGACAACTCGTGGACGGGTGAAACGATAGCGGGTTCTTCCGCTGCGCCACTGCGGCGGCGGCTCTGCACTTCTCCATATTCGATAGAGGATCTCGTAAGGGGTGGCGACCTGGGGCTACGAGGGGACAACGAGAGGCTCTTGAGGCTCTTCCTTTGGACCCGCTGATAAAGGGTCACCTGGCTCCGCGAGCGCTTATCCTTGGAGACGGTCCGAAACTGGTGTAAGTCTGCACATTGTGGGCACCGGAACACCCCCAGGCGGAGGTATGGGCAGTTCTTGAGGTGCCGAAGCATCTGCTTGTCCCCATTGAAGAATTCGTGGCAGTTCGCCATGAGACAATAGACGACACCGGTATCGAGGTAGTCTTTCTCGAGACAGTAGTAATCTAGAGCCCTCGCTAAGAAGCGGCTCTTATAGCAACTATCGATCACGCCCGCGGGGTAACTGCATAGGAAACTTAGTTTTAAATCCAGGTAAGGGCATGAGAGAGACCAACTCGCATGCCTGGTTTGCGTCCGCATTGAGGCGAAGCGGCTCTGGGGCCACCCTAGTTTCGGGCCTCATATCTTGCGGGGAGCGGTTCACTACGCTGCTAGTCGTAGAGTAACCACTGGCGTACAGCCCAAAAACAGCGTGCTGGGAATCCATGATATCTTCGTGGAGGCGCAACTACCCTCCCAAGATACTTTTCCTGGAGGCTCGCCCTGTCACAATTGTTATATATGCTCGACAGGCCCCATCCTCGAGCGTCCCACCCCTCCCTCTCCGAAGGGACTTCGAGGTACTCGAGCTCGAGTATCACGCAGGGTCGCCCAATTCGGCTTTGTAATCGAGATATTGCACATTGAAGGAGGGGGTATTCCCTTCTCCCCGGTACCCCGTCCCGGCAAGGCCCTGATGTTGACTTTGAAGGCTCGGATTCGAGTAATACGGGCCGAATTCGGGTTGCCATATTGAGCGGGGCCCTTCATGCTTCGTACGATCAGTGACTCGCGGCCTGCCAAATCGGATGGATTAGCTGACTAGATAGCACCTGCGAGCATACGAAGTGTAAGCAAGGCAGAAAGAAGGGATTGCGTTAGGGAGACGAAGCAGGTTGCCTGAATGCGCACCATTTCAAGTGAATTCTGTAGCCAGGGGCGGGGGTCCCAACCCTTCTTGATTCCTTCGTCTTTGGGCTATGGGGACACCAAGTTCTATTGCCTGGAAGCCAATGGGTCGTACTCGAGGGTCGCAAGTTATGGCCTAGGCACCTTCAAGCAAGGTTGCCTACTCTCCAGGCAGGTCTGTGCTAGGGATGCAAAGGCGATGCAGGGCTACTGACCGCATCGTCAGGATTGGACGCAATTAGCCTGTGGGGAGGGCGCAAGAAGGGAGAGAGAGTGAGAGAGAGGGCAGGGGCAAGGGGAGAGAGAACGTGAGGGGCTTTCAGAGAATATTAGATGGGTGGCGACCCCTAGGAAGCAGTGTCTAATATCTATCCATCGAGGGCAGAACTTCCATGGAGGTGACAAGAGATATATAGTCGAGAGCTTTCGCCCCCCCCCCCCCAAAGACTGCGAATTTCAGCTACAGCATTTGGGGTCCGTCGCTAAATATGTCCATAACGTGAGGATTGCTTCCACACAGCGTATATTGCTTATAAGATAGCTAAAGATAGACGTTGCGGACCACTCAGGTCAGCTGCAGACTGCCAGCCCACCATACCTCCGCAGTTTGGACTCTCTGGTGTATGCTACTTCGACGCCTTTGGGAGGAGGAGGAGGGGGGGGGGCGACGCCTGGTCATAGCCTCGGAGCCTACAGCAATTAGTGTGACTGAGACGAGGCCGGCGAAGGGGGCGGTGACCACTTCAAATGCATGCAATGACAAGGTCGCCTGCTTTATTATAGGTACGCCCTATCCCACCAATCATGCGCGGTAATATGATTTTGTTCTCGACGTAGCATCCTGGGGGTTCTGCCGCGATAAACAGCATATAATATTCACTGGGCGAGCCCGCTTCGTTTTGCGAAGCGATTCCTAGTAGCCTGTCCATACGTGACTCTACACGCCACTCGCTAGGTGTATTGTAAGATAGATATTTGGTGGGCTATTGGTTCTCAGGCGCAATTGTCCTGGGATATTAGATTCCCGGATACGTATAAGCCGGGGTGTAGCATCATAACCTAGCAAGTAATGACAAGGGTGGTAAAATGTCGAGCTGTAGAAAAAGGCCAAGAGCCACCATTCTACTATGATATTAGATACATCGCCAACTATTTACTCCGCCCTCGGTTCTCGAGCTATTGAGGCGTAGCTCCTAAGGCTGATGGGCAATATTAGGGTTAGTATGGCGTCGGGGATTGCACAACCCTGCGTTTATCTGCTGCCAAACTCGCATTGCTAGCATATTAGATGTATTAATATATTATAGTGCATATAAAGTTAGGAGAAATGATTCTAGTCTTACGCTTTAATCAGAGTGCATTGTATGCGTGATATTACCTACAGACTTCTATACAACTTCTTTATGTGTGTATATATCCGGCTGTGGGGGGGGTTAAGGAGAGAGACGAGGGCGGGTTCTTCATGAGATGCATTACTATACAACAAGTCCAATATACCATAAGTCTGAGATGACGCATTTGCCTAGCTATTCTGTGTCTCATTCTACCAGGTTTTCTAGAACCGCTTCTTTCCCTTTTGCGAGTAGCGAGGTACTAACGGAGCCATAACCACCATTGGATAATCAGGTATATGATGGACGGGTCCGGGATAGACGTTGTTAAGAAAGTTCCCGCTTTCTGGATAACATATAACCACATACAACTGTATTCGAAGCTTGGTGAAGACTACGACGGGCGTAAAAGGAGGAAATTAATTTCGAGTCGTATACTGAGGGGGCTTGCGTCGAATAGTTAACAGTTGCCTTCTACACAGTACTATTGTGATATTCTCATGAGGGAGCGAGCAACCTGGATTATCTATGTATCACCCTGAGAGTATTTGCATTCTCCGAGGATTGCCCCTGTTGCCTATTGGAATAATCTACGAGCTGCCTGAATAGGAACCGTCGTACCAGACTTTGGGTAACTATAAGTACATGGAGCCGCGTCCTCAATCGAAGGAACACCAAACTACATTCTTATTATCCCCTATTGCAACTGTAAGAGGTTTCATTCAGGTTTGGCGGCACGTGTGCATCACGGAAATCAGAGCTACATGTCCTGCCTTGCGTTATTATAGAGGCTGAGGGGGAACCTCTGATCTCTCTCTCTCTCTCTCTCTAGGCATACCTAACTCCGCCTGTAGTACTAGTTAGTACAATGCGCGACTTAACAGGTAAGTCTCAAGAACTCGTAATATGTAACTACCCTGGCGGGTATACCCCTACTAGACGATTCTGCTGATGGAATGAAGAAACGAGATGATAGAGAGTTCCGTAGCCAGTTGCTCATAAGAGCCAGTCTCTCCGGAGCTGTGCTCTAGAAACCTCAAGGACCTCTCACTTCCGCGAGATCTGTAAGAGAGACCTAGGCTCTTCCACTAGCGTATGCATCCGTATGTCCATCGTGTCGGTCTCTGAAATCCAAACATGAAAGATTCTGGGAAATACTAATCCGACCGAGCCTCGGCTTCTAGGCAACGGTTTAACATCATAAATGGCAGATGAACGTAAGAGTGACTAGCCTGACAAATTTGCCTCTGTCTAAGAAGGGTTATTGTAAGAGGAGAAGTAAGCGCTGCTACCAAATGCAAGCTGAGTAAATGGACCTGTCTGATGGGCTTGCCCGTTTCACACCCTATTCTTTCGGTCTTCTTCAACCGTATGTAATCCGGGTTACCGAATTTATTATAACATAATGGGGGTTATACACACTCTTAGAGCAGATGGCTGTCGACGCGGATATACTATACGGCTTGGTAATAGTCGAAGACCTCGCCCTCTCCATATCGTAATGATAACCATTTGCTCGTTATTTCTACGGAAAGCCAACCAACTGGAACGGCGAGGGCCTTGGAAATACCAATCAGCCTCCTACATAAACATGCGTCGAAATGTTCATTACAGAAAACTCCAAGGCTGTTCCTTAGCGCCGGTTGTCTTGAGCCGTGGATCTCTTCCCGTCGCGCGTTACACAACACTGATTCTTTCTACCGTTGGTAACACGCTTGCAATCTAGGCTGATGGATACCACAGCGATACATTTCGAGCGCTACTTAGTTGTGTTATTGTAACGTCAACCCCGAAATCACAAAGTCTCTATTCGTAGTTGACACCATCTGGAGCCTTGGCTTGTGTGCTTGTGTACTTGCGTGGAGGCGATCGAACGGCTGGAGGAAGCTCAGCTCCCGCTTGCAAGTCTAGAGCGATCTAGTTAACCGGCCCCAAACGACGCAGCAGAAAACCACAACGCAGCCTCCAAGCAGGTCGAGTTCCCTCTGCTCAATGACTAGCATTGCCTAACTGCCAGAGGCTATCCCGGAGGCATCGGCTAAGCCCAGGCACGGGAACACCGCATCAACTTGACCTGTTTTGAGTGGCGCCCACCGACGAGGCACGAAGAGAGAAGAACATGGAGGCACGCGGGGTGATTAACCTCGAGACAGCCACCCGTGTTGCACACGAAGTGTGTGAGACAAAAGCCACCGCATAAGTTTTGCCGAACTGCGGCTAGCCGGGGCCTCTAAAGACCTCGACGCGCTGTCGACCCAACGCAGCAGTGATCAACTGAGAGCCCCTGTGGCATCAATGCCTGTGCTTCCCAATCTCCTACTCAGGCGGCAGTCCTAGCCAGACAAGAATGCAAGTAGGAGGGCCTCCGCTGGACCTCGGCGCCGTTCCCCGCCTCCTCGCCCACCACCTGCGTAGTCTCTTCGCGACTTAGCTCTCGGCGATATCTTATGTGGGCCGCCGATGTAGCGACGGCGACGCGGGATCCCGTCTAAGGCAGGATAGATGCCAGGGATGATCCTGGCTAGACTAACGACGATGCTCCAAGACGCCCCATCGCCCACATTCGTGTCACGGCGGGTGAAGGCCCATCGGTATTTTGCCTGGGTGCTCTGCGGTCTCTCGTCCTTGGTCCGCCTTCCTCGCGCTGGCGGAAGCAAGCGACCGCGTCACACACACGTCCTCGCAATGCGCCTGCGAGGCACGCACGCGCACATCGATTCACCATCCCGTCTGATGATGCGAGAGCACGCTGGCCGCCTTGCGGTCCGCGTCCTACTCGGCGCGCGATCCCGCCCACGAGCATGTTATGTTACCTGCCGATGGAAACGACTGCAAGAGGCCAACAGATAGACATCCGAACGAGCCGAGGAGACGGGGTTACCCGAGCCTAATTGAACGACGTCTAGACGTGGGAAAGCCCTGTTTCCCAGGACTAGCGAGCGAGCCAAACGTCGTGTCTCGACGAGAAGCACTGCCTGCCCAGCAAGGAATTTCTCCGTGGCTGACGGGGCGGAGTCAGGAACCCTTATCTCCATTCGCGACATCTGGATAACGCCGACGATGTTACGTTTCAACCGATCGATAACCGGTGTAGAGGGATCTAGCAATGGGTGATAATAATAACAATAGCAACGCCAATATATGGCAGCATCCGAGCCTCGCCAATCGCAGATATGGTGAGGGCGAGCGGTGGGCGAGACCTCCAACCACAACCCTTCCCCCCCCCTTTTTCTCGGTCCCTCTGCCCCCAAGTCCCCCACGCAAGTCTGCAGTGAGGTTCCCGCGATTTGTCGCCGACGCGGACGTGGCCCCCGAATAGGGAAATGCTGCGCCGGCGCGCCTCAAACCACTCGACGAAATGAATTGCTCTATTTCGAACGCGGAATGGTTGTCGAAAAAAAAAAAGAAAAAGAGGGTGGGAGTTTTTTCCGTGGCTATGCCAAATAAGATCAGGAATGCGACTTTTTCCTTGTCTCAAAATTTTTAAACTACCCACCCCCCATCAGGCTCTGAGAACCCTGAATTAAATAATAATAATAACAATAAAAGCTTGTCTTCGACTTGCCCGCTCCCGTACCGTTCATTGCCGGTGCCATTGCGTGAACAGGGCACACACCCCCCTTGCTCGACCCGTCGATAGTCTCGGACGCTAACAAGGGATATCGCCTCTGATAATTACGCGGCGCCAGGGTATTCGTAGTGAGCGCATCCATACGCCCATACGACGGCAGAGGCAGCATCTGCGTACCTCGTAGGCATTCCAGTAGAGTACGACATACCTACCTACCTACGTGGGGGGAGGTCTACGAAGACTCCCGGCTGCGTCGCGCATCCCTATGTAATTATACATAAACATCGAAGTAACCTCGGGGCCAATTCACGCGGCCATCGATTTCCCTTACTAACACATTCATCCCGCGGAGAGACCAGTCGCGCTGTGGACGTGCGGAATGGGAGAGGCAGCATGGAGGAATGAAGAGAAAAGCAAGACCATGTTACACTGGACATGAGGTCGCCGATTGGCACGGGGCGGGAGGGAAACACACATGTGTGTCTGCAAGTATGGATGAATGCCTACCAAGCGGTCAGTGTACGGATGATTAAGGGCGAGAGGCTCCCACGTACGATCCTGTTGATTGGGCCACGGGGCGAGTGTTGAAACTACGCTATTGTTGTTGGGCGTGTCGTTGCGGGGGTCCCGGGAAATGGAACGAAGACTATACGTCTCAACGAGTTCACATGTAGTATACTCGGGTGGAGGGGACACCCGAAGCACACGAGATCGGCCCATCGTGATATTGGACGGGTAAGATGAGAAGAAGGATCGAGAGAGGGAGAGACTGAGCGTCAAGCTGGGGGTTCTCGGACATCAACGGCAACTGTTCGCTCTCCTAGGCGGCCACACACGCACCCTCCGCAGGCAATATTACTTCCCGCCTAAGTACACCTTGTATCATTCTTGTATATAGTCGCAATAATTGCCATTTTCTTTTAGGATTTTAATAAACAGGAGGGGAGAACGAGACCCATTCCTTCGCAGACGCTGTATCGATAGACGTGGGCAAGCAGAAAATGAAGCTGTCCAGCTGATTCCTCTTTGCTCCTCTTTGCGCCTATCAAAATCTAGAACGCGGAATGACCCGGCTGATGGTGCTTGGACAGGATCGCCCGTGATCGACCTGGAATTGCTTTTTTTCTCATCTTCGGACTTCTCGTTGTGTTTCACAAGCCTAGGATGAAAAAAAAGAGTTTGAAAAAAAAAGACAGGTAGAGCAGGTGAGCTCCACAGCGCTGGTCTATGATGGCGGTAGATAGAGGCACATAGTAAGACCAGTTGATAATGATGATGACAGCGACGAGAGTGGTCGCAATGGGGGTCCCGAGAGGGTTAGATGGCCATCACAACTCCTTAGCTGTATTTATGAGAGAGAGCAGGGGCAAGGGTAAACAGAGCCTCGTGTGTATTAGTACCTACCCGTAATATAGCAAGAAAAGAAAAGGTCAACGTGCGAGTTTCCGTTTCTACACGCATGCTGTCGGGCTAATAGCAGGCTCCAAGTGCTAGATAAAGGAAGAAACAGGTACTACTCTATAGAGGCAAATCCCGTCGCCTTCAGCCTCACCATATGGTGAGCACACCGGTGTATAGTGCGGACCCAAACGTAGCCAACTACTGGTCGGCATCAGCCCGATACTAATAGTATCCATCCAAGTCCAGGCCTGGGCAGGGTGTGGAAATCAAGCTCGCGGACGGATCCTGTACCTAGCATGTGCGTACATGCGCACATATGCACATAGTGCCGGTGTTGAGGTTAGTGGGCACCCCTTCGGCGTCTACGTACGTACGCACGTAGCGGCCTGCGAGTCCCGTCGCCTGGTCCAGCGGGATCGACGCCACCAGCGTCGTCGTTTATCGTGCCATCTTCCACATCTGCTCGTGGGTGCGGGAATGGCTGACCTGGTCTGAGCCAACCCCTTTTCCCCTTCCCCCAAACGCCGCCAGCGACGAACTTCGAGAAGCAGGGGGAGGTGGAGCGAAGGGGGAGAGGGGAGCATCAAGCTGGCGCGCATAGCACGCACGCAACACACGGCAGACTCAGTAGCGTGGTCGCCACCAGCTGAGATGCGGCCTGTTCTTTGACCGAGGGGGGTGATCGAGATTCTAGATTTCATGGCGCACCTCCCGGGGTCACCCGGTCACATTCCTTCATTCCTGATACCGCGAGCATATTGGCGGTTGCGAGACTATATGTCACTACCGCCGAGCCGACATTATTCTTCAACCGCGGAGTCACTCGTGGATCATGGCATAGTTGGCCGCCTGGTGACCCAAATGCTCCCGTTAGATAAATTGGCGTAAGGGATGTATTGTCAGGTACGTGGAGTGGCTGCTCCATAGCACGTAAGGAGCAGTAGGAATTAACGGTACTCGGCTGTATTCTCCAGCGACCTCCACAGGGGTGAGGGAAGGGAGCGGCCAAGCACGCACAGAGAGAGGGATAAGCACGCTGTGTAAGGTCACTTACATGGCGTTCGAGCCTTACATCATTCGGCCTGAATCTAGAGGACGCGGGAGAGGACTACGGGGTTTGGTTCCCCAAGAGCAGGACAAGGGGAGGGGGTTAGGAGAGGAGACTATATTATAGGCTGGGTGCCGGCTTGGTCCGTAGAGGAGAGAGAGAGAGAGAGAGAGAAACATAGAGAAAAAGCGAACGAGATCCGCCATCCAATGCCCGTCGCGTACGGGCTTATGGATCGTTTTCCAACACACGAAAAGCCGTGTCCCATGCCGTCAGAGTTTCGGGCTACGAGGAGAGCATGATAGGCACTGTCACATATTGCCCGACTACATACAATGTGCATATTCTTGGCTCTGTTTTCTTCCTTCTTTTTTTGTCCCTGTGGGTATCCCTTGACCTTGACTCGGGCAATACCGCTAATTGTATCGAAACCTCGTGGAGAACGGTCAACATCTGTCTGTCTGTCTCAAATAGGCCCGGTGCATTTCTACAGTGTAAGATGCTGCCGGCTAAGAAAGAAGGAAAGGATAAAAAAGCTTGCTTTTCTTGCCTTAGCTCGGTGGGAAAAAGCAAAGCCCCTGGGACATGTGTGTGATGCGTTGTCGGGACCGTCTACGCACTGGGGAACCCTTCTTCGGCCCAAGCACCAAAACAACGTGATTTTCAATGGATATGTGAGCCACACACCCCTAAAACGGGCCGAGCTAGGTCATTCTCGGAGCTGAGCTGGTGCAAATAACCCACTTCACTATGGCAATGACGCCGAAAGAGTGGTAGAGTCCCGTATGAGCTCTTACTCGCCTGGGGAGACGAACGAGCAAGGACTGAGAGAAGAGGGGGGGGGACGGACGGACGGACAGACACACAGAGATAAAGACAGACAGATGCAGTGTTGGCACTCCTAGATAAACATCGGGTTGCTGGACGAGAAAAGGAGGGAGGGGGCGGAGGATGCTTGCTGAGCCGTCGTGTCACCTATCGCCGTCATAATTTAGATTGCTCCGCCATAGAGACTTGTCGAATTACGAGAAGATGGGTATCTACAAGTTGACAGAAGAAGAAAAAAACACGAATAGGCCCAGAGGCCATCGAAGGTACCCCCCTCTCCCGTTTCTCTCGTCTGAAGAAGACCGGAGGCAGTAGAAAAAAGCACTCCTGAACCACCCGCAGTCTAACCAATCCTCGAATCGTACAACTCTCTCTTTCCCACCCCGATGCATTGAGGACACTCGTAGCCACCCAAATTTCCGATCCTCTTCCTGCCTCTCTTCATGCTCTGGTAACGATAACGGCACGCGGAACAGGGCCCAGAATTTCTTCGTAATCAACCCGAGACCGAAAATTCAGGATCGCGGTGGGACGTTAAGATCCGGGGGTTAAAAAAAAACCTCCCCCCCCCCCCCCCCCCAAAAATTAAAAGAAGCCATATGACAGCGAGATGTTGTACAGGTCGCAAAAGTTGCCTGTGTCGAAATCTGGAGTTGGCTCGTAGCGATGCGTAGACGATGTGTTTTTAACCCACCATGTAGCCATACCGAACCGCGGACACACAACACACACGTAATTACCATGCGGCAAGTCCGAGGAAAAGGAGAGGAAGAAAGAAAAGAGGGAAAATAACAAGGCGGCCCCTCGCGAATTCTGTGTATCCCGTCGCCCGTGAATCCGACTAAACCCACTGCCCAGCCTTCCCGAAAAGAGTAAATCCGATCTGGTGCCCAAGTCCGTTTCTTCCCAGAATAAAAGCCCCCCCCCCCCCCTTTTCCCACAAAAAAGATGCTACAGACCCTTGTAACCAAACCATCCCAGACGTGTCTTTGAAGCCCGCGCGAGTCTTCGCCGTTGATTTTGGTATCCCGTATAGAGAGACAGAGGAACATTGCCTTGTCCCACGCCTCGTTCCGTTATAAAAAAAAAGGTTTGTAGTAATAATAAACAAAAAGAAGAAAAAAAAAGTGATCCCTCTCCCGTAGTTGCCGTTGACTCCGAAACCGATTCTTTTCTTTTAGATCCGTCCATTCCCTAGCCCGGTCCTCTCCCCCTCGATGAAACGAATCCTTAGATGGTGGCGGTTGTTGCTGTTTTTTTGTGTGTGTGTGTTCGCGATAGATGTAACAGTAATGCTTTTCTTTTTGCAGAGGCAAAAAAAAAAGACAAGCGCCGCATTCTTCTTGTATGGTCGTCTAGTGGGATAAGCGGGAGGGGGGGGGGGCAGACCTCCTCCCCCTCCCTTCCCTCCCCGGCCCCGGAGACGTTACATCTCCTCGTCCTTGATGTCGTGGGCGGAAGACGGCCCGCCGGGGTCGGGTTTCATGTCCTCCTGCGGCGACGTCTCGCTGCCGTCCGTCGGTGTCGTCTTCCCGTTCCCGCAGCCCTTGACGAGTCGATGTCGCTATTGGTGGTGGTCCCTTCGTCAGTACACGGGCTAGCTCGGAAAGTCTCGTACTCGACACTAAAGAAAAAAAGCCACGACAAAGAGGGAGAGAGGCGGGGAGGGAAGGGGACAGGGCTCGTGTACTAACCTTGAGCGCGTCTTTCCTCGAGAAGCTCTTGTCGCAGAACGTGCATGGGAACGGTTTGATCGCGAGGTGTATCCGCTTGTGGCGCTTCAGATCGTGGTTTCGGTTGAAGGACTGGGGGCAGACGTCGCACTTGAAGGGGCGGTCCTGCTGCTGGTTCGGCTGGCTGTGGTACATGCCGTGCGGGCTGAGGTGGTGTGGGTGGTGGTAGCCGTGGGACATGGGGTTCATGGGGCCGACGAGGGTCATCTGGCCGCCGGGGTTGGCCATGTTGGAGAGGACGGCGCCGCCCATGGACGAGGACAGCGGCGGGTAGCCGTAGGACGGCGGCGGCCGGTTCGAGTAGTGCGGCGCTTGTATCGGCGAGGGCTGGTGGTGGTGCTGGTGGTGGTGCTGATGGTGCTGCGGGCTGAAGGTCGGCATGCCGCGGGGCAAGGGGCCCGCCGTTGTCGGCGACGGCTGGGTGGGCGACGGGTGGGCGGAGCTGGAGGTGAAGGGCGGGAACGAGGGTTGGTGGGGCGCCGCCGGGGCCGCCGAATAGTAGTTCGAGCTCGTCGGAGGCCGCGAGTAGCTGTCATGCGCCGACGCCGTCGACGAAGGAGGCGGCGGTGGCTGCGACCCCGGCGCGTGTGAGGTCATCATCGGATTCGCCAGCGACGGCTGGCTCGAATGCTGCGAGAGCAGGCTCGTGTGGCCCCCACCGCCCCCGGGCGTGGGGAGAGAGTACGAGTGCGATATCCCGTCGTATGGCGAATGGGCCGACATCCCGTCCGCCGTCGCCGGAGATTGTGAGTTTCGCGTATAACCCGTGGGGGAGAAAGTCGGACGGTTGTAGTTCGACTGCATGGGCCCAGAATGCACTCCGTGATTCGTCGAGCCGAACGTATAAGACGAGCTGGCCGGGAGAGACCAGCCGCTATGGTGAGAGCTGTATGACGCGATTCCCGCTTGGGGACTCTGAGAACTACCACTATTCACGCCTGACGAGAGTGGGCTTGTGCCGTCGCTGCTAGGCACCCCTGCGGAAAGAGGTCAGATGGCTGCTAACGTGGTACGGTTGAAGGATGCTTGGAAGCCCTGTGGCCGAGTTGATTTGCTGAGAGGGTCGGGAGAGGGAGTGGTGGGAGGGGGGGAGGTAGAGAGCGGTAGCGAGAATAATAAGTAGATTCTGCCATACTTGGGACCTGAATATCTATTGGCGGATTCGGAACTGGTAGGTGAAACTGAGGAAGCCCGTGAGCCGCTGGTCTACGTGACGCAAAGCTCGTTGTGGCGGCTTCCATGCTTTAGATGAAAGACAGAAAGGAAGGGGGAGAGAGGAAGAAGAGGATCGAGATGTTGAATCCCCTTCCCAGCTGTCCTGCCCGGTGGAATAGAAAAAAAAAGGTATATGAAACAATAGGCTCTATTATCTCTAATAGAAGCTGTCCGAGTCTGCGGGTTGTTGTAAATTGAACTGACCACCGGTGGCACTGAGGATGGAAGGGCTCGTCTACGCCGAATGAAACAGGCCCCCTCGGCTATCTTGACAATCGGTGTTAGTGATAGGTACTACAATCGCCTGGTGCATTCACTCCCGCGGCTCGTCGGCCAACCGACCCAACCCGAGACTACGGAGGGTCGACTTGTCGTAGGTGGCTTTCGAGCTGGGGAAATTCGCTTCGACGATGTCGGGGGTGTTTTTTTTTTCCGGGGCCAACTCCAAGTCGGTGTGGTCGCTGGGGGTCGCTGGTGGTCGCTTGTCGTCGTCGCTTCCGTCGAGGTGCGTCTGAAGGTGGTGATCCGAGTCTTCCAAGAAGCGGTAGGAGGGAGAGGTCCTTGATGACGAGCTATAATGTAGGTCGGGAGTGGAGACGTCGATCTTGAGATTGGCTGCCGGGAGGCGCCTGTCGAAATATATATGCCTTTGCTGGGCGTCTGCTCGGATCCTTGCTAGAGCTAGAGCTGGGTATCTGGGCGTCTGAGGATGGGCGAGCCTGGCCGTCAAGTGTACCCGTCTATCACGTCGTCGTAGTTGTAGCTAATTCTTCGTCGTCTTTCCTCTTCTCCTTCTCCCGGTATGGCTTTTCATATGTTTTTTTTCTCTCTCTCTCTCTCTCTTCCTCTCTTCCTTTCAGCCGATCAGTTGCTCACCGGGCCTGAGAAAGGGGGGCTCTCTCGATTATATCCAGTATTTAGCTCGTGCGAGAGCAGCCGTAGTGTAGTAAGTAATTCGGGACTACCCAGGTCAGGACCGGGGTTCGACTAGAAAAGACACTACACCACCCCGGACTAGTTTCGATGGGCTGAAAGCGCTGCCGGACGTGCATACACGCATATACATATAGATATATATAAATATATATATATATGTGTGTGTATGTATGTATTTACGTATGTGTATAAGCACGTATGCAAGCTTCGAGAGACGGATATCGTGAAGAAGCAGAAAGGGTTAGCGTGGACGGGACAGGCGTGTTGTAGGCATGTGTATATGTAGGCACGTATGTGTGTCTGTATGCTCAGCCGTATTGCACGAATGTACGCATGTACTCCGTGCGTTTCCCACCCCCTCGGTATGGGGTGTGCTGGATGAGTCGGTCTACGCAGCATGTAGGTGTCGATGTACGTACAGAGGTAAGCAATCCAGGTCGTGTACAGAAGATCCAGCACCGTCCCCGAGATCTCCTGATCTCATCACCTCCCTCGATGACCCTCTTTCCGTCTCTCTCGACTTATACCTTCGCGTGCCCCGACGACCTATTTCTACTAGGGGCTTGGTTACCAAGCCACCGTGCCCGTTGAAGATTGTCTACGAAAGAGCTTGTCTATGTAGGTGCCGTTCTCTCGCGATGGCCGGTGGCGTGCTGGATCTGGGGTGGCACGATGTGGTAAGTCGGGCATGTTCCCAGCACGTGGGTCGAAGGAGTAATAAGCCTAATAATAAGACGATTAGGGGGAGAAGGAAAAAGAAACCGACTGCCTTTACCAGCGTGCGATGCGCAATTATCGACGCCGGACAACAATCTCTACGTGGGTATGTGTGCTATCCCTTCTCTCTCTCGCTCCACTCGCCTCTAGATCCCGGCTCGGGAATCCCTCCACTGGTAGGCCGTGTTCTTTTGTACGGACTGACCTGCCCATGTAACTTGCGAATGCACACATACCGAGACCGCGGTCGAGAATCCTGGGAGGAGTGCTACCACGTAGCACGTAGCACGTATGTATGTATATATGTATGTATATATATGCGTGCATACATAACATACATGCGCGGGAGCGAAGGGGGGCGAAAGGCATGAGTAAGTAGACCGGACGGCCATCCCTACGCAGGCCATTGGGGGCAGAGAGAGCTACCTAAGCTGGGAGGAGGGAGGGAGAGACGGGAAGACAAGATGGTGGAAGCAACCTTACCTGGCCTCGTCCTGGGTCCGTGGAAGAGAGGGAAGAGAAGAAGAGGCTAGAACCCTGTTCGCCTCCGCCTCCCTAATGTAGCTGGTGATGCACCCAAGATCCCGGAATGCCCTCCACGTCCAGGCCGCCATATTACCACCTATATCACCCTTTCTTTATGGTGGGAAACCGGCCGGCAGGTATGGACACCCTACACGCACCCCTCCCTCCCTCTCTCTCGCGCGCCCGGCTGAGGCGTAGAGAGAAAGAGAGAGAGAGCGCGTGCGCGCGAGAGAGAGAGAGAGAGAGAGAGAGGAGGAGAGGGAGAGACACGGGACGACGCTAAGACATTGATTGCACGGAGGCTCGTCCGTCGGCGGGCACGTACGGCGCGCGTTGCGTGTACCTACTCAACTCAGTACACCGGATGGTTCGCGCTTACGGGGGAACGAAGCTGATCAGCATGCACGCAGAGCAAAGAAGAAGAAAAAAGGGACCTGAAAGCGTTCAGCTTGCGCCCCCTGGCAAGCCGGTGAGGGAACAAGATGATGGGGAACTGAGGTGCTGGAGGCTAGCAGGGGGGGGTGTGGAAGTAGGTGGCGTCGTAGGTGCGTGCGGCCCATCCGCGATCCCCTGCCGGTTCTTGCGCTAATGCAGTTGACAAGGGCCACTGATCGGTCGGCCGTGTGTCCGTGACCAGGGCCTATCCAGATGCGTGGCAGCGCGCCGGGTACCTCCCTCAGGCACCCCAGGCGTGTTCCGGGTCGAGTTGTTATAGCAGACACATCTATAATACTAGTTACATCCGGTAGCCATAATATGAGCATAGATACATCTAGCACCCAGAGCAGATACACTTGTATACTGACGGCACTATTGTAAACAATATACAGTATACAACAACATATATAGCAGCAGCAGCTATTACCTTTGCCTCCTACCGAGTAGTAATATATGTGTACTAATATATATGCTACGTAGCAGTAGCGTCAGCCAAGTCAGGAGCCACACCTTAGGTACTTACCGCCTGCCTTAGGTACCTACCTCCTCTACCTACCTTACCTCCTAGGAACCTGTAGGTACCTAGTAGGTAAGGTAGTACCTCCACAGCTAGGGACCTTAGGTATTATCTCAGGTACCTACCTACCCGCCCGTCCATCCACTCAACCCTGGGGAGAATGCGTAGGTACCTCCATGTACGCGCGCTATGCCTCTGGCCGCCAGGTACCTGCGGCAGAGATAGAAGTACCTAAGAGGTGGACATGCAATTGGCTCGGGGCTGATCAGCCCTCTGTCGAATCTCGCAACCCTCCCCTGTCCGACCCGGAACTTCATCGCGCTTGGGAAAGGGGGATTGCCATCGGGATTAAAACATCGCTGCTTATCATTACTCACATAGGATGGCACACTTGTTTTTCTTCTTCTTCTCCTTCTCCTTCTCCTTCTTCTGCTCGCCTCTCGCCTGCACCCACCACCGTACGTACGCCCACACGTTGCGTAGGTACATTTGCCTGCCTGCCTGCCTTGGGCAGGTATAAATGGGTGAGTGACTGAACGAATGAATGGATTGGTGAGTGACCGGACGGAACCCGTAAATGCATGCGTGGTTTATGTTATATGCTGTTGTGTTCTATTCTGCGGTACGGCATTGGCGCCGTATGCTATGGCCGGTATGGTATTGCCAACGGCAATGCAGGCCGCGGACGCTTCTACATCCCATCCCATCCCATCTCATCCCATGCCTCTACCTACCTCCCGACCTGCCTTACATTAGGTACTATTGCACACCCATACACACATGCCTTAGCATGTAGCCCCGACGTTGATGTCTCCTTCAGGATCAATATGTACGTACATCGTTACCCCTTCACCCATCTTGCACCTAGAATGTTCGTATTTCTCGCGTTCTCGCCTGACCGTCCCGTAGGCGAAGTCCCTCCTCAGCTCCCCTGCGATTTTATTGTCTTGGCACACCATCCGGCGCGGCGCAGTCCGATACGGTCTAGCTCGGCCCTTCAGCTGGCTCGGTCCAGGGAACGGGCCTTCTTTTTTCTCTCTCTGGCCTCGCTCTCGCTCTCGTCTCTCTCTCTCTCTCTCTTCTCCTTCGCGTGCGCAACACGCACTCTCACTTCCACGCACATGACACACACACACATACACACCACACGTTCACGCGCAGAGTGGGAATAAGCTTAGATGGAGGCTACCATCGCTCCGGGACGACAAAATACCACAGTGGCTCTTAAGCAGCCAGCCTATAGGCAGAGCCCCCGGCCACCAGAATAGAGTCGATCTAATCTCATGTGCCATTACATCGTTCTGGGGTATGTACATACATACAGATGTAAGCAAGCCATAGAGAAACCCGCCCCGGGAACAGAGGCGTGCGCTGTTCGCGTCCGTGGCGCTCGCCATCCCTCGAATTAAAGCATGCCACTGTCATATTGCCGCCGACAATCCTCGTGCTATTATCAAATGTGCAGTAGGCATGTATGCACGTATGTATGTACATGCATACATACACACGCACCACTACGACCACATAATGCTGCCGCTGCCACTACTACTACTACTACTACTACCACCACCACCACCACCACCACCACCACCACCACCACCACGCTACTACTACCACTACTAGCTACCTAGCCAGCCAGGTGGCTCGGCTTGAGGAGAAGGGAGGAGGAGAAGCGTCCGTTCGGCACAAGCCTACAGGCCCGCGGCCCTGCCGTACCCGCACCCGTGAGTAGTAATGGCACGTACCCGACTCGTGCAAGACACCCAAAGAACACGGCATGCACGATTTGCTCTATACCTATCTCCCCTTAGCATGCTATATGTACATCTATATCAGACAGCTGTCCGGCTACCTGGCAGTGCAGCATGCCCTGTTGGCGTCACCGCAGATTGCATGCCCATCAGAGACGGACGCGTTTTGAATGGTGTCAATGCAAGCCACCCTTCGTCCCGAGATGGTACCCAAGAAAAACTACATACCAATACAATGCCTGCGGATAGGTAAGCCATCGAGTAGGGGGTGGCATGGTCCTGCCGAAAGAGCCTCATCGACACCACGGAAATGTGGCTCGTGGCCGAATGGGCTGCTCTCCGCTCCCCCCCCCTACACTCCTCCTTCTCTTCCTCCTCTCTCCAGGCACCCGGTCTCCCTCTGCCTCTCTCCCCCTCTCGCGCAGGGCCGCGTGGGATGATGGGGGGAGGACGCACCGGCAAATAGCCAACACGCAAATGGCGGAGTGGTCGAAAAGCTCGATCGCTGGCTTGGTGGCCCCAATAGATAAAATATGCTTGCGTGTGCCGCTCGATGCAGGGGGAGTCCCTGAAAAGGAGCGTCTGGGTTGCACCCCGTCGTTGGAGAAGGGGGGGGAGGGGAGAGAGGGAGGGTATGTATCTATATGATTTGTCCTGAAGATACGTACGGTACAAATACAAGAAGGGAGAGAGCATGGGGAGATCATGAGATATGGGGGGGTGGCGCGCGGGAACGGATGCGGCCAGCAATTCGTCGGGCTCGTTCCCCTGGGTCGAGTATCCCGCAACCCGATCGGCTTCCAGAGCACAGGCAGAGAGGGTTTCCGTCCGCACGCATGCCAATATCCATATATGCACACACACACACATATATATCTATATACTACGTAACATGGATATAGGCAGGTATGTGTATAGGTAAGGTCTTCACACATACCTACCTACCCACAAATGGCCTCAACTGGTGATGTCGTACCGCAGCGAGAGCCGTAGGCTAGATAACTTCGTTGGCTGCGGATCGCAAATCCCTCGTCGAGATAACCCGTACCTTGTTTTCTGGGTATTGCTTTTTTCCCCCCCTTCCTCTTCCCCATCTCGGAGGTAGTAGTGCTTATCCCGCGCCGCCCGTTGCTCGGGGATATTACTGGAGTTTCTGGAGCAGGAGACGACGGCAAAGAACGAGCCGAGTCGTGGCCGCGACCAGAGCGCGTAGTCAGACGGGAAGGAAGACGAAGAGGAGGCAGAGGCGGAGGAGGAGGAGGAGTCTTGTCTGATTCTGGGAATTTTTAACGAAGAGCGCTGTAGGTATCGCCATCGGTCTCCCAGCGCTACTCTTCTCGTCGATATCCATCCCTCTCGGGTCGCGTCTAGCTTGCGTTTAATCGCGAGGCCGACGATGCTTGCCCCATTACCAACTACACGAGGGTAACACACATGTAGGCCCGGCTGTTCCGCCTGCGGATGGCAGGAATGGCAGAACCCTATCCAAGACACAGGCACCATCTCGGGGATTTGCGTGTGTGCGTGATCGGGATGACACTGTAATACCTGCCACATCTTCCATTTTTAGTCGAGGAATCCTACGCTTGAGTGGTATTGCAACAGAGAGTCGAATCGTCTTTCACATTTGGCTCCGTGTCTCTCCCGTGTCACCACCGTCCGTTGGAGATCTGACCTCGCCGTACGAGAAGTCAAGTAAGTCGCTAAAGCTGAGCATGGCTGGGTATGTGTCGTGGGTCTCTGATTGGGCTGTACTACTAAAGATGACAAGGTCCCCTCCCCCCCCCCCCCTCCCCCTCCTCGACCTACCTACAGTATCAATCCGACGTGACGATTCCAACGTGTGAATCGGGACCGACGCAGAGATCACTCGCTGGAACCAGTGCTAAGCTTCGAGGGCCCGGTCGATGGATCAGCTTCCCCCCGAACACGTGTCTGCGCAGAGCCGTGAAATGAAGGGGCGAACGAGTGAGAAGGCCCAGGTTCCCCCCTCCCCCCCCCTCTCTCTGCCTGTCCGTCTCCTATCTCCCCGGGCGCAGCACGAGACCACGGATAGCACAGGTCGAGGACGGACGGGAACTGCACCGCTCACACAGATACCACAGGGCAAGGTCGAAATCTATGTAAGACCCTTTCACAGCGTAGCTGTGTGGCGCGAACAAGGCGGCGAGTCGTATGGAGGTCGTAGGCAACCGACACGTATGCATCCCATCTCGATAGGTATTTCCAACCTGGTTGATGGGAATCGCGAGAACCCATCTCGGTACCGGGTTGCTGCTCATCATCCATCCACAACGTCCAACCGCCCATCCTCCCCCCCAACCGTTCCCCCATCCACCCATCCATCTATCCACCCACCTATCCACCCACCTATCCGCCCACCTACCTATCCATCTACCTACCCATATATCGTCAGTAGGCGGTAGGTATGTGTATACGTACCGACCTTAGTCCCCCCCCTCTCGCGCGTTCACCCCCTTTGCCCCCCGTTTGGGCGTCATACGTGCTACGTACTGCCCACCGGTGCGCACCGTATGTAATGTGTATACTATACGTGTGTACGTGTGTATCGTAGTGGGCATAGGCGATACGCAACCACAACGCGCACAATAGGCGAGAATGCGGGATCCGCCCGTGCGTGCGCTCGGGGTCCAAGGTCCCCTCTTTGCGCTCGATAGCGTAGCAGGCGGAAATGTCTCCGTGCACGCGTGTGACCCTTCAATTCGACCAGCGTCAGGCCTGCACTGCCGCCCCCCCCCCCCCCCGTCCGCTACCGGCGTGCCCAACATTCACATAGGTACCCAGAGAAATAGAGATAGTACCCAGAGGAGAGGGAGAGAGGAGAGAGAGCGGAGATTCCTATCCACTCCGTTCTACGGTATGGCCTACACAGGGCATCTTCTTTTCTTCTTGTTATTTTCTTCTTTCCCTGGAGAGAGTGGGTAGCCAGTCTAGAGCCTGGACGATCGACTCTGGGCGACAACGCGATGCATGCAACGTAGGTATGTAAGTAATATGATAAATCTATACGATGTATCTCTCGTATGCAGTGCAACTGATGAAAAAAAGGATTGGCAATCACCCCTTCTCTTCTTTTGCTTTTTTCTCTGTTTTTCAACTCGGGCTTCTCCTCGGACGCCCACTGGGGGTATGTATATATTGTGTCGGTATATATGCCTACCTCTCCTCATACCACGTAGTATGAATGCCTACCTACCTCCTCTGCCCACCTCCGGCCGTGGGAGGACGGAATACGTGGGAGATACCCGCGAGACACATCGTGTGGAGAGGTGATGCATGCGGTCGCGGCGAGTACCTCCCTGGAGTACTCGATGTACTAGTATCATCGCCCTGTCCCCTTCGCAACAATTCGGCCTGGTCAGTTGCCAGAGGGAACGACGGGACGGGGTTTCTTAGGGCTGTCCTCGGATAAATACAAATGAATGCAATATATGCGATGCGCGGTATCGCATATTGTATATGCTCTCGATGTCCCGTGGAATACCGGGGTAGTGCACCTAGCCGGCCTCCCTTGCAGCCTCGGCACCGCCCTCGATCCGCCCATCCTCATCGTTGACACCGTCCCATCCCACCTCATCCCTAATCCCTACCTAACCTACCTACCTCCTACACCATACTACGACCTGCCGTGCATAGTCCATTCCATCCCTGGATAGCTCCCCGTCTGCCACATCCAGCCCTCTGCCAGCTCCCCACATTCCAAAATAACATGCCGCACCAAGCTGCCCCAGCGGGCCAACAACGTGTGAGCACCCGTGCCTGTCCGGAATCTGGTCCGTCACGCCTTGCTCGTTACAGGTTTATAGTGCCATATCATATCATCATTTGCCAGCATCCCCCAGACCCTTAGCAGTGCGCAGGAGTACAGGCAGACCCTAGCGTCGAATTCTTGATTCGCTCTAGGCGGTCGACCCTTTCTTTGGTGGCATGGTACGACGGCGAGGCCCATCCCCGAAAGAAGCAACCGGCTCGGCGACACGACCCAACCGAGGTCGCGTCCATTCCATGCGTCTCACCACCGAGCAGGCTCGCAATTCTAATATAGAGAAAAGAAAGACCTGCGTCGAGAGCATTCAAGTAGCATCAAACTGCATGCTGATAACCGCGTCCGACGCACTCTCGCCAGAAACCAATACCTACGTATAGCCCGCGCAAATCTCGCGCCCACACCCACATATTACAGACATCATATGCAATACCTGCCTACGTGCCTACCACGCACATCCATATCCATCTCGTGCCACCGCAGGACGGCGTCCCGTTCATTGCTCTCCCCAGCTGGCTACTTACCGCATTCGGACCCTCGACCGAGCGACCCGAGATGTGTTCGTGTGGATTTATAATGATGGCGACACAAGCTAAGAGTCCCCTTCGGAGGTAGAAGCGCGTCCCGAGAGTGCCTAGGGGTTGGACCGCGAAGCAATTTCATGGCCAGTCTGTGCCGGCTGAGCCCAGCTCCTGCTGCGAGTTCGCGTGCGGCGGTGAAGGTGGTGAGAGCCCACCACTACCAGCCAAGGTATACCTACCTATATATTAATTGTTCGGTCCTGTCTCTTGGGTGTGGGCGCCGGGTCCGGAGACGATAGGCGCGGTGCCTCGCCCGCAGCACCACGTTCGGATGGGCTGGGTTCTCGTGATGGACGAGCTCGTCTCCCTTTCCGGCCTTTTCAGCTGCTGGTAAGCCCCTGGTCTTGCCTCTCTTCGGAAGGAATGCGGGACATGGCCGATCGCGTCGCTAGAAGGGCTGTCTGTCTCTTCCACCAGGCGACTAATATTAACTGGGCAGAGGTTCCACGAGCGGAGACTTATAGGGGAAAGGGGTGCTGGGGGCCACAGCATGATGAGCTTCCTGCTCTGAGGGGACGGAAATGTGCGTTCCTTAGCGGTTTTCGCTGCTGCCGAAGACAGGGGGCTCGCCGTGTAGCCATCCACGGCTTTGGGTCAGTCCCCTCTAGCGTACCGCATGAGTCCCCGGGCTGGCCACAGCCTGCTCCCGAAACACAAACGAGCCTCATTATGGAAAAACGACCCGTCCATTTTGTCCGAACGTTTTTGGCTGCTTATGGCTTTCGATAGGGTTCCGAGCACTTGCCAGATCTGATGTCTCCACTAGAAATCGATCCACAGACTCGTCGCCAGGTCTAGGGCGGTAACGATTTGATTGTCCATTGCATACGTACGGTGCCTGGACGGGTGGCCTGCGACATGCTTCTACAAATAATGGGTTGACGCGGGCTCGACGGACTGGCGGCAGCCACCCACTATACAAGATCGTCAGCACGGGCTCGCCACGTTGTGTCTCCTACCCGACACGTCTGATCGGTAGGAACTATTTGCAAGCTGAGAAAGCAGCGGCCCACCAGTCATGTTCGCGCGCGCGCAGGCAGCGCGTGTGCTTCCCAACTGTGCGTCGTTGTATTTTCAGCTGCCGAGACTCAGACCGGCAATCTACGTTGCTGCCGCTCTCGAACTCTGTGGACTGCACACGTCTGTGGGGAATCGCTAATTTGTCCCTTCTACGCTAGAGACGTCGACCTGAACGGCCAAAGCCCGACATAAGATTGCCTAGACTTCGTTCAACAATATCGAGTTCCAATTGCCAAGGTTGGGCACCGTCTCGAAAAAAAAAGGGGGGTTTTCATTTCAGTATCGACCCTTCCCCCCCTCCCCCTCCCCCAAAGATGCTCTCGACTCGTTCACTAATCAGAGTTTTACAGATGTAGCCTCTTTCTTATTGTGATTTGCTCTATGACACGGCCACATAGCGGATCATTAAGTCAGGCTGTCTTCCCGGTGTATCGAATCCGACGAGGGATCACCGAAAGCCTACCCTATCCAGGCCTCCACACAAACATATTAGTGCGCTCGGTTTACGTTCGGAATCGGACCCTTCTCTATACCCAAAATCTCTAGGGTTGCCCATCTGAGCCCACGCTGCTTGTTTTCGATTCCAATATGGGCTTCGTTCATTTCATTCTCTCAATTTCTATATTCTCCGTTGCGGCTCGACCTCTAGGAAACATCAAGAAGTCATCCTACTTAAGACGTCGTCCTATCTCAGTTACATCCGATGTGGGCCCGGTCTGATATGGGCTAGGTATATACGTAGGTAGCATTGACGGCTTAATAGGAAAATTATAGGTAGGATGGAGACCGGAGCCGCACGACGGCTGTCTTTTGGGGCATATCTAATTCCCCCTCTCTCCATCTTGCCGGCGCCGCCCGCTGCGGGTTAACGGTTGAATCCGGGCATGTGCCGCTCGAGTCCGCGCTGAGCGGTTGCCTAACGAGGGAAAGATCGGTAATAGAGAGATGGCAAGTCTCGCGCCTCGCCGACTGCGTCGAGCTGCTACTGCGGACCCATTCTCAGCTCTGCGCGGGATACGACCCTGCTTACCCCGGAAGGCTAGCACCTTTGCGATCTTACCACACTACTCGTACACGGGCTACCGGTGGCGTACGCATTGAGCTAGTGGCGGCAAGGGCATGACCGTTCGGTCTATCCCTCAAAATATGCCCGTCCCCTCGATATCCAGACTGCCGAGGGCCCTGAAGTGCCGGGCGGTCGCTGGTCCCGATCCCCCTTAACTTCACATTTGTATGTGTGGTGGTTCTAACATTTTTATGCTTCGTGCAGGAGTCGAAAAGTAGTCAGAGAAAATCTCGCAAATCTCCCCAATATGCCCAGCCCACAAGTTGGGTCAATCGATCTTGACAATATCTCGTGTTGGGAGCCTCTGAGTTCGGGCATTCGTTCTTCTAGGTGACTGCCACGCAAGTCGTGAATATCATTGTTAGGTAATATATGTTCGTGGTATTTGGAATTCATGATAACCGCTGACCTCATCATAGCCGAGCTATTCTTAGCATGTCGACGCCTAGCCCAGCTTACAGCATCGCGGTAGGCTGGACAATCGCCATGTTATGCACCGAGTTTGTAGACGATGGAGCGATAGCGTCACATGTCTGCGCTTTATCTGGCACTTAAGGCTCATCGTAACCCCAAAGTTGGATTCCATTTGGCCGTCTTCGGTGTTGTTGGGAGTTAAATGTTGAGGTATCCCTATACCATCGTGCCTCTGTCTCTCTTCTCGCCATCGTCTCTGGCCCAGCTTCCACCGATTCACGGGGCCCTATTCCGAGCTACGTATCCCTGTCACATATCGCTCGGTTCAGGCTTAATATGGCCTAACCTCCGCACGCGGTCGACAAGGCAGGTTAGAAACGTACGCGGTTGCATAGAATCTATTGTTGACGTCGTTAGTATGTGTCAAGCGTTGGGGGATATGGGCGTTACGAGTGGCCAGACAAGGAAGGAAGAACCCAGGCACGTCGGCACCGGTGAGTCGACGAATTGTCGTTCTATACCGTTAGTGGCCCCTTGACCAAGCTTTGCCATCACAGAGACGAGGAACGAGACGAAGAAAATGAGTGGCTAGGTCGAATGAGACCTACTGCGCGCCCTCGAATGCAAGGGAGAAGAGACTGTGTCGCGTCTCAGGCTACTAGCCTACACGGCGCCACGCCGCACGAGAAGCCATATCGTTGGCCTACGTCTACAGGCAGGAAGCGCAGGCAAGCCGGCATATACCCTGCCCTGCGACATAGCCCGTAATAATCAAGCGTCGCATTCCACCCTGTTAGTCTGCCACGCCGTGCGGTCCTGTCTAGTCGTGGCGGCCGTGTGTCTGAGCATGAGACGGGGCCGCGAGACGGGCGCTGCTAGCCGGCTCCACACCGGAGGAATGCAGAGCCCGCGGCCAGGAACGGCGAGACAACACCATGCCATCACATGTGCTAAGCACTGTGCAGCAGCGCAGAGAGAAGGGGGAGGGGCATGGGCATTCCTGAAGACGGCTCAGGCTGTCTTATTTATCGGCCGCGCGCCTAGACAGGCAGACGGACGGGGTGCGGCAGTGCCGCTTTGCCGCGCTCGCACACGATGACATTCTCGACGCCTGAATTCTGCCCACCACGGGCGCGAGCGAGGGCCGCCGCGGGGGGGGGGGGGGATATTCTACTCCTCGCAGCACACGGCTAGAAGCCACGCAGGTGGAAGGTTGAGCCACCATCCTCGGCCACACTTCGCCACCACTCCCCCCTTTTCCTATCTTTCTCCCTCTCTGTGTGTGATCTTCTTTGTCCGAGAGAAGATTTTGCGTTGAGCGGAGGTATGTCCCGAAGCGGCGGCCGAGGGCAGGGGTTACAGATAGACGCAGACGCGACGACGGAGAAGAAAGGGAAGGGCGGTTTCTATTCCTGTGGGTGGGTGTGTGTGTGCCAGGAGAGGACAAAGACGGGGGCAAGCAGTCCTCGGGGCCGGGGGCGTGGATTGTTTCTTGTTTCTTGCTTTTGCTTTCACGGCGTCAAGGGGCCACTCGTTCGCGGGAGGCAAGGCGGGCGCCTCCCCGCGGCCGGGCGACCTGCGCCGTGTGCCGAGGCTGGGGGCCTCTTGGGCAAAGAGAGCGCGCGGCTCTCGATATCGTCAGCGCTGTCATCGCGAGGGCGAAGGCGGCGGTGGTAAGGCAGAGGAGTGATTAGGTATAGCGGTGGTTGACAAAGACGGCGCAGCGCATGGCGGTGCCCTGCCTGCGGGAGCCACTCGGTCTGCGGAGCCGTGGCTGCGGGCTAGGTAACGTGCGATGGGCCCCGTAGAAGGGCTCTCCTCTGTCTTTCTGGCCGGATGTCTACGCGTTGCGGTTGCTGTGTCGTCGCCTTCGAGAAGCGGCATGCAGGTGTAGGGGGTATTGTATGGTATTATATTTAACGTCTCGCATTCTATCTAAACAAGATAATGGTATGTAGGTGGGGTAACTCGAACGGAGGTTGGGGGGTTACTTGGGTACCGTCTGGATCCATCGATGGCTGGCAGCAGCGGCGGCGGCAATGGTAATAATAGCAACGATGGCATTCGATGCAGCGCAGCTCCCATGTGCTATCGAGGCTAGAGTGGAGGTCTCCAAGCGGTTCGGTTGTAGATACACGTACATACGTGAGGTGTGTGTGCGATGGTTGCACCGGCACCGGCACGGCGGCCGCGCTGTGGGCTGGGCCAGGGGTGGGCGATCGAAGGTGAGGGACGGGCGAGATCTGAGGTGACGGGCGAATCGGCACGCGCAGATCAGACCGGGCCCCTACAAATCCGGGTTTGGCAGCCATCCCCGCGACGGCGGGTCCCCTCCAGACAAGGGAGAGGGGCGGGCGCAGACGCTGGCGGAGAGGAGAGAGAGCATTTGAGCATGAAAGCAAAACACCTGGCCGAGGTACATTACCTCTACCTCTACCTCTACCTTACCTCGTGGGTAGGTACCTGTTCGTTGGTAGGATGTAACCTACTGCCTAGGTACAAAAAAAGAAGGGGAGGAGGGCTAACAGCCTTGTCTTCCCGTAATCACCGCAAGTACCTGCCCCAAGTACCCGTCTACCTCCCAGCCCACCAACGGCTGCTGGCCTGTCCCCGTAGAGGGCCGCTCGCAGGTACCTGGGATTAGTCGGTTCGGTACCTGCCTCTCTGATTAGTGCACGCCATCAATGCGTAGAGGGAGGTAGCTCTCGTTATTAAAGAAAAGGTCGACTTGGTCCTGGTGTCACTCCGAGTCTACGGTTCTTTCAACCTCTCCCTTTCTTATCCCTCCGTCTCCGCCGCCCATTTCGCAACCCGCCTAGGCGTCCTACTATACATATTCTTCATCTCTTCATCTGCCATTTTCCCATTAGCCAGCCGCCCGGCTGTCCGTCACCCCGACCCGGGAACAAAGTCATACATACACACACATACACACACACATGCGCATAGCTCCACCCTCGTCTTCCCATCGCTGAGCACGTCGCCGTGTTACTATATATCCAACACTTTCTTTCTCTCTCTCTCTCTCTCTCTCTCCTCCCTCTGTCTCTCACGTCTGCGCAGCCGCGCCCTTAAATCATCAGTTCGGTATATACTAGACCAACCTGTTTTACCTCACGTAGTCGATTCCCCTAGCCAGACATCTCTCTCTCTCTCTCTCTCTCTCTTCTCTCGTTATACGTAGGGGTCAGCTAGACTGCCTCACTATTACTCGATCCAGACCTTCTCGCGTTCGACGACCACAACTAGTGACACAGTGTCGCTCCCGCGCCCCGAACCTGTCACGTCTTCCCACTCACCCTTCCTCTGTCACCGACCTCAAAGTTTCACTTGGTTCCACCGGGAACACCTGGAGCAATTACTCGAACATCCGCCTGCCTCCCCCCCTCGCGCTGGAACTAGGAGCATTCACATAGATCTTGCTACCATGTTGGGGCCACGCCACGAGAGCCACGAGCACTTGGCCACGAGCGGCGACATGGACGGTATGGACATGAGCGGCACTGGCTCGTCGAGCATGCACATGATGGGTGTCTTCCAAAACAGCATAGCCACCGCGCTCTTCTCCGAAGCCTGGACCCCGAACTCGGCCGGCACCTACGCCGGCACCATCATCTTCCTCATCGTCCTGAGCGTCATATTCCGGTTGCTCCTCGCCGGCAAGGGGTTCGCCGAGCAGCGGTGGCTGGATGCGGAGATGAAGCGGCGATACGTCGTGGTGCAGGGCAAGCTGCCGGTGGCGGAGCAAGTGTCCACCGACAGCTTGGCTAAGAAGATGACGCTCACGGAGAACGGCGTCGAGGAGGACGTCGTCGTGGTTCAGAAAAGGAAGACGCACCCTCGCCCCTGGCGACTCTCTGTCGACCCCCTACGGGCGGCGCTGGATACGTGCATTACCGGAGTGAGCTACCTTCTGTGAGTATCCCGAACACCTCTGCCGGCCGTCCACCCCCCCCCCCTCTCCCTCAGTTTCGATCCATTGGATGCTAACCGACATGCAGCATGTTGGCAGTCATGACTATGAACGTAGGCTATTTCCTCGCGGTGCTCGGAGGCACCTTCTTAGGCAGTTTGCTGGTCGGCCGATTCTACAGCGTGGAGCACTAGGGCACGCCGATCAGCCACCGTTTACTCGCTTGCCGGAGGGAGCGAATCCCAAATCGCCAAGGCACAAAGCATCGATGCCCGTTAATCTACCAACACTAGGGCCATCATCCGTGCACTTGGTCGCTCGGGTCCCCCTCTCCCTCGAGAATTATCACGTGGTCCCGGCCCTAGGCTGCGGGTATCAGCCTATATGATGATGGAGGGAGGAGGGGGGTTGTGATTTGCCGCGAACCGAGCATGGCGTGGCCGCAGGACGGCTGGCGGTCCCGGGCCATTTTTGTCTTGTTTTACATACCCTTTTTGTACACTATCCACCGGAGAATTGCATCGAACCCGACCCGGCGCCCCCCCCGCCATGCTCGATCTTTGTATAGATAGGGAGTAGCGATAATGAAGAGTGCTCTGACAGCAGCTGCAGAGCTGCAGTGTCGCAGAGTGGTAAAGCAGATTCTGGGGGCTAGACTCTGGGGGAAATCGAAAACCTTCTCAAAACCGCTCACGGGCAGGGGTCAAGCGGCGACGGAGGGAGGGGAATCCCTGTCGTTCTTCTTATGTCTACTTACGTACCTAATATGCACCTGCATAGGTAGATATACTCATATTTACACGTCTATCTCCCACATTGAAACCTTAGATGGAACGCTACCTACATAGGTAGGCATGCCTCGCCTGTATGCATGTATGTCTGCCCCGAACTGCGCTGCGCGATAGGGTAAATAGGTACCTGCTCTATACCTAGCAAGTCCTATGCCCGTCTGCCTACACGTGATAACACCTCTCAGCGGCTGGGGATTCCCCAACGTCCGTACCGTTTGGGTAGGCAGGCAGGCAGGCTCTGCGGGTGTCGTCAGGAGGAGGGGGGTTCGAACGGGCCGCGCAGCTTGTTAGGCGGGTTAGAAGCTGGCTGGCTGGCTGGCTTTTGGTGTCACGGGCCTATACCTAAGTGACCGACGCACCTTAGGACAACTTACCTACCTACCTACCTACCTACCTACCTACGTCCTGGTAGGAGGCACGCAGGTACGAGTAGGGCAAGCAAAGGCCATGCGTGGCGAGGGAGAGGGGGGGGGAGACGAGAGACGGCGCGGCGGGGGCAGGCGAGGAAAGGGGCTGCTACGTGGCTATCGGCGCTCTACTTACCTATGCCTGGGGCCCAGGGCAGCTAAGTCGTGTTCTCGGCGGACGTGCGGGCGTGGTAGGTAGGTAAGTAGTATTAGAGGTACAGCACGGTGCGGTGCGGGATGGCATGCTACCTACGTCAGGCTGGGGCCCGGCAGGCAAGAGCTAGCATCGGCCTGGGCTCCCGACTTGCACACGGCTGTGCTCGCGCAGAGAGAGAGAGAGAGGGCGTGGTATGCCCTACCCACCATGCCGCGCCACGCGCGCAGCGCAAGCGAGAGGGCGCGGGCGCTATATATCTAGGTAGCTACCTAATGTCGGACGCATGCTGCGACGCGCTACACACGTGCACTCGTTACTACCCGCGCCTTCGCTCTCCTGCTCTCGTCCCCCCCCCCCCCCCCCTCACCCGCGTGCGCCGCGTATCGCGCCCGCCGAAGCCCAGCACACCTGGCTCCTCTCGGGGCCGCTTCCTCGCTCTCTCCGCCGGGTCCGGCCGGGCGGGGTTGGGAGGGGACGCGAGACGTCCGGGACGGACGGGCCCGGCGCCAGGCTAGCCAGAGTACGTACGTAACGTAACATACGTACCCCAGCGCAGCGGCTCGGGTGCCCCGTCTCGCGCGCGCACCTGTCCCGCCGGAGACGAGACGTGGCGTGCTGTAGGGGGGGCGGCTACAAACGTAAGGACCTACCGAGTGCGGGTGTATCGGGGGTGGGCCCTCGGCGCGCTCGCCCGCCCCGCCGGGTCGCCCCCTATCCCGCAGCACGGGGCTCGCGGGGCGCGCCGTCCGCGTGTGTCCCGCAACGGGTTCCCCTCCCTCCCTCCCGCCGCCTTGATTCGACAGACCGCGTGCGTGGAGGTTCCGGGATCGCTGCTAGTAATGGGGAAAGGGCACGCGTTGCCGAGGGGGGGGGGGGGGGGGGGGGGGGGCAGAATAAAGATCATTGTGTGCAAACGGGAGGGCGAGTACAGGGCGGTATAAGTGCCGCTATCTATGGCCATGCCGGTCCCGCGATCCCGCATCTGTGTTCCTGCTCGTACCTATGAGCTATCCCATTCTCCCGCCAACCGCCAGAGAGACGAGCTCTAACACGCGAGCCCTGTACACCGCCGCTCTTCACCCGGAGGGGTGGGAGCAAATCTCCTCTCCTACCCGGGGCAGCCCCGAAGGAACGCGGGCGCCGACACCCTACCTACCCACCTACCCACCGGCCGGCGCCTGTCCCTCGGCGGATCCCGACCATGCGGCATGTCCGTTCCCAGATGAGAACGGATCGTCGGCCGTTCCCACTCGTAGCGGGGCCACCGGCGCGGCAGTAAAGGTCTCCCCCCTCCCCTCCCCGGCCCGCTCCCGAAACTACCTATCAGTAGGACCAGGTCGTCGCAACAAGTCGGCCGCCCCCACCCCTGCCTTTGCTTCCTCTCTTTCGTCGTTTTCGCACCTCCTCCTGCGCCCCCTAGGTGTCGTACACTTGAGCAACATTAGGAAGCAATACTTAATAATAATAATAATAAAGAACCAGCCCGCGTCCCTCCACCAACGCACACGGCAGGACGCGGCGGACACCCCGACCTCGGGCCGCGAGCCGGAAGGACTACCTAGGAACGAAGAGATCGTGGGGCGGGCAAGCGTCGGCATCGCCGTCGCAGCTGGCAAGCCTCTCGGTCTAGCTGCTTCGAGTTCAGGCACCAGGAGGGAGGGAGGGCAGGCAGAGGAGAGTGGTGCGAGTCTTCAGCCGCAGGGCACGAGCCGCACCGGCAGCGCCGCCGTCGGCCGCCGGCCCCACCAGGCGGCTTGTCCGCGCAGGCTCGCCCCTGTGCCGTGCCGTACCGCGCCGCCGCCGTGACGTTGCGCAGGGGAAGGGGGTGCGAGCGGCCGGGAACAGCGCGCCGGCGGGGCGGATGTGTGTAGGTAACCTACCTACGTACCTACGCCTAGGCTGGTATCGCGGCTAGCCCCCTCCCCCAAGCCGGGAAAGCGGCTCCCGGAGAGGCGGAAGGGAAAGGGAGAAAGGAAGAGAGGGAGACGGAGACGGAGACGAGAGCCGTGACCGCAGAAGGTCGGGGGCAGAGGAGTGCGAAGAAAGAAAGAAGAAAGAAGAAGAATGGCCCAAGACGCGCGCGCTCCTTCCCCTTCCTACCATTACCGCTACCGCCGCTGTTCCTCTATCGCCACGACCCGACCCCGTAACCTGACCGCTACAGTCCCTTTGGTCCCCTCCCCCCTTGGTCTGGGTACCGCGCCCCGAGAAGAGACGAGGGAAGAAAGCGAGGCGTTCTCATCCTACCAGGCGCGGGACTTATTGCTCTTACAGACAACGCGGAGACTCGCTTGGCCTCCCGGCGAAGAACATAGGAACCAGAGTTCCCCTCTATCTAGGAGAATGTATTTATTACGTGCACGCGTAGGAGCGACGAGAGTCGGCAAAAGCACGCGAACGGTTGCGCTGTAGAGCAAATATCAATTTACTGGGCGTGAGGGTCTTGCGGAATCTATGCGAGGGTTGGGTCCTATCATACAACTATGCCATTTTAACGGTGTATAACATCTCACCATCCACCTGACCTATCGTAGCCCAGTAATGCTGGGAGGGAATGACTTTACCGGACGGGACCGATCGGATCGAAGGCCCAAGGACTCCTAGGGTACGAAGGAGAGAGACGGCAAGAAAGGGGGGGGGGGTTTCACGAACAGGACCCCTTGGCCAATTTTGCCTAACGTAAAAAGGGGAGATTTCTCTTTCCTGATGACGGATTATTGCCATAGCACTCTCTTCTCCCCTCCACACCTAGAGCCCCAACCACCAAAAGCAAAAAAGGTCAAATGAGCATCGCGTGGTGGGCAGACTCGGTTTCCGAATCACTTTGGAGGTAGCCGTCCGGTATCGAGATGAGCCGAGAACAGCGACGGTATCCACCACAGGAGGGGGGATAAGTCGGACACGGCCCGGAAATATGCGGCGGGGCGGGGTATTTATTCTCTTGGCCAGGTGAGCGTCCCGGCATCGACGTACGAAGGTTGTCCGAGCGGTTGATTGACGACGATGCGATCAGTCCCAATCCATTCCTTTCATTCGTGTACTCGTCAGCCGTGATTCGTCAATCATTGCTATCGTCTTCCTCATCCACTCTAGGAGCAATCCATAGCGGCCGTTCCGACTCGAGCGTAGCAAACGCTCACAATGATCGCGCCAATTAGAGAAGTGACGGGGGATTCCTCATTTGCCGCCCAACGTGTCGGTAATCCGTTGTTGCACTACGTCGAGTATATCTGGAGGAAGGTCCGGCGAAGATGTTGCAGTCGTGAAAGAAAAAAAGGGGTGGCCGGTAGTGTGCTAACTGGATCTCGCGAATAATGGTTCGTCCCACCGACAAGGCTAGCGTGCGTTGAGGAGCATACGCCGGCTGCGACAGAAGAGGTTTGATTATAGATATCCCGACGGCCGAGGGACGTGCGTTACCGAGACAGATTAGCCACTACTGGTAGGTCTGCTACGATGCAGAAGACGGCGAGAAAGGCGCCTCCCTCCCCAGTCAAAGTGCGAGGCCAGGGTCACGATCCGTTCCTCGAATCTCAAGACGCGAGTGGACCCTAACAGATGGTAACAGCCCATCCGAGTCAAATCACCAAGCGGTCGGGTCGCACATTTAGCTCGCGACGAGTTATAGTATGAAAAGACGGACGAAACTAGGAGGGAATATGGTCGCATTGTGCAGAGCAAAAACAAGACAAAAAAAAAAAAGTCACGATGACCCAACAACGCCAGACCACCGAAGCCTTGCGATTATGGTGGTGTATTCAGTGTTCAGAATGCCTCGAATGGAAAAGGAACCTCATGAATGCATTAAATTCGGGGTATCAGGCGCAAGGCAATGTCATCGCCGGAACGGCGATAGTCACGATTGATGTGAGGTATGCTGCGGCATACCCGACTGCGGAGGCATCCCGTACTGGCCCCGCTGCACGTAACTCTGGTATGCTAGCGCCTGTTGAGGATCCATGGGCACGTTCGGCATGTAGTTCGGGGGCATGTGATTCTGAGGCATTCCCGGCCGAGTCGACTGCGGCGGGAGATGCGAGTTGGGCGGTTCCTCGGGCGAGTCGCCCTGATTCCCGTCGTCGACACCATTTTCGTTCCCTTGCGAAGGCTCGGGCGCATTTAGGCAGGCCTGGTAGCACCCAGCGATTAGTCATCGAAATCAAGCATAGCCGGTTTACGTCCAACGTGTGCAATCGCGAGGAGGGCAGGGAAAAATAAAAAAAATAAAAATCCCCAGAGTACGAACCTGGATGAGATTCTTGCCCTCCGCCTTGGTGACCAGAGGCTGCAGCTTGGGGGTGGTGAAGGTGTAGACCAATCCCGTCTCGGACACGACTAAGAGTAGGACTTGCGTGCCGGTGAGGACAGATAATTCGTACGCCTGTGGAGCGGTTCCGAGATTCGTCAGCAGCGAATTGCAAAAGTTAAACCGATCGGACGGAATGGTATTTACGCGTCGGACGCGATAGCCAGGGACGGGCCGAGGAACAGGACCCGGCCAGCACGGAGGAGGAGGAGGAGGAGGAGGAGGCAGAGAGGGCGGGCGAACATACCTTCTTCATGATACCAGCCTTGCGCTTGGAGAAGGTGATGTGGCGACGCGACTTGTCGCTGATGAACTTGATCTCGATCTTGCGGCGCTCGCGGCCGGCCTTCTCGTCGTCATCGTCGTCCTCGTCGGCGATGCTGGGGCGCTGCCGCTTGATGCCGCGGTTCTCTGCAGGGCCGGGATTGCCATTGCCGACGTGGGATTCGTCGAGTTCGGTGGGCGAGGTCTGGTCGTGTTGGTCTGTGATGTCGGCCATTTTTGTCGAGGTACGACGACGGTATCACGAACAAAAAAGGCAAAAAATGGTGGAGATACTGTTTTGGTCGTGGTGCCGACGACCTATACTTGATCTGGCGTCGAGCGGAGAGGCTCTGGGTTGTAGTAGGCCGCAAAGTCAATTGCAGAAACCCGGTTGGGGCGCCTGCTGTATCGAGTCTGGTGCGCGGAAGACCGGGCGGAGTAAAGTGCGAGGCGAACGGCGACGAATTCCAAGGTAGGTAAGACGGGGCAGGCGCGTGAGAGGTGTTTGTGCGCGGGAAGGGGCGGATGTATTAGGTATTATTACTGTAGGAGGGAAAGTGCGGGTGTGCGGGTGTGCGCGAAGAGAGAAAAGAGACGAGTGTGTGCGGAAAGGAAATAAAAAAAACCCCCAATGGTGCAGACCCCCAAGGGCAAGAGAGAAGAAGAAAAAAGGAAAAAGAAGAAGACGAATCAAGTTGACGAACGAAGTCCCCTTTTTTTTTTTCCTCTCTCCCCCTTCTATTAAATGCTAAGCGTGGTTTTCGGTCTCCGCGCTGAGGGTGGATGCACGCGTCCGGGAGAGTGGGAGAGAGCGAGAGAGAGAGTCTCTGGTATGTAGGTACGTACGTATGTATGTATGTATGGACGTGGTAGCGGCAAAGGCAGTGGTGACAGTAGGCGGGTAGTGGTGGAGGTGATATCAGCAAGTAGCAGCAGGCTTTCTGACTGATCTGGTCTGGTCTGGTCTGGTCCGGTCCGGGTGTGCAGGCAAAGGCAGGTTAGGCAGGTTAAGCGGGCGGGCAAGTTAAGAGCAGAGGGGCGGGACGGATGTATGTATGGATGTATGTATGTATTTGTTTGCCTAGTCGGGTAGGTGGGAGAAATATGTCAGCCAATTGCCCAAATCAACATCGAGTGCGAGTTACAGTGAGAGCAGGTTAATAAAAATAAAATCAAAAAACACAAGAAAATAAAGCCCGAGATAAGAACCGATGGACAATTAAACAACAACAATCCAGCTCACAACACCAAACTCAGCCGAGACTCAACCGGCGCTACAGATCTCGGCGACGGAGAAGAAAAAAAAAATAGAGAAGCGGCAGCAGAATTAAAAATAAACTGGGGGCAGAGAGAGAGATGGAGAAGGATTCTAGAATGGGGGGATCGATGGCGACGATGAAACTGGCTGTTTTGGCTGGGGTTTTACGGAGGAATAATAGTGGTGGTGGTGTTTTGATGCTGTAGGTGGTGACGGTGCTATTGGCGATGCTGGTGGTGCGGTGGTGCGGTGCTGCACGACCACAGCCGCCGCCGCGGTGGTGGTTGCTTTTTGGCTGGCTGGCTGGCTTACCTCAAGGGTCGGGATGCCTTTTGGTTGGGCGCGGGAGCTGCTCTCTGGCGTTTCCCCTTGCTTTCTCTTAATTCTTGGGACTTTTGCGGCCGGATCTCTCTCTCTTCTCTTCTCTCCTCTTCTCGCTCGCTCTCGCGCTGCTCCTCCGGCTGCAAAGCTGCTCTCGCGACGCAAATCAACGGCGACAGAGAGAGGCGGTCCCCGTCGGCGGGTGCTCAAAGGGGAGGCTCGGCGATTGTCAAACACGACGTTTTTGGAGTTAGACTTCCCCGGGAGAGAAGAGATCAAAAACGTTGTCGGTATCAAACTCGGTTTGATTGATCAGGAAAGGTGAATGCGGGATGGTTGAAAAGAGGATAGCGAGGTGGTAGCACACGGGCTTTTGCCTGGCCAGGGCCACACAGTTTAAGAGAGGCGACGCTGCGGGGGCCGTAGCTTCGCCGTGTGGGCCTCTTGCACAAGTGGGGATGCTGGGTGGCGGGTCGCGCTTTTTCCCACTCCTCCTCTCCTCTCTCTCCTCTCTGTGCCCTCTGCTGCTGCTCGCTGCTCTCCTCCTCCTAGTCCACCCCTAGTTCCCTCCTAACGTCCCTAGTCCCCCTCCTGCCTCTGAGATGAGGAGGGTCCTTTTTCCACTCTACCACTATACCGCCTGGTACGATGGTACTCTGCGCCTCCCCCTGCTCCTCCTCTCCGGCCTTCTCTCTTCCCCCCCCCCCTCCCTCTCTCTCTCTCCTCCCCCTGTTGCTACCCCAGCCAGCGCGCAGCGAGCCTGGCTAGCTCCGTCTGATCGTAGAGGCAGATTTCCGAGCGACACCAATCACCTGCCTCGCACCCGTCCGCGCTAGCTGCCTATGTACTCTGGTGCAGAACTAGCACTAGTAATACCACTTCGACAAAGTCGCAACGGTGGAGGGAAGACATGCGTACCGAGGGCAGCGAACCTGTCACGCCAAGAGTTGAGGGAAGGGCCTGCAACACTGTGCGCGCTGGCCTGCGCGAGGGATTGTCCGTCGGCTTCTGCTCGTCCGCTTGGGTTACTACATGCTACGCGCATAGCAGGTGGTGCATACCTCCTACCTACCTAGGTACCTAGGTAGGTAGGTGCCTACCTCTAGGTGGGTTAAGGTAGGCAGGTACCTATGTACATGTATGTGTGCGTACCGCTCCGGCGGCGGTTCGGGGGTAGGGCAGGCACAAGGTGGTGAGGGAGTGCGTCAGAGAATTGAGTCCACGTCGCCATCAGGTACCTGTTCTGGGTACGCAGTGCAGTACCTCGGGCACCCAACCTCAGGTACCCAACCCCGTTTCAGGTACCTGCGCCGGCGGACGTGCCCAGGGCAGGTACCTGCTGTGCACTTCAACAAGCACGAGCCTACGTACCTACTCCGGCAAGGGCCGCCTGCTCGCCTGGCGGCCGGTACCTGAGGATATTCGCAGCTGCGCAGTACCTGCCGGGTGGTAGGTACCTCGGTACCCAGCACCCGCGCAATTGGCTGACGTGACCTGATGCGCCTGGCACTAGGCAAGTACTAAAACCACTCAGCGCGGCCGAGTAATGAAGGGCAGGTGGGGACAGGCTTGCGGGCTTTCAGGATGCTGAGGACGGCGGTACATATGTACGTACATGTGCGTCTGCTGAGGGAGAGGCCGAGGCAGCGTGCCCAATGGCAGCGCGAGAAGGATGGGATGGCTTACCGAAGGGGGGAAGGAAGGCAGGTTTGCGGATGCGGTGTCTGTGGATACGAACCTGCCCTCCTTCCCCCCCTATGAGTAGAATAACGGTGCAGAAATTTCCGCAGTCGCGTCGGGTCCACCGCATCCAACCAGCCGTGCAACCGGTACGTCGCCTTTTGTACCGCTGCCGTGCTGCGGCGCCGTGTACCCAGGTCCAATGTACCCAGGTATCCGACGCCAGCCAGATGCTCCGTGCAGGTGTTGGCGATCTTTCGCAGATGCACGGTCCGCTGTCCCAGTGGCTGGCCCCCCCACGCACCCATTATTGTAGGCACCTATGAGTCTACACGTATATTAGATAGGTAGGTATATGAGCATGTATGTATATATGTACCCAATGTATGTATGTTATGTACATATATATGTATATATGTATATATATGGATAGATGGGTGGATGTAGGTATGCAGGTATGCATGTATGCTCCCCCACTCCCCCCCCCCGGGCACCGGCTGCACCCAAGCCCAAAAGTCGATCCATCATCCTCTTCTTCATCGGCGTGTCGCCCACCTGCCATCTGCCAAAACGACAGAGCGAGCGGCCCACAACGCCGAATCAGGTATTTGCCCAATTCGGCACTGTGCTCGATCTTCTATTTGACGCGGGCGCGGAGCCGTGTGGGCGACCGTCTCCAGTTTCTACCCGAGAGCCCACCTCGGGAGAGGGAGACAGAGATAGAGAAGTTGTCTATCCAGGCAGATACGTAATGGCAGATATTATTGTTGATTGGCGCCGTCGTCGAGGCTCAGCAACAAACCAGCTCTGAGAGGGGACAGTCTCTCTCTATCTCTATCTCTCTATCTCGGCGGCTAACCACGCGTACATGGTAGGAATCCTAACCACCTTCCCCCCCCCCCCCCCCCCCCCCTTTCCCCAGCCCGGTTGGTACTCTTAACACATGCAAGCAGACTGAACGGGTAAATGAAGTCCCAAAACTTCGGGTGCGTATAATTACTACGTGGTAAGAGGAAGTTGATCGATCTGTTACTTGCCTATAAGATTCCTCTTAAGAGGAGAAGGCGGCCGGGGTGGTTGTCGAAACCGGGGGACACAGAGAGCGGAGAGGCCTAAGCGGCAGAGATAACCGCTTTCTTCGGCGGAAAGGCCCTCCTTGTCTCTTTGTCAACCCGACAATTCCCCGTGTATGTACCTACCATATGTATATCGGAGGCTGGCGCTGCGGCGATGAAGCACATTCCGAGGCTGCCCGGTCACGCGTTCGAGTCGTCTGCGGGTGCTACACAAGAGGCGTAAACGAAGAAGCTGACTGTGACGGCTCACGGGCCTCGTTCGATAGCCGAGAGGAGACCGGGGGGGGGGAGGGCAAATCGAGGGTTTAATATCGCCAAAAGAGGCAGCTATTATCTCTTGGTGGCAGAGGCTCGAGGGCTGCAGCTTTTTTTTTTCTTCTTCTGGGGGCCACTTACTAAATCAACCGGTATTCGTAACTATGATAATAATCGTCCGACAAGTACGTTTCTAATCAGTGCAAAGGCCCGCCGAATAGGAGGTACCCAATAGCACATACATCAACGCTTACGGGAAAGGAGTAGACCGACGACATTGACCTGGATGAGCCGGTTACCTGCGTCCCACGGAGCAGCCGTGTGCATGCATATGGGCGTTTCTGCACCGGCGTTGCTCGATGGCACGTACGTAATATACATGGTGTCAACTTTCGAACGATAACCAGGTACCACCCGGCCCTGCGGAGAATCACGACGGGCGCGGAGAGGGTACTTTCTCGACGCTGGCCGTCGCTTGAACCCCGTCCATCGAATTCCCACGAGGCCCAGTCTCTCTCCTGTGGCGATAGGCAATCATGGCGTGCTACTAGGTACCGAGGTGTGTGCAGGCTGCGTCGCGGGGTCAAGGATGAGGGCTCGATGCTAGGTGGCACAAGCTAGCGGCCGTGAAGAACCGACAGGGAGGGAAGACACGGCGTCCCCCTCCCCCCCTTACGAGCCATACCCGTCCAGGTAGGTATCTACACTCGGATTCGAAGGACCGTGATCTCGGTAACTCGCTAAGATGGGTTTCCCAACTCAGATACCTACCTAGACCTCACTTGTATGGCAAAGCAGCTACCTATCTACCTCCTAGGTTAGGTCCCTATCAGTAGGGATTCTAACAATCACAACAGTAACGGCAGCTTAGGTGTTACTACAACTACCCAACCTGCTAATAACAGCGGTGACGGGAAAGAGGAGCATCGAGGGCCTCCTTCGATCGGCACATCCCCTTTCCAGTAGGTATTGCATGTCGAGCCAAAACTTCCCATGCAGGC